AAACTAAAAGTCCAAACTTTCAAACCGAAATCCCAGTACTCAAAAGGGAAAGCATCTTGTCGAGTACGCCACTTAGAGTTTCTGCGGCAGTTGATTAAATACTGCTGCCACTTCTTATTGCTATGCGGGTCCCATCACATCATATGGTTATTGTTTTTGTCCTTATATGCCAAGTGTGGGCATAGGTAATAAATTATTTCGAAATTGGATTATTTAGTGGCCGTGTTTGGTTGAACTCAGGTTGTCAATGGTTTTATTTTTGAGTGGAATGAAAAGAAAATCACTAGTTGATGTTTTCAATAAACCCCACGCAGTTTTTTAAAGAAGGATTTTTGTGTATCACACAGTTATCTGAATAAAGATAGCTCCTTGATTATAACTGAAATCAAATTTGATCGAAATTATTTACACTTGTGAAGTTGTGATATGAATTTATATAATGGTAGAATGGTATGCTTCAGTGTTGAAGACATGTCGTCTAAACACATATATTCATCGAATCAGTTTAAACCAAGGTATAAAATAGAAATATGTTGTATTCGTATGATGATGGAATAAAATCTTCATTATAATTTAATTGCATATTTTTCGTTAGTCAAAATTAAGCTAACGGAACAAATCCAACTAAAATGACTATCAAACAATATAACAAATGAGCATTGGTCAAACATATAAACACAAATGTCAAAATAGTGATTTCGTGGACTAAAACAAAACTGTAAAATTGTTCGTAGTACCTCAGGTCCAGAAAAGAAAAATCAAAAGAAAATAATACCCTTCTAGTAACTTCGTCGTCCATAAAGTTCTGACAATTAGAAATGGAATAGTCCAGTTGATGCGGGAGAAAAAACCACAGCCCCAAACAACAAAAAGAACAATTCAGAAAAATCGTCCTCCAAATGTACCCGTTATTATTATAGATTTTTATTTTAAATCTTATATTTTATTTCATACACAAGCATTATACAAAACAAATCACGCAATGATGAGCCCAATATGAGATTTCAATCAAATACCTTGTAATTCTGTTACCACAAAGTGCTGTACTGTTTTATTTTGAGTGGATTTTTTGCTTCGAACTTCTTAAAATTGAGAAATCAAACTCGAATATATATCGAGTATTCTTCTGTGAGTTTAATTGTTCATTTAAACAAATTGATGTTTATACTATTTATAAAAATACTTCGAGTGTCGATTTCGCGTTGTTTATTGCTTTGTCTGGCTTTAAAAAATCAAAAAACCTTCCCCGTTATTTTTAGAAGGCACACTTATGTAATGTGGTAAATAGTGAATTGGCAAATAAATGTTGCTGTTTCAAGTACTGTCGTGTGGACGACATAGCACACACTTTAACAAGAAAAGCAAATACCTCAAAAACTGTTTAAAATCTTAATTCATCATAGTGGGTATTTTGGGAAGCAATTCATATAATAGCATTTTTTTGGTGCTCCAGAAGTATGTGTACCAAATATGGAGGTAACTATTTTTGCTCGCCTACTTTACATCAAGTTGTGTGAAGGGACTGAAAACCGTGGGCAGGGGTATATTCATTTGGCTAACACAGACAGTCCCCGAACTCGTAATAGAACTAAAATAAGGAAAATAGGAATAAAATTATGGCCCAACCTCAACCTGGTACACACACTACGCGAGTACCCATTTTTTTAATAAAGTTTCTAATAAAATTCATAGCACAAAAAAATTCTAATTTTGTACAGAAAATGAAAATCAGATAGGCCTACAATAAAAAGATTGAGAACATTGGAAGATATCGGAGAGGTAGTTGTGAAATTGAATTCAAATTTTTCCAGGCAAGAATAAATATAAGATTTTCTGCAAACTATATAATATTGAAGCCAGTTTGGTGATTTATCATTTTATTCCTATCGAAACATATTACTCTTTTTCATGTCATAAACAACACTTGAACATTTTCGATTGGCTACTATCGCTTTTATGTATTTTTGATAATATGATAAAGCATATGACATAACAATGAAGACTTTAATAAAAAACAAGAATAAATTTGTACGTTTGTATAAAGTACATTTGGTAATGGCAGTTTGTAACTAATAAAACTTGGAATTTACCGACACATGTTACGTGTTACATTGTATGTTAGGTTTCTGTAAAACTAGCACTGTCCCGACCAAGTCCTTGCCAAAATTGGGCGATTAGATTTCTGTAATTTCACTACGTTTTGCAACAGTGTCTCTAAGTATATGTGTCTGATTTCTCAATACTCATTAGGGTTATATTTGTTCATCTCGCTTTGGTGTTTTCCTTTCACTTAGGGTACCATCCACTTGATGGAAACACAGCAGAAAGCACTTAAGCCGTGAATCCACTTGATTTGTAGTTTGAAAACGCCGCCAATACAAGCCTTACACCAGTCGAAGAAGTTATTCAATTGCTCGCAGGCGACCGTTGATGACTATATTACCAGTTCAAACAAATCAGTTATGTGAAAAACTTCAGCTGGCATGTATCAAATGAAAAACAATTCAAATTTGTGCTTCATTCATTTTAGGGGAAAGACTTTTTTAGATCGGAAAATGAACGCAAGTGAAGGATATACGAATCGGTATAGTAACATAAATTAAAAGATTCAGTGTCACCAGCATTGTTAAATTAAGGTTTGGCTTAAGTCGATGGCAGTGCGTCGCATTTGTGAAACGATCGACTACTCACCTTCATATTAGGTATATTTAAATCATATAAGTCATAGCTAAAACACCTTGTTAAATATTAGGTTCACAAGAACATGACCTCCCAAACAATGACATGGGGAAAAAAGCTCGAAGTATAATACGGGTATATGTCCCGTCGTTCGTGTACTTCCAAGATATTGATAAAGATTCCGAATAATTGTGATAATGATAGTGACACAAATAATATATAAATGAAAAATGCATCAATTCTTCTGTTGTAGGACGTACGGGCCTTGTAAAATAAAAACATCGAATTGTACTTTTTTATTCGGATACGTGAATGCTCGGTTTCAATGTGGTGGTATCATTTTCTATTACTGTCGTGAGTCAAATCTTGAGCAGAGCGAGGTGAAACTCGTTAACTGGTCCATACGCGACACCGTGTGGTGAATATCCAGAAACTATTTGTGGAGATTTCTGGCTCAAAATTAGTTGGTTATTACAGAATGATAGATACCGTATGTAGTTCTTTTTAGTCATTACACAGTAGCGTTTTCACACACCACGTTGACCAACGGCACGCTGAAAATTCAATTTACTCTGGGATAGGTATTTTCTTCCGGGAGAGAGATTTGGTCATATGGAGAACCACGGCCTTCGTTCTGGTCATATTCACTGCAAGAATATTTAGCTAGGTCCACACCATTGCAAGAAGTCCGGAAATCCTTTTTCACAAAGTTATCAGACACCGTATTCGAAACTGCGCACCCCAAACATCCAGCCTATGGACTACAAATAATCTATGTTTTATATGTTCATATTCGAAGAACATGTACGAATATTTGTTAACAGCTTTTTATAGGTTTTGAGTCAATTTGAGATTCGCAGAGCATTAGCTTTTTCTATATTGTTGAAAATGTTGTTACACTTACAGTATCATCGACTATTTCCATTTGAAAGAAACGAGCGAGCGTCGCATGATGACATTATACAAAAAATGGTACTTCCGAAGTATTCGTACCAAGATGGCGCACAACCGGTACGAATACTTCGGAGCGGCCAAAAATATGGCCCCTATATGCCACGCTCTTGGAAGTCATGGACGATCACCATTGGTACCAACAATAGAGATACAAGTACCAACGGCGGTGACAATCCCGTCAGCAACTACTCATATTAACAGAGTAGAGTAGTATTTAAATGTTTTATCATATAATTGAGAAAAATATATATGTAAAATTAAAAATACATCAATTAAATATGATCAATATGTGAAATAAAATTGCCAATACTAAAATACATTCGGATCATTTTGTTGAAACTGCAAATATCAGACTGCGACTAATGTAACGTAATTTTGGCCAAATTCATAACAAAAAAGAACAGCACTTTAAAATTAAGAAAAATTGGGATAATAAAAACATAATAATGCCAAAATAAGATCATCACAAGATCTTTTTTGAGGTTGTTCAATCATAAAGTCATTTGAAAAACCCTTCAAAACACCCTCAATATAATCTCTAAGAGACAAGTAAATTTCAATAATACATAATAAAAATACACACGCTAATTCAATTGAGATAATTCCTGATTCATGGTATTGTAAAAGTACAATTGAATGATTTAAAAAAAATGATTATATTGAAACAGATACAAACTGATATGTATATACTGATAATGGCTAGCACTAGTGGTATCCAGTATGTTTCAAAACATGCCTGTTAAACCCATACGAAATACAAAATACCAAAAGTTAACAAAATAGTACCAATTGTCTTGCTACCATGGTATCATCATAAAAATCATATCATATTATACATTACTATTCCCAAGACTGTCTGGGATTTCCTGTTGTAATTATGTAAAACCAGAAATATGATTTGCAAAATTATGAAATTATTAAAATACATGAGATGATAAAATTAACGAGGTTTGTCAATTAGTATTTATATAAAAACAACATAATGATGTTGGATTGAGGAAATTGTAATGAGGAAGATATAGCAAATGTAAAATGATGTACAGAAGGAACAAGTAATACTGCAGATAAAACAGAGCAATCAGAGTGAAGTTTTTGAACATATTCAATACGCTAATTTCATAGAAGTGTCTCCATTGGCGGGGCCTTTTTTCACAATGGTCCATGTGTTTGGGTGACATGGTCCACTAGCACCATCTTGTGGAGTGGCTTCTCTTTTCCACAATATAAAATTGACCTAAATTTTGTTTTTGCTATTTCTACCCTTACAAATGCAGCTTATTGCAAGAATTTTCGTACAGTACATCAAAATTTTCCTACAGTTACCAAGAAGTTGAGTAAGAAAATGACTTTTCTCACAATTATTAGTTATTTTCATGGCTCACTCATGGATGTTTATTGTAAACACTTTTTCACCTTGTTCTGTCCATTTGGAAAACTCTGGGTTAGAATATTAAATATTGCTAAGTTATAATAAAATCATTAAGAAAAAATATCAAAAAAATGGTCATATATTTGTTAGTTGATTAAAAAAAATTGCTCTTGTGTCATTTGTTTTGCTAGTAGCCTATAATAATAATAAGTATTACTGAAGTACACCAAATAATAGAAAGTACTGTAAAATTATTAAAAGAAGACTTTATTTTAAGCGTGGAAGCCTATTTTATCCCAATTGGCATATATGGTAGCCATCGTTTTCTTAAAATTGATTATTATTTTGAAATCACATAAATGACTAAACATTTTTGGTCCATTAAAATAATTTAGTTCTCTCTACAAAATAGTCACACAAACCACGATATTTTCAGATACAATATTAATACATGTTAAAGATATAAGAAAATAACAAGTTCGAAAAATATGAAAAAAAATTGCAAATGATAAAGAAATAGCACCAGATTTCAAAATTATAAAATGATGAATTATTGAGTGATAAACATATATTGCATCAATTTCAATGATTTACAAACGAGCAAATTATTAAATTTGTGAGAAAACAAATTCACTAAATTAAATTTAAAATTTCTCTCTATATATTAAAGCCTGCTGTCATCAACAGTTAACTCAGTTTGTCCCCAGTCATAATATGTGTAGTGTGGAGTATACGACATCTCACCCATTGTAAATTCATTGTCATCATTGTCACGAACATTTGTACTTCCTTGTGTAGCGGCCACATATGATGGTGGGGGAGCTAAAAATAAGTTAGGTATTGATAATAGTGGAATTTTTTAGTCAGGAAAAGGTGTTTGATTTAGAAACTTATAAAGTTCATTTAGGTTATCAATATCAATGTATTCTGAATTGGACATTAGTACCATATTTTATGGACCATAAGTTGGCAGGTTATAAGGTTGTCAATAAATCGCTCAGAATGAATTTTTATTCACACAAAAGGCGCATTGATAAGACTGATTTATTTTGAAGAAAATAAAGTATTTGAAGCGTGTCTTATTGTCCGTAAAATACGAGAGAAAATAATCACAAATACATGTGGTCAATTGCTTACCTTCAACGAACTATCCTAGGGAAATCGTATAATCGAGAACATGGTATATAACAGGGCTACTCAACTATTTTTACCGAAAGTCCGCATACAAAACTTCAGAAATATTTGGGTCCGGTCTTTCCAGAAATTATATTTCGGCATCCTTAAACATCCAATTCCTCTGCCGACTAAGGATTATTAGCTAATCAAGATTGTTTGTTATGGCAATTTATAAAAGTGATTTTATAAAAGGAAATATCAAAAGTGGGGCTAAGGATCCAAAATAAAGAATTATGCGCGGTCCGAATCGAATACCCGAAAGGTTCGGATTCGGACCGCCAGTTGAGTAGCCCTGGTATATAACTAATTAATTTCATTGTATATATAGAAAGAGAGCGATTTATTGCAACCAAAAACACAGTCGTCAACGTCAATACAATAAAAAGTAACAACAATATAATTGTTTGGGTATTGTGGTTTGGTTTTGGTGATTAGGATTTACACTTGGGGATGACCAGTAGATAAATTTAAACTAGTAATATTTTTACGAGTTTTTGAACAAAACTGGGAGATTCTCAAGTAATTTCATTGTTGTAATGAGTGCATGATTGTGTATATTCAATTTAATCAAGACATTTCTGCTGATGATGTATCTTGGATGGATGATACTCCAAATTATCGTTATGTTGCATTGTTGGTTTACATTCATTAATTTTTTCCTTAATGTTAAAAGAGTGACTTGGGTCATATTTTCAAAATAACTCCACTTCAGCTGTCACATACCGATATTAATACCACATCTAAAATAGGATCAAATTAAATTGTTGAATAGCATATAATATATTTCTTAATAATAGCAAAACTTACGAAAATTATTATAAGTTACATCCAAGTCATTTGCAGGTAATGTTGAGAACGAGGGTGGAGGTGTTCTGGAAAATTCTACTGCAATCGTTTCTGATTCTGTTCTTCTATATTCTGGCAGATGTCTGAGTGGGACCGTTCCTATGACAATAGGAGCCTTCCCACGTAGACTTATACTGAATGCTGGAGTGTGAACTGTAAACTGCAAAAGGGAGTATAGCTTCAAATAGGACAGAATGACTTATCTCTCCTAAAACAAAGTGGATGCAACAAAGGGCCTTAATCATAAGTCCAGTATAGCCCAGTTTGAATATGGGATTGGCCAGATGTATTGGTACTAAAGCAAGCCACGACTATAACCGAGCAGCATGGCAATCCCGTTGACCATAAAATAAAATTTTATTTTCCCTTTAATCTGTGCAGGGTAATCAGCAGATGAAAATTACCTTAATAATAACAATAAAAATAACATTTTACTGTTTAATAAAAATAGCAGTAGAGCCATTTTTTTCAAACTTAATAAACTCCATCAAAGAAAATCTAGATTGTACCTGAACCAAATATTCTACATCAATGATGTCACAATGTCTCAACTCAGTTGGAGGCAGAGAGGGAATTTGCATCTTTTTGTTTGTCCATGTAAGACTTTCTTTGGGAGGACAACCATCTCCGGTGATCTTCGTAACAAACTTTAATTCCTTCTTTTCACGTCCTTGTGCACGATAGGTTATGTCTTTATAAAGTTCCGCTGTTGTTTTGGTAAGATTCCGATCACTGACGTTAAAAAGGAGATGATAAAATTTTTTGAGATACACACACCAAAAGTATAATAAAGTTGGAAAATGTTCAATTCTGATGGAAAGGTGAATAATACTGTAAAAAAACGTCTTCATTCTATTAAAATACGCGCATTGTTTCCATTCCAATGCTCCACATTCTGCCTACACCAGCTATTGGGGCATAGCGTACTTTCAACGGCAAAGTTATATATATATATATATTGGACAGAAGCCTTGATGACCTTCAACGCTCTTGCAACGGCCAACACAGAACAATGTGAGAAATGGATGTTCTACTTCTATGAAAATTATCGATATTGTTTTTATATTGTTTTTCATTGTTTGTGGAAATAAAATCTCTCTCTCTCTATCGTTAATTCCAACTAGGTATATACAAAGGGCCTATTCAACTTTGTGTAATCCTGTCATAAAAAATTTAATGTACGTTATGTACCAGACTCCAATATCAATAAATTCAACACTGTATAGTTACATTACACCCATTATTTACCTTGAATTTGTAACATTTGCATTTATAGTTATAAATTCCCCTGGAACATATCCCGTTCGATCCAAATAGAATTCAAGTTCGATTGGTCCACTTGTACAGCACATGCAACAAAAGCTTTTACTCTGAGAATCCCCTGGTGAAGCCTGCAAACTATGACAGTTATTTAATCATTGAATTAATACAGTTTCAAATTCTTATTCAAGTTTTTTTTATGGGAGGTACCTGATGTAATATAATAGAACCAAAATTTTTTGCATAACCCAATCTTACCATTTGCCTACTTCTCACCAATGAATTTTCAACAAAGCAAGACCCACCACATATTACAAATGTAGCTATGGATAGTAACAGATGCCGTTGTGTTAGATGGAGTCTTCACCTTATGGATAAGGATAAATATTATGGTGTCAGTTATGGAGTGAAGTATCAATATCTGCTGGTCGGTTACTGCCTTCTCCATCATCAAATTCATGCATCTGGAAACTAATAACACTGGCTAACTCCTCCCATACCCGACATGGACTGGTACCCGAACAAGAGGTCTTGGTCCACCATATGATTAAATCTGTCCTATCGTCTTTCCTCTCCCCCTGGATAAATATGTAAGTCCTATCCTATCTAGTATGAAATCACACCCGTCGCCCACTTACAGCACTTTTTACATCATTATCGCTTAATAAACAATTTGCACATAAACATAACAAGTTTCGTAATACATCTGACCTTTCAAGAACACGCTATCACCCCCTACGGATTTCTTGCCCCCAGTGTATCTTTTACACCCCAATTACTTCTTTACATCAGGGGTGAGCAAAGATTTTGATTTGCGGGCCAAAAATTTTGCCCATCTAGACGGGCAGGCCATGTAAGTATGATGGAAGAAGGTACATTTTATGAACAATATTTACAGTGTTACAAAAGCAATAGTGGAAAACAATAGGCATTGTGCCAAAACTAAATTTAATCGCAATCTCAACAAATTCCACATCTAAATTTGGTTTGTTTGGTTGGGGCAGCATCAGGCGGGCCAGATTGCATTACCCAACAGGCTGGATTTGGCCCGCCGGCCGTGGTTTGCCCATGTTAGCTCAACATACATCAATCATATCAATCAAAAAACAATGAAAACGAACTAATTGCTGTTCATTATTAAAAGAAAATTACCGTACCAGGGCTGTTGGAATTGTGTTGAGGTCCAAGGTATCCAGAACAGTGAAAACTTTCTTTGTATTGTGATCAAATTTCCATGGCTTGACTATTGATGCTTTGATAAAATATCTTATGAAACAACCAAAATCTGTAATCAGAGTAAATTTAATTGGAATAAGTGACGTACTACATACATTAAGTTTTTTATGTCTTTAAAATCAATTTTCAACCGCTCTATGTGAATAACCATAAAAAAAATGAAAATCTGCACATTCAGGTGGCAATGAACAGTATTAGTTGACAGTCATACAGTTTGGTTAAGTAGAAACAGCCATGAGTCTGGGCCATATAGAAAAGACAAACCAAGAATCAAATGAGAATATCGGTCAGAGACCGAAGACTTATCGATCGAAAGTTAGGGGATCCCCTTAAACAGCACTTTTACTCCATAGTGACACCTTGTGTCCCATCACTAAATAATTAATACCTCGCTAATTATAGGACATAATTTATCCAAAATCAATAGGCTTTTGGTACGACATATGATGAATGCACATGCAAAATCAAGAACAGATTCAATCTCGCTTTCGTGAGATATCGCGTGCATCTAACAGACAAACAAACAGACAGACAAATACCTATCAGCTATCAACATACTTACCGATTGAAATCGATAAGTAATAATCTCTGTTAGAGTACAGAAAAAATTTGATAATTGAAGATATATTACTAATAATAATGGAAACCTTCATAAGATGATGGCAGTGCATGAGGAAGTGTGAAGTTAAAGCTGAATGTATGTGATCCAGGTGAAAGTTCAACAGTATCATTGGCATCAGAGCTTCCTGAATGTACAAAATAATGCATCAACTAAAAAGAACATGGGAGCAAATACATTGACACAACGGTAACCATTTCCTTTCTTGTTGAGCCCTAGATCTCAGTCAATTGAAAGGGACATAAAAAACAACCATACAGGCCGCATAAAGAAAACTCGTATTTCAGGGTGAAGGAAGACATAAAAAACCAATACGCCAGCGGCAGCGATAAAAAAGTTACAGGCAGAACATGGTAAAAGAGAAAAATGTTGAACTATATGTCTATATATAAGGTATTTGGAAAAAAACACTGAATACACAGGATTGACAGTCTGAGTAACTAACCAGTTTATAACTGTTAAAAGCACGCATAAAATGTTCATTCTGTTATGAGATAGTATTGTTGGGAAAGCTATAAGCAATCAAATGTTACACCCAGCAAAGGTGAAGTTTTATTTATTTATGAATATTATTATGAGAAGTTCTAAACAAAAGACAGAAAGTAACTTGACAGTTTGGGAATCACTGCCTTAGTGGCAGTGCTGCAGTGTGGCTCATCTTGCTTAGCGTTAGGAATACGCTCGCCACCGCACCTCTGAATACTCTGCGTGAGATCGCAGGTTCGAATCCCATGCTGGAATAGTTATGTGCGAGAGGATTGCTGGACACCTCGTCGCCGTAGGGTGGTTCACATAACCGCTGGTCAGTTACGGCTTCCTCCACCATCAAGTCTATGCTTCCGAAAACAAATAATTAACTAATCCCATACCCGACGTGGAATGGTAACCGGACGAGAGGACATGGTTCGCCATATGGTTAAGTCGTCTTATCGGCTTTTCTCTCCCCCGGGATAAATATTTAAACCCTATACTATAAACAAATGCATAGTCATGCAGCAATATACAAAACAGATATAGAAAGGCACCTCAGCGCTCTGCTTCAGTCAGTCAGTTCTCAAACTCACCACAATTGAATGAATTCTAGTGGCTCCACACAACTCTAAATCAACTATGTTGAGAATCTGAATAACAGATTTTACCTCGTCCATAAACATATATTTCTTTATAAAAGAGGTTTTGAGTTGCCCAGTAAGAGCTTTTACTATCATCACTTCCCTCTTCCCAATCCACGTGGGCTTTTCCGCTGAAAGTTAGCCTCACCCCTAGATAAATATTATTTGAAGGTTATACATTAGACATTACAGAATTATGTTTAATATTGTAGAATTTGCAATAATATCTTTTGATACAAAAAAATCTATTATACATATAATTTTATCAGGTATACCAATGGGCAATGGCCAATACTGTATCCGATTTGTTAGATTTGAATATTCTGATTTTATAGTGACTGATGTACATTAGATTATTCAGTTAACAGTTTATAAAGTAAGTTATAGAAGATATATTTGTCATTTTTACATATTTTATAAAAATCCCTCACAGCCCCGCCATTAATGCTGTAATGCAAAAACACCTGCCAATATTTTTAAAACAAAAATTACTATTTATCCAGTTAGGGTTACAGGGTTAGGCTTCAGAATGCTGGAATGATTTGAAAAGTTGAATTTCCAGTGCAATCTGTGGTATTCCTTAGTCTAACTGGATAATTACTAATTTATTTATTTTGAGCGATGTTGGGGATAATTTTTTTGGTGGGGGATTTCTACAAGGGATCCCATATTTTATTCAGAATAGATAGATAGGTTTATCCTACATTTCAACAAGAAATGCAATATACGGTACAGCCCTACTGCAATATACTGCAGTACTGATATAAAAACATACCGTAAGTCAATAAGTGAAAAAGTGACACGAGTTTTGTCAATTCAGCAAATGCCGAGGAAGAGGGAATGCAGCACACCAGCACCCAACTCCTGTACTATGCAATATCGTTAGTTACGTTCAGAGGTTGGGTGCATCAAAACATCTACCTTAATTCTTACCTTTCATTTGCATTGCCTCTGATAATTTGATTTTCACCTCACCGACGACTTCTTCTCCCGAATGGTATATATCCTTATCATCAACTAAGTGGATTTTGAACTTAGTTAGTTTCCCCATCATGAAGTCGTCAAACTCTGCAACACGTACAGGCGTAATGGAGGAGCCAGGGGCGCACACCAGGTACCGGTACCGTACTGGAATAAGTACCGTATAAATTTATTTGGACTTCATAATCAGCATAACAATACATTTGACAGATAAAAACAAATAAATAAAAACTGATTACTGGATTATGAAATCAGGGGAGAAAACGAAACCTTAGATGATGTACGAAATATATGATGGAAGGTTTTGCAAAGAGGAAGTGGTAGGTACCGGTACGTGTTTACTCACCCAATACCAGTACAAATAGGTTAAACTCAACTTTGAGACTTTTCTTTTGAACAACTTCTGAAATTAGTGACTGCATGGACTGTGAAAGGGCATCAACCATATATTTCAAATAACAACAAGATGACAAGCACCGTACCGGTACCTTTTACGTCGTCACCTACACTATCCTAGTCAATAGTCCTACACTATCTAGTACCGGTAGTAGTTTAGGTATGCTGTGGACTTACCACGGAGATGGAGAGCGCTAGCGTTGTCGCCGCGCTTTTCCGTTATCATAAGAGAGAGCTACGGAATGGAGTTTTCATATTTATTCTGATGGATCAGAAAAGGGTTTGACAAATTTATCCGGTTGATAAAATAGATATTACCTTACTGCTTGTCAATTTGGAATGGTTGCCACGCGGAACAGCAGCGGTACCCGTACGTTACCTAGCACTGAACCTGTATTTTACTGCAGAGTAGCCATGCAGTGTAAGGTTAAAACGTGACCTTCCCAACCTGTAGGAAATCTAATATGAAGTCATTTCTCTGTGAGATTTTTTAATGATTTATGGCAATATTAAAAATCATATTTTATTGAAAGAATAAACGATATTGTGGAACATATTGTTCTGAATTTGAAAACCTTGGAGAGGAGATGAATAAAAAACTTCTATGCACCGATTTAGCATAGCCTAGGTATATAATAAATTTTTGGGGTCGAAATTAGAATAGGACAGGATAGATTACATATTTATCCGGAGAGAGGAGAGCCGATAAGACGGTTTATCCATATGGCGAACAACGGCCTCTTGTCCGGTTACCGTACCATTCCAAGTCGGGTATGGGATTACGTATACTGTATTGTTTGTTTTCGGAAGCATGGACTTGGTGGTGGAGGAAGCCGTAACCGACCAGCGGTTACGTAAGTCGTAACCACCCAACGAACGGCGAGGAGTCCAGCAGCAATCCTCTCGCACATAACCATCCCTGCATGGGATTCGAACCTGCGAACCCACGCAGAGTAATTAGAGGTCGCGTGGAGCGAGCGTATTCTAACGCCATTAGCCCGTTGAGCCACACCGCCGAAATCTGAGGCAAATAAAACAGCAAAAATTGTGAGTTGTTCATACGTGGAATCTTTTGCCATTGCATATTTCTGTTAAGCCTCATGGTATTATATTGACAAACATTGGCATGACATGATGGTAGAGTCTATTGCCCGGTATACGTTAACCGTCAAGGGCTTCCAGCCTTTTTAATTCGCAAAAATTAAATTATAGCCCGTTTTTACAACAATTTATTTTATGATTCAATCCTTTTAACAATATCGTATTATATCATCAGGCATTACATTAGAGATTTGTTTGAATCTAATAAAAAATATTTATAATAGGGATTTTAAGACTATTTGAAATACCCTATTACAACAAAACTTTATGGAAATTGAATATTCCAGTTTAAACTTGTGCATGAGAGTTCATCTGACAGTTTGTCAGACTAGTACTTAGCAACTTTCAATAAAAATTGAAAATTATGTGCCTTCGAGCATACATATATACTTTTTACCCACTGATAAATATATTTGAATGGTCCTAATGCGCCTGATAATTAAGTAATTACGGTATGTTTATTTTGATAGTGGGATACGACTTCGATCTCATCACGATCTAAAATCAGTCGCTTTGATCTATTAGTCCATGCTCTTTTGTAAATCTTGTTGTCAAAATATCTGAACTGCAACATGTGAACTTCTGCCATAATACTGTATTATGGATTATCAAAAGGTAGAAGCGAACACTTCCGCATTTAAACATACCGGTATGTGCATAGTGACGTGAGTATCAATGTTGGTAAATCCATTGGAAGGCTGGAATAGGAAATCATATTTCAGATCCTATATAATAAGTTATTTGATAAATACCGCGACTTTTTTTGGCCGATTGTTCAGTAACCTTTGCAAACTGTACACCTAAATTTGGACATCTATTACTCAAAATGTTTATTTTTTATTTCATGCATGTTATGCGTTTATTCCGAAGCTTGAAATGTCATACCAATGATAATTGATAATCACTTTAAACATACTTTATAATTGTTTTCAAATCGATTCAGTTGTTGGGATGATGCCCGGGTAAGTTCATGGACAAATGTTTGATACCACACATGGCCTGCCATTACATGAATAATGACCCACTATCTGACTTCAGAAAAAAGCACAATGTAAGACAATTTGCAATACTTGTATTTTATATAAACCACATGTTTCTGTGTCAGCATTTTTTTTTATATTGTTTTAAAACATTTGTGCTTGTATTACCAAAATGAAGGCAGGAAATTTACGAGTACAGTATTGAGTATTATAATCATTCAATTGCTGGCAGATGGTATAACAGCACAAATAAATAAGTCTAAAGAATATACTATAATAATAGGCTTTATAGCAAGTCTTATGATATAATTGAATATTTTTATTAAACAGAAAACACTAACATGTCTTGCAGCGATGCCAGATGCACCTTAAAAAAAATAATATCGCGACCTTTGGTGTCGCTGCTCGATAACCAGCTTCGTTACCCCGCGTTTTATTACCAATGGCCATACAATAAACTCCAGTTTTTTTTTTTTTTTTGAATAAACGATACTTTGCAATCCTCCGCTCTCGGACCATCGCGCGTTCCATTGGGGACCACAAGCAAGCGTCCCGCACTAGGTGCCTTTGTAGAGACCTCCACTGACATTCTTTTTCTTCAACCCTAGACAAAAAGCAAAAGCATCGTCAATGTATAGGACGGAAAATAAATATTGCACAACCGGTGTATACAAAATTTATCTTCGACATGAATATACTGTACCTGGTGGCAATCATGAGGTACATGATGAAACTTACATATTTATCCCACAGGAAGAAAAAGTCGATAGGATGGTTTAATCATATGGCGAACCATGACCTCTCGTCCGAACCGGATAGTTATCCATTTTTTTTTCAGATGCATGGACTTGCTGATGGAGAAAGCGGTAACAGACCAACGGTAACGTGAACCATACGTGATACATATGAATTTTTTTGTACTTGAGTGTAGTATAATAATAATGACCCACTAATAACGCAACAGCTTTGGGCAAAGCTGACATCAATGCTCCGGATGTTCAGAATTGGTGACCGTAAGTTTGAACCCATGTGTATATCCGCGGGTTCAATCTATATGCGGGTTCTAAAACCCATGGGTTAGGGTTAGTATGGGTTCAAATATCCATAAAAAAGATAAAAGCGAATTCGACAAAACCATGACATAAAAGGAATATGTCTAGCAAACATGGAAATTCAAATCGCCTTACATGCAGATGATGCAACAGTGTATTCTGATGGATCAGAACAAAGTATCAAAACCATTTTTTCGAAGCGGATAAATTCTATCTATACCAGTGGCGAGGCAAGACTCTCGTGGGCCCCCCGCAAAAATATTTCGTTGAAATGACCCTAAAAACTCTCGGACATAAGCTAAAACAACGCTTTTTTTATTTCGTTAAAAAGCATAACATGTCGCTATTAAAAGGCAATGGTAACCTGAAATTTGCCGTTATCTTGGTTACTTTAATTTTTTTCATACGTGCTTCCTCTTCTGCGTTTCTGTGTGCCACCGAGAGGTTTTGCTTTCGACATCATTCTGACAGCCTTCGTAATTTTGCCGGTGCGATCAAACCACAAGACGCCGAAAATCGATGACTCCCTGGCATTGTTACGTAACAAAACGATTTGAGCAGAACTAACGTCAACTTTAATACGATGTGCATTACTGGTTTTGCAATCCAACTTTTGGTTTTGCGGCCTAAATTTCTAAATTATAACCGCTTGGGCCCCGTTGCGCTGTGGGTCCTCCCGCGACCGCGAATACAATAATTGTTGCGTGGAAATTCTTGTCTCGATACATTTCGATGAATCACTCAGTGTACATTGCCAGCAATACAAAAAATTTTCTCATGAATTAACTATTTAAGATGCACACTAAGCTACTTAACGTTATTCCATTCAATATACTTACTATATGTGCTATCAATATTTTTATCAAAAGCCGTTATTAATATTTTTCTCAAAAACTTCTTGCGAATGATATATATCCTTATCATCAAGTTGATTTTGAATTTGGTTAACTTCCCCATTCTGCCATTATCAAAACGTCAAACTCTGCAAAACGTAATGATGATTATGACACCATCATGCGGGTCAGATTGAATTGCCCAACGGAACGGATTTGGCCCGCGGGCCGTAGTTCCCATGTCAGTGTCAGGTGCACCTCACGAATATCCATCCCAATGGCGATCCATCCTGAGTTAAACAAAATTCAACGTGTGTGACGGTGATTATACATTGAATACAAAACTTGGTTATTGGACACAAAATATCCAGATGAATCCTATTGTTATTATGTTGTTGTTAATGTTGTTATTGAACATTTTTTTCCTTCTGTTCGTTTATTTATTATCAATGGCCATACAATAAACTCCCGGCGGTTTTCAAATAAACTTGTCCCCCCGATCCCCTTCGGGCCATGGTACGTTCCATTGTAGACCATGAGCAAACATCGCAAACCAGATAAGTTTGCATAGACCACGGGTTCTCAACCTTTTTTCTGTCAAGTACCCCTCGAGTCACGAAGCAAGCAACGCGAACCCCCGTAATCAGGCATCGAACAAATTTGTGATAAATTGAATAACAATTTGTTGCAACGACAATTTATTAACCATATGTAACTAAATTAAATCTCTGCGTTAATAATATTGCCCTTGTCGTCTGCCTAACTAATGAGTTCTCAAAATCGTTCCAAGTTTTAATAAGCGAGATCACTTTCTCTAATGCTCGTTGCACGCTGTCTTAGAGATTTCAGTTTTCTGCAAAGCCGTGAATTCCACATTGTTGCGTCACAATCACAATAACGCAAGATCAGTGAAAATCTACGTTTCAATTGACATGCTTTTTCCTCTGGTAGTAATAAAGGATAATAAAAACAACAACACACAAAAACTCGACTGCCTTCCAAGTACCCATGGAAATCTTCTCGTGAACCCCTGGGGGTTCGCGAACCCCAGGTTGAGAACCCCTGGCATAGACCTTTGTTGACATTTGCTTTCTGCAATCCAAGACGAATGCCAATGGCCCCGTCAATGTATAGGATAGGATTTGCATATTCATCCCGGAGAACAGCCGATAAGATGGCTTAATCATATGGCAAACCACGACCCTTCGTTCGGTACATGTCGGTTAAGGGATTAGTTTGCCATTTATTAAAAAAATTCAGATGCATGGAATTGATGGTGGAGGAAACAGTAACCGACCAGCGGTAACGTGAATCTTGTGGGTCGGGTATGGGACTAGTTAGCCAGTCATATAGTTAGCCAGAAATCTTTTGTACCTGGCTGTAGTATAATAATGACGGGACCGCCTTAGGCAAAACTGGGATCAATGCTCCAGGTATTCCAAATTAGCTTCGCACAACAACCACGATGTGCCGCGCGTAAGGGAGTTAGTTTATTTTTGGTATGGTCCTGCCAGAAGTTATGTATTGTCTTGTACTATTACCTGTGTCTGTTATAAAATATCTGTTTTAGTTATCTGTTTGTTGTGCCGGGTGCACTGCGTTTTTTTTCTCGGCTGAACATATCTATGTATATTCTTGCTTTAAGAATAGTTAAGGAATATATCACCATCAGACACACCTTATGTGGTTTGTTAAATTAAAAAGACTAAGTTTAGCTTTAAACTACTTGTGTGTTACTATTTGTATTTTGAAGACACCCGCTTAACGTCTTTGGGTAATTGTACGAAATAAAGATGAGGTATTTATTATTTGATTAACCTGATGTTGTACTGACTGTAAAATCCTCTCGATTTTTCTGTTAGTTTCATTTGCACCACCCATCCTATTCATTTTCGGTTACCAAATTAATAAAACAAATCGACATTGAAACAGTTTATTTTTCAAATCATAAAATATGACGTCATAAGTACAATGCAATTAAGGACAATAGTACCCTTGTCAATCACATCAACTGAAATGAAATTTTAACATTAACTACAGTAATAAAACAAGTAATATTCTGAAAACTGTCAACTCTCATACTATATATCATTACAAAACAGCATTTTTTCCGGTTTCGTTTCCTTGGTTTCGTCAAAGCTCCATCATAGGTTGTTTATCACCTAGGAACATAACTCCAGCACGAAGTAAAAATAACAATAATAGTTTTATTTAAAACACTAAAATTTACGAAAACATTGATTTGGTTATAGATCGATTACAAGAAAGAGATTTATCTGTAAGCTGTAACTGCCATTTTGATTACAAACCTGACAATATCTGGAATTAAACAATTATAATTATTGCATGATGAAGAATTATGCCAACAGTTTTGTTTTAAGGTCATTTTCGAGTCGAACTATATGAGTACATACGAGAAAGCAGGTTTGGGCATTATATATAACATACTATCAGCAATTTCAAATTTATAGTTTATTATAAAAATCGCCCTTTTCAGAATTTTTTGATCGATCATGTGATATATTTAGACAAGATTTTAAGTTTCACAAAATTTGGTTTCAGCATCGCCAATCTGCGGAATTTTTGAAAACTTGCCAAAAGTTTAATTGAATTATCAATATTTAACATGATGTTGATGGGAAATATCTTGAAGTCATGTTTTGTCAAATTTTCGATATTTTTCTATTACACCTATCCATTGTAAATAGTAATATTAAATTTAAAAAAAATGGCGATTAGTGTAAGAGGAAAAAATACGTGCATTCTTCCACCCTATATAATGTTAATAAACTTTGCGACGAAGAGACTGATGACGAATCCAAATATGGCGGTAGATTTGACAGTTCCAGCCCCGTTGCATGCATCTAGAATAAATAAATATATCTTTTAGCTTTTGTCACTATTTCTAAATCAAATTAAGTTTCTTTCACCTTGCTACATGGAATGATTTTCAATTTTAATTACGCAAAGAGATGTAGTCGCCAGAAATATATTACTTTTTCTCTGAGCATCATGCGGTCTGATACTGCTCGAAAAATTTATTTTACTTCATTTGATGTGTCAGCATAGACCTAATGAATGTCTCACTGAGTAAATTTGGCATCACGTGGTCAATGACTAGTTTCATTAAAATAAGGTATGTTCACCCGAAATTAAGATCTTTGACGTGGACATTAGAATTTCGTGTCTATTTATTTGAGCATTATTCTCTTGTTTTAAAAAATATCTTGCGATCCTTTGTAAAACGGGAAAATTTTGTGCTCGAAGAAGCTACGTATTTAATTCATCTTAAATTTATGAAGAAGAAGAACTATTTCCCACCTTCTGTATATCGTTTGCATTCATTTGCTTAAAATATCACAAATCAATTTTACCTTTTTTGCACACACAGGCTTCAATCTGATTTTCGGTTTTACAGCCAACATTGAGAGTGCCGATACTACACGATCTGCTTACATGACCTAAAATGTTTTTGAATTAGTGATAATGCCAGATGGTTTTGGTTTAATTAACCAAACCGGTCGTCTACTTTAGCTGTAGCTGTAAAAAATATATTCTCCTTCTTCAACTTCAATCTCCCCTAGCTGCTTTAAGCCAATGCTCACCCAATTCCGGGTTTTGCCGGAAAGGTGCGTTTACATTTGTCTGGAACGCTGATGATACGAAAGTTTGCACGGCCGTCGACTCTCCGAAATTCAACGCTACCACACTCTTGTTACATTTCAATTCATCGGACAATCTTCCCAGATTGAAAAATCCGAGAGTTGGACAGGTTTTCAAAGCTTAGAGGAATGTTTTCAACGAACGAAATCTTAACTTCAACAATATTCTTCAAATCAACTATTACGCTCATTATTTTACAAAACAGAAAGAAGTCGATTGTCCAAACGCAATGGCTTAGTTCTGGGTGTTATCGAAGATTTCGTGAAAATCTGTAGATTTCACCGCAAAAGATCCTTCAACCGGAGGTATCTCAATCAAATTGGTTTTCCTGTGTCGTTGCATTAGTTGGTCATCAGCGACTTTGATGCAGAATTAAATACACCAATACATGGCAAATTTTACGACATATTATTCAATCAGAAATCGTTATTAGCTAGTCTTACAAAATTTAAAAATTAGCAAACTAATTTTTTTCATTGTCGGGGGGAATTGTGTAGCAAGTACATAAGGATAGTTACTGTGTAATTTAATATTTTCACCACTTATTGTTAGTAGTGCATGTTGTTTGCCTGAAACAAGGTCGTTGTCCCAATTCATTTCCTTTATGATATATTTTTCTCGCTCAGTGTAGCTTGTCTTTGCCGTTCTTTGTTAGTTAGAAATTTGGTTTCATCACATATACTTGCTTTAAGGTTTCAAGTGTAATTCGTTATTTGGATCAATTCGATTGTGCAACTTTACAATATAACAATTGGCATTCAATACATTGTGTGCTTTCTGACCTCTGAAGGAGTCAAGATCGGAGTTACACTCTGTTAACGTGTGTTCAATAACACTGGAGTGTGGACACGCAGATAGGGTCGAATCTTTGTTGCCCTATAATATATATCCTTATCATCAACTAAGTCGATTTTAAACTTCGTTAGCTTCCCCATTATCAAGCCGTCAAACTCTGCAACACGTAAATAACTGAATGAAGAGATGTACAACAGGCACGATACCGGAATACCGCTCAACTTCAAGACTTTTCGTTTAAAACAAATTCTGAAATTAGTGACTGTGACAAGGGCATCAACAAACCACTATGTAACTTTGCAGAGAACTTCACTTACATTTTCTTTCTCCAACACAAGACGAATGAATAGGATTTACATATATATTTATCCCAGATGAGAGGAAAGTTAGCCAGTTATTTAGTTATTTATTTTTATTTTTTTTCAGATGCATGGACTTGATGGCGGGGGAAGCCGTAACTAACCAGCGGGCAGCGCTTACGTGAATCATCCTAAAGCGGTACTCCCGTAGTATGTGTACCAGGTTAGGGTTAGGCCATAATTTTCTTCCGATTTTCCTTATTTTAATTTTATTACGAGCCCCATTACTGTCTGTGTTAGCCAAGTAAATATACCCCCTGCCCATATGCTTCCGTCCCTTTACACAACTTGATCTAGAGCAGGCGAACAAAATTAGTTACCTTCATATTGGTACACATACCTCTGTAGTGCCCCTATTGCTAAGCACGATGCGCCCCACTCGAGTCGAGTTTTGGGCAAATTCCCCTAACATCGACAGTATTACGTACCATAAATGTGCTTGGTGATTGTCGCACCCTGTTGAGGAACACGTCGCCATCGCAAATATAATTAACTTTTCTTCCTCAGTAATTTCATCGCATTTTGATACTGGAAATATCCGGTTTCTTTAACATATTCATATGCCATAGGCGATTTATGCTAGTATTTAGTGTTCGACGTTTTACTCTGGTATGATTTAATGTTGGATTTATTTTAATAGGTTGTCGGGTTGTTATGAAAGATAACAGGATACTGATTCTAGGCTTTATTAAACATAAGAACACCACTACCACAACTTAACACTGTAAACAATAGAATAACACGCAAACAGTAAAGTGTGTAGTACGACAGAACTAGGGTAATCAAGAGTACATTGTTTATCTAATAATTACACTGTAAATAAATACTAACACCACACGGGTGTAGCTGCTCGATATAGTAGTCCTGGTTTATCGTGTCTCCTCCCACCCTTAAAATGGAATTCTTTGTTTTTTTTACTTCATTTTGTATGTACAATGTGTATTTTTAGTATGGTGAAAAAATAAACTACTGATTACTGAGTGTAATGACGGAACAGCTTTGGTCAGAGCTGAGATCAGTGCTGCGTGTATTCCAAATTACCTTCTCGCAACAACCACGACGTGCCGCGCTCTGAAGGAGTCTCTATTATTTGATATGGTCATACTAGAACAGGGATCACCAACTCGTTGCCCGCGGGCACCAAGTCGCCCGTGACGACCATATGAGTCGCCCACAGGTCTGTTCCAAACTAAGCTTAATAACGGCGCTTATGATTGAGCTACATCAATTAAATTTTGTCTTGCTATTCTTGTATAATTCACACTTATATGGGAATCGGGAATGGCACTACATTATTTATTGTAGCCATCAACCTGATTTTTATTTGACCTCAGTAATGTGACGGGTCAATTAATATTTTTCCAATTATGACATCACACTGATATCACTTACCACGAACCCGCGCTTTTTCTTGTCCGTTGATTTGTGGAGCAGCAATAATATAATTATTGATTCCGAAAAAAAATGGCAGAAAAACGATGAAAAACCCACCATTTTCACGATGAATGGGGATGGATATATATTTACCACCATGAAAACAGCCTGCGCGTGTCTCATTTGTGGGACGATTGTAGTGACGGCAAAGCGAAAAGATATTTCACGGCTTGTCACGCAATCCACCGCGCTAACTATCCACTGGTCAGCGCCTTACAATCAAAAAAGCTAGTGATTCAAATCACACAGCAATTCTATTTTACGAGACCATTGTTTCGTTCAACTTATCTTTGTGAATCAACATTTTTGACATAAACTCAGGATAGGATGGGATTTACATATTTATCCCGGGGGAGAAGATAGCCGATAAGATGGCTAAACCATATGGCCTCTCGTCCGGTTACCATTTCATGTCGGGTTTGGGATTAGTTAGTTATTTGTTTTCGTAAGCATGGACTTGATGGCGAAGGAAGCCATCCCAACGGCGGCAAGGGGTCCAGCAATTCTCTCGCACATAACTATCCTCGCATGGGATTCTAATCTGCGAACCTAACGCTTAGCACACTAACGATGGCCACACAGCCGCGACTTTTTAGAAGTGTACATTGAATTGGTAGCCCGCGGCTTACTTAATCTGTACCTAGAAAGTAGCGCTCGGCCTCGAAAAGGTTGGTGACCCCTGTACTAGAAGATGGGTACAGCACATTTGAATCCACGTACATTTGAACCCATACATTTTCACCCGTATATACGCGGATACAATCTATATGAGGTGCTAAAATCCATGGGTTATGGTTAGTATGGGTTCAAATATCCGTAGGTGCAAATTGCCATAGGTGCAATAGTATATGCAGGGTGCAATTGTCGTGGGTTCAAATGTACGTGGGTTCACATGTAATGGAACCAAGAAGATATTTATTGCCTTGTACTGATACCTGCTTCGGGTATGAAAATGCTGTTCTAGTTATTTGTTTGTTGTGTCGGGTGTACTGCGTTCTTCTTCTTGGCTGAATATACCCGCGTTTACCAGAATCTAGCCAATGGTTAGGTTGGCCGTAAATAAATTGAGTGCCGTGTATATTCTTGCTTTTAGAATAATTAAAGAATATATATATTTTAACATCAGACACATCGTTGCGTGGAATTGTCGTAAATCATGGTCGTAAATTGGAAAAACTAAGTTTAGACTATTTGTGTATTCCTATTTGTATCTTGAGGACACTTGCTTAACATCCTCGTGTAATTGTACGAACTAAAGATAACATAGATTTCCTAGTTGGGAAATTATTTAAGGGTCTTTCTCGGTTTATTTTTAGAGTAACCTGATGTTGTACTGACTGTAAGATTCCCTCGATTTTTTCTTTTAGTTTCATTCGCACTCAGTCTATTCATTTTCAGTTACCAAATTAATAAAACAACTCGACATTGAAACAGTTTATTTTTTTAATCATAGAATATGACGTCATGAGTACAATGCAATTAAGGACTATAGTCAATCATATCAACTGAAATGAAATTTTAACATTAACTACAGTAATAAAACAAGTAATATCCTGAAAACTGTCAACTTTTATATTATATATCATTACGAAACAGCATTTTTTCTGGTTTCGTTTCCATGGTTTCGTCAAAGCTTCATCATAGGTTGTTCATCACCTATGAACATAACTCCAGCACGAAGTAAAAATAACAATAATAGTTTTATTTGAAACACTAAAATTTACGAAAACATCGATTCGATTATACATCGATTATAAAAAAGAGATTTATCTGTAAGCTGTAACTGCTATTTTGGTTACTAACCTATTTCAAGTTTCGGAATTTCAAAAAGTTGTCAAAAGTTTTATTGAACTATCAATATTCAACATTGAGTTGACGGGAAGATGCTGAAGTCATGTTTTGCCAAACTTTTATATATTTTTTTTATTCTATTCATTATTTTATAAAGTAATATTAAAATTCGAACAAATGCCCAAATACCCAGGTTTGAAATCAAAAATTGGCGTTTACTCTGCATTCTATACCACCCTATATAATGTTAAACTTTGCGACGAGGAAACTGATGACGAATCCAAATATGGCGGTAGATTTGACAGTTCCAGTCCCGTTGCATTCATCTGGAATAAATAAATCGCCAGATGACTGTTACTTTTATTTTTTCTCTGAGCACCATGCGGCCTGATACCGCACGAAAAATCTATTTATTTTATTTTATTTAATGTGCCAGCATGGACCAAATAAATGTCCCGCTGAGTAAATTTGGCAACACGTGGTCAATGACTAGTTTCATTAAAATAAGGTATGTTTACCCGAAATTAAGATCTTTGACGTGGACATTAGAACTTCGTGTCTATATATTTGAGCATTATTCTCTTGTTTTAAAAAATATCTTGCTATCGTTCGTAAAACGAAAAATTGTTGTGCTCGGAGAAGCTACGTATTTAATTCACCATAAATTTATGAAGAAGAAGAACTATTTCCCACCTTCTGTATATCGTTTGCATTCATTTGCTTAAAATATCACAAATCAATTTTACCTTTTTTGCACACACATGCTTCTATCTGATTTTCGGTTTTACAGCCAACATCGAGATTGCCGCTAATACACGACCTCGTCACATCACCTAAAATGTTTTAAGTTAGTGATAATGCCAGATGGTTTTGGTTTATTGACCCAACTGGTCGTCTACTTCAGCTGTAACTGTCAAAATATATGTTCTGGTATTTAGGGCAATTGAAGTTATCATTGCCCAAATCAAAAGCACATCATGGCTCATATAAGAAACTTTGTTTAAATATTTAAAATGGCTTCGTGTACAATTATATATTTTGAATAAATGTTAACTGTACTGACCATTTCCATTTTATTTGGAATATTCGTGAATAGCTTACCGTTTGCAAACACTTTGTAGCAAGCTGGTAGGGAATCCGGGCAATTTTGAAGCTGAGTACCATTTAGCTGTTTGGCTTCGTTGCAATTGGTGCATACGTAACACCGTATTCCATGGCCTAATTGACATAAGAAAGTTTACCTGTTTACGGAAATTGTAACTAATGCAATTTACGAGGGGGCAAAACTACTTGGTGATCAGTGCTAATAAGCACAATATTTCAGGTATTTATTTAGCTGATACTATTAGAAAAACATCGGATATAAAAACATACTTTAATTTTTGTATTTTAGAATTTTCTGACAGGCAAGAAGATTTGTGAAGATATTTTAAAATTTCAATTCTTTTTTATAATTTGGATCAATATTTGAATATTCCAAAAGATTTATTTACTCACCTGAAGAGGCCAATATTACAACCAAACATGCTATTGCAACCAGATTCATTTTGAACGACTGTTGAAACTTTTTTATCTATCTAAGTTTACACTGTATAAAAAGAAATATTTCTTCTTACTTACACTACCTATATATATATCCATCACATCAAAAGGCCCACATGGAGATTTCAATAAATTCGAGAAAACTAACTCTAATAGTTATTTCTACTAGAAACTGTATCCTGGGAGTGCCTTTCCCAACACTCAACATTGCCTTATATTAATCAAAATGAATGCAAATTTTTCTACTCATTTGGATATTTAAATGATACATACTTCCGCCAGCGACCTAAATAACTATGCAAATCTTACAAGGTATTCTTAAATATCAATTACAATATTCAAATGCGATTTTCAAAGAATATGATTTGATGAGTAGTTAGTGAAACCCGATTCTTTTGCGGAGAGAAATTATTAAATTTGATGTTAGTCATTCATTCAATATTCTCATACACTGCAAACAATGCTAATGCATTTGAGGCAAAAAACTGTAATTGGACACGTAGTGGACATTACGATCGTTTCAATATTATGTTGGTCTTGTTGTTGTTGTTCTTTGACACTTTTTGGACATCTAGTGGGAAATCTAAAAAACCGCTTTTCTCTTTCATTACTGGACCGATTGCTTCGAAATTTTTACTGGTTAAAGATGAAATTTTTTCTCCAGAAGGCTGTTACTTTTATTTATTTCAAATATTTCTGTTAGCTCTGTGAGATTTGTTTTTGTTTGCTATGACGTCGCCGAACGTTCTGCGAACGCATAGCCGACGACACTCCTCTACATTTTGATCACGTGCCATCGAACGTCGATGGTTCGTAACGAAGTCCTTACGGTACTTTGCTACGATTTTTTCCTTACGCTGTCTTACTACGGTACCGGTACTGTACCGTACAGTATTGCAATAATGTTGGTTTTCTTTTTTGCGGGGACGTTACCGTACCGCCTTAGCGAAAGTTGGAAGTCCTACTGTACTGCTTCGCTTGGTGTGAATATATTTGTAGACTGTGATCTGACGGTACGGTAAACCGTACTGTACTGCGAACAGACGTGTCCGTATATTTGGACGTAGCTCTCTTGTATTCAAAAAGCATTGATAGAGTTTCGGATGAGTAGTGACTAGTGAGTTTCATATAGGATTCATACTAGATAAAATAGCTTCAGCGTAATTTGAGGAACAATGTCCCATTTCCATTGACAAGCCTAGTAATATGTAAATTTGTAAATTGTATTAAAATATCTGTCCCAGTTTCCCGCAGCTTCTCTGCTAAAGTAAATTTTCGTGTTTGTGTTTTTCGTTTGCAATTGATTTTTACTGGTTGGAAGAATAAACTTCTTTTATAGATAGGAAAAGTCGATTAGATTATGTTTAGAAGTGATGACCAAACAATAATCGCTCTGATGGTCTGCTTTTCAATTGTAACCTTATACGTGCAAACGTTGCATTGTCAAATACGTTTTATTATCAGCATTCAGTTTTCATCGGATAATACGCTTTAATCCTTGGTTACGATTAACAAAAATCAAATTTTGCGACGTATATTTATCCAAATAAGGTGAACATTGTTACTTCACATATATTACCTATTAGTAGCCGATTTCACCATATACAATATTATTATCGTCATGCATCGAAGATATAGTGATTTCATTTCGAAGTCTACGACTTACGTCTAATATATCCCAGGTACTGAGACCTCCTCGGTCGGTGCATCACTTCAAAAGTCTATTCTAGGAATTATCCAGCATTAAAAAACAAATTTCATTTGAAAGCCCCTTTGCACAACGTGATGGACAAAAAATAAGTGATCTTTTTAAAACGAAATGACCTCAAAACGGACGTTGGGAAAATTATATACTCATCTTTACAATAAATAGTCGATTTGTGAATGTAAGTTGCAGCCAGTGGTGAGAATCAAATTTTTTGTCAGCCGGTTCCATCATACAAATGTCGATTTTTCAGGCGGTTCTGTTACAAAAAGTCATGTAATGCTAACCGGTTCGCTGATTCGCATAAAATTCCGTAAGACGATTCTATAGAACCGGTGCGAACCGGCTGAATCCCACTACTGGTTGCAGCCTACTAGATTGTTATTTATTGACCTTTCGATTATACCCTCGCCCAGGCAGCATTCAAACGATAAGCGTCCTAGAAACACCACTTCTAAATATGTAATAAAGCCAGACATAAATTTTATTAAATTCTGAGATTTGCCCTGCTCATAACCCGGTACTCGATGGCTGGTATTAATATATTTATTAGTTATTTATAGAATAATATTTCTTATTAAAAACATGTAATATTTTTGTATATAATATGTATAAAAAATGAAAACAACACAAAAAATGAGGTAACTGTGGGTAAAATGTAGTTAAATGTGAACAGCTTGCAATGTAATACCTGCCACTGGTTGATTATAATATACCGAATGTTGAATAATACATTGTCGCTTATGTTTGCAGACAGCAGTCAAGTCGATCGTACTTTTGAACGCAAAATACGCTCGCCGTGAAATATTCATTTCGATTTGACCGCGAAGTGATGTACTATAGAAAATTTATCAAAAATAAATACAGTCTACTTTAACAGATTAACGAGCTTTGTGCAAAAAGCATAGATAATTACATCATTAGTGCCCAGCGTCTAAATTATTATCAAACCGCTAACATTCACAACAACACAATAGGCTAAGTTCAGGCTAAGGCTAGTTTGACTGATTGAATAAAACCAAGTTTTAATTACTTATTTATTATAGGTAAAAGCTGTTTGATTCCAGTCATAGAAGGTATATTTGGGCGTATACGTTGTGTCTCCTCTGGTATATTTATCATCTTTAACGTCGAAGTTCCCTTCAGTCGCATCCATGTAAGAGGGAGGAGGAACTATAAGACAATGAAATTATTAAAATTGATATACTCGGTACGTTCTATGTTAATAACAATCGAAGCAAATTCATAGTAGTTGATCTTCCTGATATTGCTCGTTAATCCTCAGATTTATTATACAGGAATCCTCAGATTCTTGTTCATTTTTCGGCGCTCCCGAAGTATGTGCACCAAGATGGCGCACAGCCTGAACCCTGACCTAGTATACATACTCTGTTCAGGATGTGCGCCATTTTGGTGCACATACTTCGGGAGCTTCTACTTTTCTAGCAAGTGGCATTATATTCCATGCATTAAATAGAAATGTCGGTACACCCTTAGTATGTGTACCAGGTTAGGGCTATGCCTTAATTTGTTCCGATTTTCTACTTTTTTAGTTCCATTATGATTTTGGGGGCTGTCTGTGTTAGCCAAGTGAATATACCCCCTGTCCATACGCTTCCATGCGTTTACACAACTCGATGTAAAGTAGGCGAACAAAATAAGTTACCTCCCTATTGATACATACACTTCTGAGGAGCCGAAATGTTGGGTATGAAGTTATTGAAATGAAAGCGCTTTGCAGCTCTCCAAAAGACTCTACTTAAGTGATTAGATTTACAGGATTTTATAAACTAAAAACACCTCTTTCTCCCATTAGTTTTTGCCACTATATTTCGGAATATGGTATTCGATGATTGATAATATATAATTAGGAGCATTGTTGACAAGGCAAATATTTCCTATCAACGCCGTTTTTGAGTCCTATCAAATGCTTATCTATTATTGGAGCACAGCAGTAAAATTCACGTGTCTCTTTTTAGTGAATAACCCGTACTAAAATTCTGAATATACCTTGAAATCCAAATGACGTAGGCAGAACTGAAGTCGTTGTAGTAGCATATGAACTTGCTGTCGTGTTTTCTATCACTGTTGCTGAGGAATCAGGTAAAGAAGGATATACGGATGGTGCTGGCTGTACTTGAGGATCTTGTTGACCAGAATACATGGGAAGACTACGGATTGGAACAGAACCAATTACAATGGGCGCCATACCACGTAAATCGATTGCACAGAAGCGCAAATGCCCATGAATCTGCATAACAAAATACGTGTTTTTACCGTAACCGTAACGTATATGTGTACCAGGTTAGGGTTAGGTCATAATTTTATTTCAATTTTCCTTATTTCAGTTCTATTACGGGGACTAGCCAAGTGTATTTTCCCGTAGTATTTGTACCTGGAATTATGGCCTCACCTCACCCTAACCTGGTACACATACTATGTTCCGGTATCCGCCATCTTGGTTCACATACTACAGGAGTACCCATAAATGTTTGTTTGTACGTACCATAACAGCATAGTTGATATCGATAATCTTGCAATGTGTATTTTCTGTTGGTGGAAGAGCCGGAATCTGAATTTTAATGTTGTCAAAAGATGTTGATTTTTTTGAGTCGCAATGAGAACCAAATACTTGCTGCATGCTGTATTTAACTGTTTTTGACTTCATTTTTGCACGATATTTGACGATTTTCATTATTTCAATGGATGTTTTCTGCACCTTGCTTCCGCTGATAAAACGTAAAGTTACAGTTACAGTTGAACTTATCAACCTAACAAGAGAAAGGAATAAACTTCGTACTCAACCAACAAAAGACACTCTAAATGGGGTTACCTCTTGTTATTTACTTTTGCATTCACGATGACCCATTCGCCAGGAACATAACCAGTTCGGTCCGTAGTAATTTCACCTTGAATTGGTCCACTTTTACAGCAAAGACAGCACAGATATTTGTTTTCTTTACCAGAAGAAGGTGCCTAACAATCGTGATAGAAATAGGGTTAGTTTATAATGATGAATATTAACAGAACAAATCACATAGCTTGCAACGGCACAACAAAGAAAAGCATAGGAGGAGGGCCCAAGATCGGTAGTCAGTCCAAAATTTTGGAAAAATGGGGGGATTTATATGACGCTTACTCGCCCCGAACACTCTAAATCAGGGGTGTGCAACCTTTTTCGCGAGCGGGCCAAATACCAATAACTAAGTGAAACCGCGGACTGCACCGTCATTTAACATAGGCTTTCTATTAGTGGCAGGTAGAGAATAGCTCATTTTAGAAATAAATATGTTACCGAAAAGTGCATATTTGAAGCCATGACTTTTTTGAAAATGTAGAAAGTTATCTTGGTGTTTTCGGTAAGAATCATTTCCAAGTAATTTTCTGTTAAATCTTATTCTGGACTAGATTTAAATAAAATCAATTGATAAGTTGGAACCAAAACTCATTTAGCCTTTGTATCTATATATTGATAATTTTTTTAAACTGCTTTCCAGTTACCTAATCTTCAATTAATCGTTCTTACAAATTCATTAGCGTCTGCTCCGCATTTTTCTTAAATTGTTTGCTGCTCAGCAAGGGACAACTTTGAGAATCGCGTTGTTCGCCTCGCTGTCAGGACGCTGTAAGTCATAGACATGGATAATAAATTGAACTCGGATAAAAGCTTTGCAACGCAAAGAGAACCAGATTCAACCAAATTTAAAAACTAGTTTAGCTGGCCGCGCACCTTTCAAAATTGGCATTTTTCCGCGGGCCGCACAATTTTTTCTTGCGGGCCGCATTTGGCCCGCGGGTCGCACTTTGCACCTCCCTGCTCTAAATAGCAGTCACTATTATTTTGCAATGTGTTGTTTAATATCTCCATAAAGTTACTCCGCTGCCATAGTTATCCGAGCTGTATGAGCGCGAAGTACGCCAGGAAAACATCGGGTTATCTGAGAATTGCTCAATAATTGCCCCCTCTCTACGCCTAGGAAAGAATCATTTAATTGAAGACTCAAATTTAAGTCATCTTAATAAGTGCATCGTACTCAATAAATGGACCTCCTAAAGTATGCGCACCAAGATGTCGCATAACCTGAACCCTAACCCAGTACACAACCTGAGTTCAGGTTGAGCGCCATCTTGGTGCGCATACTTCAGGAGGTCCCAATAAATTATGAATAATATGGTTATACTTTCATATTGGACTCGCGTTAGGAACTTTACAATTTATAGAATATAAAACATATTAAATACATATTATGTGTGTATGCATATCTGGATTTCTTATTTGACGACATATATATATATATATTAGGATTAGTGTTCAAAATATAAGAGAAGCTTGCATCGCCATTTTACCATCATGTTCTGCTTTTTGTTAAGATCCAGAATGTCTAATATTGTTATCATACTTTTCGTATTGTGATCAAATTTCCACGGCCTAACTATTGTTGCTTTGACATAGTATCGTATGTACCCTATTTTGTCTGAAAAACAACATCAATTACTAAATTAAATAAAATCATGTAATACGTTTAAATTATTCAGCAGTTAATTATTTTAATTTGGTGAAAAATCTGGTCTATAATTTTAAACTGACTATAATAGTTTCAAGGAAGTTCGGCGTCGAATAGTATTAGTATTGTGAAATCGAAGTGGTGTTTTAAAAGCTTATCTTAGAATTGGGTAAACTTGTACCTTCGTATGATGACGGCAACGGCGCTGGCAAGGTGCAACTGAACGGAAAACTGTGCGATCCTACTGACAGGGTCATATTCTCTGCCGTTCCTGTAAAATACAATAGTCAACGATCCGTTCAGATGACGTCTTTTATGATTTATATATATTGCACTAGCTTCCACCTTGTATTCGTAAATGACAAAGAAGCATTGTTGTATCTATCAGACAAAACATGAATTGCCAAAGACTTTGACAAGAAAAATAAGAAAAAAAATATAAAATTGTCTATTCTATTCACTCCGTATTGATTCGAAATTTGGCACCACACACATTTAATGCTATGATTTGATAAACAATATCTAATCACTGCGAGCTGTAAGCGTTTTAATTCAACGGCAGATTCATATTATTCATAACAAAGCTTGAATTATAAACAATTATATAATTTCCTAAAAACGCACCTTCTCCGTAAACCGTGATGTTCTGCTCCATTAAATCCTGGTTGTTATAGTGATAAACATGAACTTTTCCGTGTTGCTCATGCCAACCAACGTGCGCCTTTCCAGTTACTTTCACTCGTATTTCTGAAAATTTATCCTGATTTCAATTAAATTAGAAAATTGCATTTCCGAACGTCGTGTTTTTTATCCATGCCTGTTAACCTATCAGTTATCTCTTATGATTTTTAGCTTTTATAGTCATTACCGTATTTATTCGCGTATAATACGCACCCATGTATAATACGCATGGCTCTCTTAGGATGTGGATTGTATGAAAATATCAAGGTTCATGCATAATACGCACGGTCGAATTCAGTCACTTGCATCGACCGCGTTTGGTATTTTCGAGAAGCCAGCCTAGCAAGTTTCACTTTGATTTAATAATATGTTTCAAATGTTCATGAGGTGGACAGGCCTGTTGTCTGTCAATCTCGGAGTGATGTTACCCCGCTTTGAACTATCGTGCTGTTACCTATCTTAGAGCATTTTGAAAATGGCTGGGAAAAAAATTTGTGACGTTAGGTTTGCTGATTGGCCGCAAATCAGAATGAGACAAAATGATTTAGGAACATTCAGTTTTACTGTAAATGAGAGACGCCAGACTGGACGACACAACAATTAAACTATGATACAGACTGCTGTTCTTATCACTTAAATACACTGGTTATTGAAATAGATGCAGTCCATTCTGTGGGTGTGATTCTACTGCAGCAAGCATGATCTGGTTATAACGCTTATAACTGGTTATAACATAAAATAATAGAAATAAGACGGCAAAGAAACATGTGATAAGTATTCGGCAGTTGCGTGTGAAATATCGATCAGGATTTTTTAAATTTTTTCTATACCAATGTATACGCACCCCCTAATTTTGGAGATGAAATCCGGAACCGGAAGTGCGTGTTATACACGGAGAAATACGGTATTTTTTAATGTATTGATTGCATTGACCAATCGCTAGGGCATCATTTTTAAACTTGCATTTTTGAAATTGCCACCAAAATCGAAAAATGTAAAGCATACAAGTGTAACTCAAAATGCCCAAAAAATCTGATACATACTGTGAAGCTTTGTCGAGTTAAGCGATTTGTTTGGTTTCAATTTTCACTATTTCCCCAGTCACCTACAGATAAATTTGTGTTTACCAAATAGATAATGTAATCAATAGATAAAAGGCGAGGCATATTCACCAATGCCAGCAGCGCCACTATTTAAATATTGCATCATATTAAAAAAGAACTTAAAACTTTTCACATCATCGAGGAATATCAAACTTTTCGATTATTTTATAGTCGAGATTTTGCGTAAAAACTAGGATTAGGGCAATTTATTTTCATACAGACGTATATGCTGTTAGATACAACCGTCTTACCATGCATAGGTAATTCGGAAGAAATAGAAAATCTACCTTTTCGACTGAAACCAGGGTACTCCCGTAGTATGTGAACCACGATGGTGGACACCGGAACGTAGTATGTGTACCAGATTGGGGGTTGAGCCGTAATTTTATTCCAATTTTCCTTATTTTAGTTCTATTATGAGTTCGGGGACTAGCCAAGTGATTCCCGTACTATTTGTACCTGAACATATGGCCTAACTCTAAACTGGTACACATTCTACGTTCCGGTGTCCGCCATCTTGGTTCACATACTACGGGAGTACCGAAACCAGTGCAAATGGATATAGATCTATGATGGGTTGATTGTCCAAATCTTTTGTTCGGAACAATATTACTCACCTTTCATTTCCATTGATTCAGTAAGAGTAATTTCAATCTTCCCTTCCAATGTCTCTCCGGAACTGAATATCGACTTATTATCGTCAAACGTAACGTTGAAGTCTTGTAACGATGGCATAATTGAAGGTATAATATAATAACGTTTATAAATATTTGCTCTCAAAAATATCGACTAAAAAGTAGGGGACCTGTATTATAGGGAATACAGACTTTTCTCCTCGTGTACTATACCGACTACAAGACGATTTGAGTTATAATTTTGCTCACATTCGCCCTGGGAATCCTTTAGTCTTCTAATTCTCTGACTTATACCAAGATGAACTGATTCTTTCAGTTTTATATTATCGAAAAATTGTTTTAAAATACATGTTTTTAATTTTTTTACGGCGCCGCAAGCTGCTCATTCCCTTAACAAACTGCATTAAAAGACGTCACAGGAAAGCGCATTTTGTTACTCCATGCTGTTGATATCGGCTGAGAATTCTCGTGCTTTTCTCGGCTCCATGCCAACAGAAAATACCGCGGACATACATCATCCTACCTCTGTATTTATCATTGAAATGTAAAGACGGTTAGCGAATTTCAGCCCATCTAAGATATCACATTACAAAAAAGAGAATCGCGGAAGCAATAAAATCCAATACCCATTTGGGTTCTAGTGTTTCTCCTATTTGGCCCCAATATATCGTCTGTTGAGATGCTGTTAAATTTAATGAAGTTCGTTGTGGTGCTATGGCCTATGAGGCAGTGAAATGCAAAAATATGTGAATTTTAAACATATAATTCGTTCTTCAATGTACATTGTTAAATGCACATTTTAAAAAGATATCTGAGAAAACAAACCTAATCGTAGGATGATTCACATAACCGCTGGTCGGTTACGGCTTCCTCCACCATCAAGTCCATGCTTCCGAAAACAAATAACCGGCTAACTAATCCCATACACGACATGGACTGATAACCGGACGAGAGGCCGGGGTTTGCCATATGGTTGATCCGTGTTATCGGATTTCCTCTCCCTCGGGATAAACATGTAAATCCAATCCTTTCTAACGTTGGCCTCTGATATCCGCTCTCTGATACGCTATGCTATACCGTGCATGGGGCCGCATGTAACTGCCTAAAATAGCTATGACTGAATATATATTTGGTATAATTCAGCTATGAAAACAAAACGAATTATTTTTAACGTAACTTAAACCTATGGCTCACATATATCTGTATTCCTTTCTCAGACCTCTCTTATTTATGTAAGTGGACCACGTCGATACTGCCTAGTGCCGCCACATACAGCTTACTGAAGAAATTTTACGCAAAGTTTAGTGATGCGTGGCTCTACTCCTTTTGTTACGAATGAATTGTCGGGCAAACCGAGTGTGTGACGACTAAGAAAATTCTGCAACTCGTCGTTTTATGGAACATATTTGTAGTTATGTAGTTTTTGTTGCATTGTTCAGACAAAAAGACAACTTTGTCATGGCGTTCTACAAACAAATAAGCATACAAAGAAATCATACAAAAACCTACATTGTAATTTAAACCAGAATAGTACGTTCAAATTTTTTTTATCTGTTTTGTTTATTCTGCTTATCACGGACAATGTGAAGATAACCTGATTAGCACAAGGTTCGAACGACATGGATCAAATAGCAATAAGGGGGACAACAACTCAAACTAATCTAGGTAAACAGAATTAAGTAGTGCGACAATAACATAATCGTGTAAATCCTATTTGGATTCTGGATCTAAATTTTAGTATGATGTGCCACTTTGTGTAATAAAAATAACGCCCTGGGAAAACTCCGTTTAAAATCGCTTGTCACTGGACTATCAATCCGGTCACATTGTAAATCTGCTGCGGTACAAAACACCTCCACCAATAGTAACGCCGTGCATTATACGTCACTAAAGAGAGCCATCACATGATCCGCGTAAAATAGCGTAAAAATGAGTAACCCCAGACGCGCTTCGCTTGTTACGGAGAAGCTGTATACCGAGATCTAGTGCTGGCACCTACAGATCCTTATTTCTTTCAGCTTTAAAGTTGAGCGTTACCTGTCAAATTATTTCACGTCAAGCGGTGCGTAACATTCCAGTCAAAATAATATTTGCTGCTACAGTAACCAGGTATTGACCATAGAAGATATTGAATACAGCAGCAAAATACGAGAGTCAGTTTCTAATAAACATGGACACACACATTTGGAAGTTAGTTTGCTATAATTTATTCAAAAAATGGTACAAGAACGTTACAAATATATAAATTTCATCTGAAAAAGTTTTTATACACAGAACATATTCTTTATTTATAAGTAAATGCAGATTGACTCCAATCGTAAAATGTATACTGAGGAGTGTATGTCTTATCTCCTCTTGTGTATTCGTCATCCACAACAGTAAAACTCCCTTCTGTTGCTGCCACGTAAGATGGGGGCGGAGGAACTAAAAAAGATAAAATCTTAGCAAATGGTAGAAGCACGCTTTTGGAAAAACGTAGCAGATTAGTCAGAATTGCAGTGCAATTTCTTTGTTTCAAAAACAAAATAACTATTTTTTTATTTCAGTTAATTTTAGATACCTTGTAATCCATAGGCCGTTTCAGCAGAAACTGTCGTCGGATTTTGTATCACGGTTGAATCAGGGTCAGAAAGTGACGGATAAGCTACGGGTTGGGGCGATTCGGTTCGCTTTTGAACGCCGTCGTTTGTACCAGAGTACATAGGTAGACTTTGGAGTGGAACTGTGCCGATGACAATAGGTGCATATCCACGGAGATCGATAGCACATGTGCGGAGATGGCCATGCACCTGAAAACAACAGGCGATTTCAATTTATAGAAGTTAGGCGTATACTTCGATGCTCAAATAAATATTCCTATTCACGTCCGTCTCAAGATTGTAATTTTAGGTTCCAACTGAGTTCAGTCTAAAACGGGAGTTAATTTTTCTGGCAATTTCTCTGTTTGCTCAATAATATGGGATGAGAGATGTGATGCGCGTTATTTCGATAACTGCTCGACTTCCCATAGCGTGACCTTGCTCTACACAGACTAATGATGCTAAGATGTCAACCATTAGGGTCACTATACTCCAATCTTTACGGTACTCCAGAAATATGTGCACCAAGATGGCGGACACCGGAACGTATTATGTGTACCGGGTTAGGGTTAGGCCATAATTTTAGGTACAAATATTACGGAGTCACTTGGCTAATTCCCGAACTCGTAATAGAACTAAAATAGGGAAAATTGAAATAAAATTATGGCCTAACCCTAAGCTGGCACACATAATACGTTTCGGTGTCCGCCATCTTGGTGCACATACTTCTAGAGCGCCATCTTTACACCCAATAAGTTGATGATTTTGAGAGACACGCAAGCCTATTTCACGTATGTACATCTAATTAAAATTTACAAATATTTCTTACCATGACGGCATAATTTATATCAATAATTTTGCAATGTTTATTTTCTGTTGGTGGTAAGGGTGGAATCTGCAGTTTGACGTTTTCCAGTGAGGCGGTTTTTCCTTTACTACAATGCGATCCAAACACTTGCTGCATACTGTATGTTTCAGTTTTGGTTTTCATCTTTGCACGATAAGTTACAATCTTCATTAACTCGACAGATGTCTGCTGTACTTTGCTTTTACTTTAAAACGTACAAATGATGAAAAGATATTTACATGATACAAGAACGGATAAATCGATTTGGCGCTCCCGTAGTATGTGTAATAAGATGACGCACAACCTGAACCCTAACCTGCTACACATACTATGTTCAGGTTGTGCGCCATCTTGGTGCACATACTACGGGAGCACTATCAATTTTTACTACATTCCAAATATAAACAGTTATTCAATGTAGGAGGACGTAAGGGCAAAAGAGGAAGGAAAACGAGAAGTAAAAAGATTTCGAAACAGATGGATAAGAATATTTTATTTCCGGACCACACAAATTTTCGTTAGCATGGCTCGTTTAATTTAATGAAACATAAGTGAAATAGTATTTCGAATTTATAAATGCTCAATCATTGTTTTTAGGTACTCCCGAAGTATGCGAACCAAGATGGCGGATATCGGAACGTAGTATGTGCACCAGGTTAGGGTTAGACCATAGTTTTATTCCAATTTTCCTTATTTTAGTTCTATTACGAGTTCGGGGACTAGGCAAGTGACTCCCGTAGTATTTGTACTTAAAATCATGGTCTAACTCTAACCTGGTACACATACTACGTTCCTGTGTCCGCTATCTTGGTTCACATACTTCGGGAAAACTGTTTTTTGTTCCGTTTATTTTACCTTTTATTTTTTACTGAACCTGTTGCAACAATCCATTCTCCCGGAACATATCCTTTTCTGTCTGTTTCAATTTTTCCTTTAATAGGACCACTTTTGCAACAGAGACAACACAAGTATTTTTCTTCGTCACCCGATGAAGGCGCCTAGAGAATAAACAAACCAATCGCATACAATTCAATAGAATAAAATGTTTATAATGTAGTTTTATATATCTTAGGACTTGAATGGCGCGATGCCCTGGTGGATAGCTCGATATAGCTGTGGTAACGCGGCGGTGTGGCTCATCGTGCTAAGCGTTAGGAATACGCTAGCCACCGCACTCCTGATTACTCTGCGTGGTTTCGCAGGTAGTCATGTGCGAGAGGATTGCTGGACTCTTTGCCGCCGAAGAGTGGTTTACGTAACCGCTAGTCGGTTACGTCTTCCTCGACCATCAGGTCCATGCTTACAAAAACAAATTACTAACTAATCCCATACCCGACATGGAATGGTAACCGGACGAGAGGCCGTGGTTCGCCATATGGTTACGCCATCTTATCGACTTTCCTCTCCCCCGGGATAAATATGTAAATCCTATCCTAACCTACACAGTCAATATAAATCTCCTCATAAGAAGAAGATAAAATAATCAAACAATTCTAAGACGGAATGAAGCCAACTACACCAAATATATTAACTGCCAGTGACTCCCTGGAGTCTTGATTAGATAATAAAATATATATAAAAACATGTTTTGTAGTATTGGTTACTTAACATTTTGAATCCAAGTAGCTTATTCAATGCTGCAATTTTTCATTTGTATTACTGTGCATTCACATTTAGTTATCAAAGAATAGCGAGCGAGTTTGTTACGTACGTGCTTTCTGCTCAGCATAGAAACTCGCGTACAACTGAACGCAATTCACTGACAACAGCGGCACAACTTCCCAATACAACTCATAGAGAGACAATAAACAAAGCGTCTACAAGCTGTACAATGGCTGGTGGATAGATGAGATGCGCCGCAACAACTAAGAATGTCCCACTATACTCATCACATAGGAAATCACATAACGTCACAAAAGGGTCAAAAAAGATGGCCTTGTCGTCAGAACTATACTTCAATAGTTCTATATATAACTGACTTCTATATATAAGATATAAGTATTTTATTTTATTTTTGACTCTCACCATCATGTCCTGTTCCTTGTTGAGATCTAATATGTCCAACAATGTAAACATACTTTTTGTATTGTGATCATATTTCCACGGTCTAACAATTTTCGCTTTGGCGTAGTATCGTACGTACCCGATTTTATCTGTATATATAGTCATATATATTAGCGAAGTTATCAATAAATGGAATTCAATTTCAATTCTTGTTCTAAAATCAGTCGCCAGAGGTCTGGTCTGTCGGGCAAATTAGCAAAATTCCGCTCGTTTGGGTATTTTCCTTATTTTCTATAATATATTTATATATATTAAGACTTGGCATTTTTCGTACTCAATCTGAATGTCCTACGTGAAACATATTGCGATGTATGGAGTAATGTTGTGTTTTTCACAGCCCGAAATTTAGTAGAATCTTACTCCTATCTTATGTCCATCTAGGGCCCAGATTCTAGGCTATTCTATGTCTGTTATTTTCAACACAAATATTTTTATTTAAACATGGAGAAGAGACATCAATGATTTTTATCAACCAATCGAAGTATTCTTCTTAGACTTACCTTCATATGAAGACGGCAAAGGTGATGGGAGACGAAAGCTAAATGGAAAAGAATGGCTTCCTTGTGCTAAAGTTGTTGCGTCATCGGCGCTAGAACCCCCTGTGCAGAAAATTTGAATACTGATAATATGGTCTGTTTCTTCATTCCATAGTCGGGAATGATTTTAATAGTTGTGAGGGCTCACAGATCTGGATATTTGAGAGCTGTGGCCTTGCTTTTAACAAAGTTTATACCTTATTTGTGTTAGATTCAAATTATTAGACACTTTCCCATTTAATTACTAACCAATTGCTTTCAGGAAGTAAAACAAAATCTTAACGTTTTTTATTTTTCACAAACGTACCTTCGCCATACACAATTGTTTTCTCTTTGAAAAGACCTTGCTTATTGTAATGATAAACATGATTGTTTTGTCCGTAATATTCATGCCATCCAACATGTGCTTTGCCAGTGATCTTTACTTTTAATTCTATGGTGAACAAAAACAAAGAATATTCTGAAGAAAATATTTCGTTTGAATGTTTTATTTTGCTGCAACTTGAATGCTTGTAAAAATTTCTCAATTGCAATAACGGCAATCAATCATAATTGATGATCGTCTGCTATCATGTAAGGCGTGACCTTTGCAGTCACATACAGTGGATGTCGGTTTTGTAAGTATAGAAATTGAAGCCGGGTTTGTACTTTTAAACTCTACTGATTCCAACATTAAAGTAAAACGAATAAATCTTGAAACTGTCGAATTTTTCGAGTCAAAGCATTTTTTGAACCCAATGATGGAAGCCGAGGTATTGGTCTTCAGATACAGATATAGAAGTCGCGACGATTCATTGGCTCGGAACCAAGTTCGAGCATTTAAAATACGCCTCCACCCAAATTTAGTTTAACAGATTAATAATCAAAAATTCCTTCTGCAACTCGGAGCTATTGTCGTACTACATTATATATTTGACAAGGTATTCGTCCTGCTGTATAAATTTTAAGAACCTCGTTTATGTAATTTCCTATACACTGCAACAAAAATCCTATCTATCACGATATAAGTACCAAACAAACGTGATATACATGTGCATCCCAAAATATACATATAGCGCCAACTAAATCTACATATACTGCCAACTCAATATACAAATACAGCCATTTCGGTGATGTACATACACAGCCAATGTCATATACATATACTGCCAACTTAATATACAAATACAGCCATTTCGGTGATGTACATACACAGCCAATGCCATATACAGCCAATGGAGACAAAACAAAAAATTATTGTTAAGCTATAATTTTATATAATGAAATAAAAGATTCAATGGAACGGAAAAATATCGTATATTATATACCTTTCATTTGCATTGCTTCGCTGAGCGAAACTTCCACAGTCCCCGATATTGTATCACCGGGTTTGTAGATTGTCTTTTGATCAGAGAAAATAACTCGAAATGTTTGTAGACTCGGCATATTTGGAATTTATTCACGGAATTTTAAGGTAAAAAATATTTTTTCTAAATTACAAAAACATTTTTTATGTTCAAAATAGACTTCGCTGTATAGATCTGGAAGATCCAGTCGCAGAAAAGCGAGTGAATAATTGTTTGTTCCTAATATACTATTTCGTATTGCAAGAAATATAAAACCGAGCTAGTTCTGTAATAGTTTTTAATAGAAAAAACCAAAACTTCAAATAATGAGAATTTTTCTTCATCTAATTAGAAAACTTGCACTTTGTTTTCGACATTCTGATGATTCAGCGACATATTAGTTGGGTGTTAAATTTACATTTTGGTTCATAATTCATATATATCTTAAGTATGACATAACAATTTCTTTCTTTATCTCGACTTCTGAAGTGAGTTGCAAATCAGTGGTACGTCGGATACCTTTGTTAAAAAAATATTTGTGTTACCATCGAATTGAAAAAACATTCACTGTATAACTGGACATTTACGTCTACCGGCTGAGACAACCCGCTAAAATCGGGACTGTCCCGGCTAAACCGAGACGTATATGGTAGGCCTATGTAAAGCACCCATCAAAATTGGCAATGTACATTCCACAACATTCTTCAACTGGCTGTTTCATTAATTTATACCTTTCAATCACACAGCGATAATTTTGTATTGCCCTAAAACCGTTAACCATGTACCAATATACATTCACAACTATTCACAATAAAAAAAATGACTGCTCTCGTACTCTTCAACAACGTTCTACGCTGATATTATGCATGTAGTGATAAAGCAGTTTATACGTAATGCTATCAACTTTGCAAATATGTATCACGCAGATAAAAGTCAACTGATCGATTATACATAGCATCGTTGAAATGACTACAGAACACATTCATAATAGCCTCACTATATCGCCATGGCACCTAAAACTAGACTATTATTCTTTAATGGCATGTACATACGTCCGCACACAATGGTGCACACAACGGAGTTCAAAGAGTACAGAAATCTAATACTACTTATTAATCCCAGCCTATCATGTTTCATTTAAATATAGTCACTAGGAACAACAGAAGATGTCGTCTTATTATGTCGATAAAGTTTTGTCTATCAAGTATAACTGGGAAAACATTTGAACGTAATCAGTTTACCTCCGAATATAAGTGGAAACCCAATTGTTTACATCCAGTTTAACAACCACTCGTAAAGCACTGCTGCCTTCAGCGTCTCACTTGTCCATATTTCACGTAACCACGAGAAACTCTTTACGTAAAATTACTCCGCTCGTTCAACACATACATACTTTCTATCTCACGATTCCTATTCTTATTATTATGTTAGAACAAGTCAATATTTGGAACAGATCACGCGTAACCTTTGTGCGTATATAATGGCTTTATTGTCATTTCGGCGCGAGATCATCCCTCGCATGAAACACGCGACGAGTTTACAATTTCTAAAACATTCATCGTTGGTTGATCAATTAGTATACAGCTCCAAAATTGTTGAGAATAATATTTTCACCATGAATAGATGTAAAAGTGTTTCGAACATCGGAAATACAAAAATAATGATAAAACGTGGCCTTGCAATGCGAAGTGTTTGGCATGGTTGTTCGTGGGATCACTTGGAGTGAATCGCAAAATTTATCCATCACCTGCTTAGATTTCATAAAAGTGCCGATTTCTTACAATCCCGTTATTCCCCCAACAATCAAATATTTTGTCAAAATTGCAGCCCATGGTTGATTAAAATTGACTATATTGTTTATTCATTCCCTGTCGACAAAACGCGATTATTCTGATCACCCTGCTGTCTAGAAGAACTGTTCTTGAACTATCGACGATATATTCTCGACCAGCCTAATCGCCACTGTCCCCAACGATAGTTTTATACCTATCCTTACCATCCTTCAAACCAAACTACCAAAACAAATTTGTCCATTGTGTTACATACATTACTTGCCTCATGCATTTATCCATTCATTCGAAGGTGAGCGTATCGCTACAACCCCAGTATCTTATGACCGGTTTCAAACAAAGGATGACCATTTGAGGACCGCCGACCGTCTCTAATTTCTAATCTTGAAAATTAGTGATCATGCTCCTCGTTTCTTTGAATTACATTAGTATGCCCAAAATAAAATCGGGATTGGAATTTAATAAAATGATTAACGCACATATATAGGTCATACAGAACCTACCTACTACACGCAAGTAGGAAGAATAGTTTTGAGAGAAATTAATATACATTCTACGAATACTCAAGCACGCGTATCCGAGTTACTGTTATACAATTCTTTGCTTGTGATTCGTTGTTATTGCGGCTAGGAATAGCAAACAATTCAAATAACTGGAACAGTAGAAGAAACTTGCCGAATCTAAAACTACATAGAATTCTTTAAAACAACATACACACGCGCAAAGGGCGATAATCTCACTCGGAGTGTTAGACGTGCCAGCATCAGGTCTATATTATCAATCGCTTTAACTGTTCGTCCTTTCGAAAACTAATCATTTTGCTAACTAATCTGAGTTTTCATCAATTTTTCAGAGGGGTCAGCTGAGTAGCCTGCCCTTTAGTACGAAAGCCATTTAGATATCCAATGCCGAGTCATGAATAATATTTTAAAGTTTTCTGGGTGATATTTGTACCTTCACTAATCTGAAGTCAAAAGAATTACAGCCCGTCTCATTCGCAAACTATTTATTCTACCCATGTGCTACACTTTGTCAGATGGGTTCTAATATAGGCTGTAAACAAAAGGAGCAATATTTGAACAGTGAACAAAATCACGTGGGCTGGCATATTTCTCTTTAACTATACATACGCATCACGAGCTCACGTGATCAGCTTCCAAGAGTTGCGAGTCTGTAAAATTAACTTGCAACACACAGTAATTTTGCTTAGCAAGTTCAATTTAAAAAGTTTAAAACAGCCTAAAACAAAAGTCGAACAATGATTAAACAAGACTTTCTGGGCCAAACGAAAGATACAACAATACCGACAATGAGTTTCATTGACGCGCCATAGGACCGGGTACAAGACTAGCAATTGCAGTAAAAGAGAATTGCACTTTTTACACATATCAACAGAGCATACCTCATGAAGTCACATGACAAAGCGAGATGAATTGGACATTTCAATAACTAAAGTATGGAATTTTACCGGTACTGTACCCGGAAGTCCCAATTACTTTTATGAATGCTATGAGATCTAATATTTCATCCAAAATTTCGCTGTGTTATATTTTAATCATGGGAACCCCGTTTTTAATCCGCGTACAGTCTCATTTGCGCTTTTATTTTGCAAAATCTTGCAACGCGGAAGTAGGAAGTTATTCTATACCGGTGACGCAATGTAGGTAGGTACGGTAAGTTACTGTAATAAAGAATACTCTAAATTAAAGAATACTACGGTTGTGAGTCGAATCATTTAGCTTTCAAATTCACGTTGGCACAAAACGTATGAATCATCATTGCCACAGGACTAGGGCTGGGCATTTTTGAATATATACCTGATGATTTCAGAATCGAATCGAATATTTTTTTCGAATCGAATTTCGAATACTTTTGAGATATATAATTGAATGCGATTTTTTTATTGTGATTGGTCCTGTCAACAAATGAATTACTGAGAGAAATAGAATAAATCACTCGGACAGATTGCTGAGCGTTCACACACAATAAGAAACACGTTTTATCAATAACTCACTACAGAAAATAGTCATGTCTGGATTGCGTTGAAAAAATATGGCTTCAAATGATAAAATATGAGAAAATCACCTCGACCATTGATTGACGGAAAGGAAAAAAAACAAAATTTTGCTCTGAACCGATTCGAATAATTAACTATTCGATTCGAAATGCCCAGCTTTACATAGGACCTAGTAAAGCTAGGGCAGCGTTTCCCAAACTTTTTCGGCCACGGAACACCTCCACTTTTTATCTCGCCGCGCGGAACACCAAAAAATAAAAGGGTAAAATTGATGAAGAAAAAGTTGTCAAATGCGCGGCGAAAACTAACAGAATTGTGTTAAAATACTTAAAATAGGATTGCATATTTTACATGTTGCATTTATTATTAATGTTTTATTGTTTCTTAATTTAAATGCTGTGTATATGAATCAATAAATTCATTTTACCGTTCTTCGTCGTTTACTCTCCATTACGTAGTGTTTGCCTCTAATGTTACGTCTAATGGAGATAGAAGTACTTGCTGCAATTTCGCTGCATTTATCTACTTAATAGAGTTTAGCGAAAATGAGTAATTTTTTCAGCATTTCAAAGTAAAACCAGGCAGAGATGGAGGAAGAAGAGTTGACCCTTTGCCTTTATTCTTTAGGTCTACTCGTTTGCCTATAGCAAAACCAAAATGATTGCTGTAAACTTGATAATGAACTTAACAGTCAAAAAGCTAGGCCGACAATTATCGAAAATGCCACTATCCCTCTCCAGTTAGTACGATTTAAGCCGATGGTGACGCGATATTGAACGGTCAGTTGGGCGACAACTTCACGTTCCATGGATCAGGGCTTCCCAAACTTTTGAGCTCGCGATCCCTTTTAATAATATATATATATTAAAAATTTTCGCGGCCCTTGTCCTCGTCAATAATGGTAAACAGTTCGAAATATGCGATTTTGATGTTTTGTAAAATTGGTGTTCTCTTTGTGGCCCTTAAAATTCGTTTAGCGGCCCCTAGTTTGGGAAGCCCTGCCATAGATTTCCATGGCGACTATTTAAGCCGTTTTTTTGATTCCTTTTCCACGGAACACTTCGAAGATGCTCGCGGAACACTAGTGTTCCGCGGAACACAGTTTAGGAAACGCTGAGCTAGGGCAATCAAGCAAGGTACATGTAATACTACTAGTAAGTTACGATAGTGCACAGGTCCAGGATATGATTTTGGGAGATATTGCGGATAAAATGTTCGTTTTGGCTTTCTTATCCATATATTTCAGCATTGCTCTCTTGTTTTGCATCGCATGAAAGAACGACTACAGAGTCCCGATTCAGTGTCAAAGCGGTTCGAATGGCTGACTTTTCTGTTTTCTCTTTGTTCCATCTTGAAGTCCAGCGACACATCTTTTTACTTTCATTCAATGTGATCTGGATACAACCTGTCTACGCGATAATTTCTTATCTAATCTTTCTCCCGTTGGGACATATGGCAACACAAACGAAAGAGCCAATGGTCAGTTTGGCATTTACCGCAATAATCAACTTTATTCAAAGTCTTTCCAACACTATTCTCATCTTGTGGATCGTCCTAAAAATCGATCCCGTTGTCCATGCGGCAGTCTAATAGCTTTTGCGTTTTGCGGAGGAGGCCTTTAATAAATACATTGCAACCATATATATACATCATTTCTATTCAACCAACGCGAGAAACAAAATTATCCGAGGAATGCTTACATCCATTTTCTGTAACTAGCAATTAATGACCAGACAATCATGCAACGCCGTTTTGTATTCGTTTGTTCAAAGTGAAAACAAATAGGTGAAGCATATTTCAGAATCTACTCAAAACTATTGCCGACTAAAAAAGGGATATTATCAGTCAGTTTGAACAAGAATGTGATTATGTGAGAACCGGAAATTTTTGGTTTGAGTACACAACATTCCTATTATTTTTCAAATATGAAGAAATTATATATATGCACTCTGTGATTGACAAAATGGTGGTCTTATCAATTTTCCAAGAGGAAGTTGAAAAAGGTATGAATTATATCCTTTTGAAGGTGACGCCCTATAATGATTACCAATGGTGTAGTGTAAGTAATGGATTTCCATACAGGTATCACACCAGACGCGTTGTTTTGTTACCAGTGTAAAATACACAATTGAAAGACGTGAAGCACCATTATAATAACGATATTGAACGGCGTATATGGCACGTGGAAAAGATTTTTTGTACAATCAAGTATTTGAAACAACGTATTCCAAGCACACAAATTCTTTTGACAGAGAATATAATCAATCAGTAAAATGGGCAAGTTTTTACACGGCGAATGTTTGAATAACATGGTATTGCATCGTCTTTCAGGTGACGTTCATTCATTTATGATGGACAGGACAGACCAGGGTTGGAATATGACTGTGGTGAATGACATAGGTGCTCACAGATCCGAGTATGGTTCTGCGCAACGTTCCATGTCCGCGAGATCCGACTACAATCAAATTTGCATCGTGTTTCTTTGCGCTCTGACATATAGCATGTCCGACTCCATGTGAATCTTCCGACACAATCAAGACTTTATGTTTGATCTAAAAAGAATGGAGATTGTCGATTACTACTGCCTAGTCTTCTTCTCGTACAAACGTACAAAAAAACGACGCTCCAGAAGTGTATGCACCAATAAAGAGGGAACTAATTTTGTTTACCCATTCTACATCAAGTTGTATAAAGATACTGAAACCTATGGGCAGGGGGTATATTTACTTGACTAACATAGACAGTCTCTGAACGCGTAATAGAACTAAAATAAGGAGAATCGGAATAAAATTATGGCCCAACCCTAACCTGGTACATACACTACGAGAGTACCCAAAAAACTTGCTGAAATATTACATAATAGGACTAGATAACCCACCTTCAGATCATTGCACTTTTTATTGTACTTGTCTTCGAGAGCTTTATTTCTTTCTTTGAGTTTTTCGACCATCGCCGTCACTTCCTCGTGACTGTATCCAACACCTTCTGTAAGGCCTGACATCAGTCATGGTTGTAAGGACAAGCAAAGAAGAAGCAAGCAAAGAGAAATAAGGGAATTGAAGAATGAGGAATTGCAATTCATAGAATATCTGATAGCGTTGTAATATGTGCCATCACATCATCTTCAATAAATACTAAAGTCCATTACCGTCAAGAAAGCAATTCAGCGCGTTATCTTGACGCATAATTACTTTATTTTTTTATAATATTCTAACCTGACGTCGGTAAAATAATTAAGCAGCATTGAGTGCATTTTAGTATTTTTTCGTTCACTATTGTTTGAATTAACGATTTCATGCAGGAATTGCCTAATGCATTAATTTCTGCACGAACAAATTAAGGCTATGGTTCACATGTTGAAGCTTAAACTACTCGGTAAATGCTATAAATAGGGAAATATTAATAAAAATACCTGAAAACAAAGCATAGGTTGGCATTTTCACTTGGTCCGATACATGAAGAGCAATCAACTGATTTTCCTGTCTGTGAACGTGCTCGATGTAATCTGCGAGAGGATATTCGTTTGCTAAATAAAACTCATTCACAACTGCTAGATATTACTGAAGTACAGTAAGCCACCGATCATATTTACTGACAGAAAATCAGTATTTTGATGATGCAGAAGAACATGGCGAAATGGAATTGCATGTTGGGCAAAGCTAAAGTTCGAAAAATACAAACCACATTCTACTCTTGAACGCAAGCATATTTTTTTAACAATAATAATCTACGTTGCAGGTGAGTTTATAATCCAAATTTGAGTAAGAAATACAGTGATTTTGGATTTTTTTTCTTTGCCTCAAATTTCCAAATAACTTGATCCACGTTTATATTATTACATAAAAGAACTTACAATCAAATGCAGCGGCCCCATTTTCACTATCGTCCACAGCAATTAATACTCTTTGCACACCGCAAGTTTCGTGAGTTTCCTCCTGTTGTTGAGCCATATCGAAATTGCGTAGTAGAAACAGTAGAAAGAGCGTTATAACGCGAATTGCACTCCAATCAACAAGCTTAGAAGAGGCACTTATGGACGCGCTTCGTCTGCAATCCCGTTTATATTGTTCGAAATACGATATTGATGACGAACGTGTTCTTTTGTGCGAACGCGAATCGGAGAAACATGCCTCCGTCAGGACTCTGAGGTGCACGGAGTCCAATCAACGATCATAGTTTATGGAGTGAGAATGAGTAAATTCTTGGCATTTACATATAAAACAATCACATTAGTAATTAATCATTAATTCTTGATATTCTTTTTGAATAATTCTATGATATTTTAATGGTGATTTGAAAGGCCTTACTTGCTTAGTTGATGCTCATACCACAACCAATTGGATATCGATGCGCATCATTGCGCGACAGTACGTGACCGGTGTCTCGCGCACGATTCGAATTCTCTCGAAATATACGAAAACATGTTTTGTTTTCCTGAATGTCCACTTCCAGAGTGCGATAAAAACATTTCGATAAATTTAGGTCGATCTATATTGTAATTACTAAGCACATCTGGATGCATTTATTAAGTTTTTTAAATAAGAAAACGCAAAAAAATATTTAGTATATCTGAGGACATGCATTTTGGACAAGTTCCTTCGTTGACAAATATTATTGCGTGTAATTTTCTGAAATCTTCAATGATCGCTTCATTCGGCAATTTGTTACTGTAAATTCGTTACTTTGCCCGTGCATACTTTATTAAATGAACGACGATTGATTTGTTTTTGCGTGCGAAGCAAAAGTAATGTAGTACAGCGGTTCCCATCCACAAGTGTGGAGAGTTGATCTTATATGTTTAAGATCTAGGTCAGTGATTCTCAAACTGGGGGGAGCCCCACAAGGGGGCGTAGACAACTTTTTGAGGGGACGTGAAACGAAATGAAATCATAAAATGTTGGTTAGATTTGACCTTACCCGCCTTATTTTGGATATTTACATTTCCTCATTCTAGATATTTATGTTCCATCCACATATTTTCAACATTCTTTCGTCTTACTGTCTGTTATTTGTAGCCTATTGCTAGCTGGATATTTTTGAGGTTGGGTGCGAGACTTGGCAAATTCTATGAAAGAGGCGCGGTTTAATTAAAAAGTTAGAGAACCACTGATCTTGGTTGATGCACACAATTCTTTCAAAATAAATTTAGTCCTGTTATTTATTTGAAGAGTAAATTTAATCTTTTTGGCTATAAAGCGATACCTTATCATTCAATATAATGTGCTCTAATGATCGGCATTTGTGCACTTCTCATTTGCAGTCGACGGCGGCAATTTTCTATAATTCGACTTGATTAGGAAGGGGAATCTGCAATCCCCCAATTTCATTGCATAATTTAGACGGACGTTGAGAATATAGATATACATACATCCCAAAATATCACCGATTGAGATGAAATGTAGAAAGAGACATGTGCAAAATTAAAAAAAAAATCCTGACATCACTTGACAATTGGGTCCAGAAGATAGCTTGCTATTGCGACGTACAACTGTTTAAAACATTATTTCTAACTACATTGCGTCTAGAGTGCTTCGCAAAGGGTGTGGCGGGGCGGGAGGGCTAGGTCGAGAATACATGCCGACTGAGCCATAGTAAAAAAAGAGATAAAATGAAAAAAAAATATGGATAATTGTAACGAGCTTAATAAACATAAAATGAAAAGGATTTTAGTTTTGCTGGGGTTCATGAATTTAAGTTGCTTTAAGTTAAACTCGCGTCGTCATCAAACCAGATCAAATTTCACGTAAGTCCACAACTACATGGTCTGGTCGGATATATCTAATTGAGATGATATATCCAAAAAATGGTTCCCTTCGAACAGAGCTTAGTTATCATTGCTCACAACATCGAAAGTTGATTTTGATTTCATAATTATCGTAACGGGTCCCGGAATAATGCGATTTGGGTATCTGTACAATGTGCGACTGTTGAGTCAAATTACAGATTACCATGTGACATCTATCACTCACATTTAGCACCCTAGATTTTTAATGTCCTTGGAAAATGTTGGATTCATTATTACATTACTTTGAAAGGTGCACATCACCGCAGTTGCATCGGCGTTTCACTTTGTCATACATTCCTTAAAGCTAGTACGGAAATTCAAATCGAGGACCGCGTTTAACTAAAAATTATGTAATACAAACTTTAAAGAAACTCAGCGTTAAAGGAACAATCTTTTGAATAGCTTGACCCAAAATTCGATAACTAGTTAACAAAGTGCTAACGAGAACAAATAAAGTGGAAACCGGATCTCAACTCTTCTGACTGATATAGAAAGTTCAAAGGCACAGAAAATGAAAGAACCACTTCACAAGGCATATACATTTCATCAAATTTTCGTTTGGCTAACCATCCGAATGAATGTAACTAAATTTCCGAAAAACTCTTTTATATGCGTATTTTTATTGAACGCAAGATCATGTGCACTCCCGTAAAATAAACTCCTCTCTTTGAGTAGACTTTTTTCATCCAACAGAAATCATCCATACTCGGAAACCAACATAGAAATCACAATGCAACGGAACGGCTTCATATATGTATTAACTTAAACAATTTGTAACAGGGTCCCTAATCCTACTTTAAAGAATCCAAATTCGAAGAATAAATGTCAATACAATTATAATACACATACAAGGCTAACTCATGTAATTTTAAAAAGGTATTGCGCTGAGACTTTTGCTACGATAATTTAGAAGAAAAAACCTCTGAAAATCATCAAAATTACATAATATATATATTATACAATCATTCATATATAGGCACAATACTTTTTACATCGGTTACTTCAGTTCTTTTTATAAAACATCAAGTGATTTCAACTACGTCAAACAACTTTTTATAGAACAGATAATCATGTTTGCTCATTGTTCACTTAAAAATACTTGCACAAGCGAAAACATTTCACGGAATTTTAAGTATTGGCCACCACAGTTTAAATACAACAGAAATTTCTTTGGTGACTATATCATTATGATTCTCCAACTGGACAAACCAATGTAGGTATATGGCTGTGATGTATGACGTAGGTGCTCACAGATCCGAGTATGGTTCTTCTTAGTGTTCCCAGTCCCCTAGATCCGACAATGATCATATCAGCGTTATGTTTCTTTGCACTCTCACATATTGCATGTCCAGGACCATGGGGATCTTCAGATACAATCAGACATTTGTGTTTGATCTAAAAAAAAGGAAAAATAGTTATATTTGAACTACAATTCTTGATACAGATATTTGTGCAAGGTTAACATTTAAAATAGACACATATCTCCGAACCAGTATGCAGTCTGTCTGCGTTTTGTTTGCAGCCTTGTCTGTAACAAATGGATAAACTCCTAATAAATTCATGAAAAATCCCATCCACCGGTATCTGTTTACTGTAATCGGAAGAAAAATTTACTATTCAGAATGAATTTACTTTTGAATCAGAAGCATATCATAGAAACATCAAACGAATGAAAAACCATTTCAACATAAACCATACAATCAATTTCTTTCAAAATCAAGAAAAATTGTTAAAACAATAATCGGCTTGTTTGTAGAAAAAAATCACATACCTCCAGTTCCGAGCACTTTTTGTTGTATTTTGCTTCCAAAGCTTTGTTCTTTTCTCTGAGTTCATCAATCATTGCCATCATTTGATCTGGACTGAATCCCACACCCTCTGTAATACCTGACATTAAATCTGTTTGCATAACAAAACCAACTGCAAGAATGACGGAAAACATTTCCAAGAAAAATTGAGCAAGGATCAGCACATTTTACTTGACTTGTATCTCGTTTAAGTACGAGTACAATCACCCCAAATCATAATTATATACCAGCTTTCCTATATATTAAAAAAGCTGTAATACCCCAGAATTAGTACATTTCCAACTGCTTTTTAAAATGTTAAGTGCCTAAAAAGTGCAGTATCAAACGAAGCATGGTTGAATAGAAAAAACACGTTATTTTTTATAATAAAAATACCTGAAAACAAAGCATAGGTTGGCATTTTTACTTGGTCCGATACATGAAAAGCTATCAACTGATCCCCTGGCTTGTTGACGTGTTGGACATAATCTGCAAATAATTTTAATTTTAGTAAACAAGGTATAAAATTGAAAAGAAATCTCAACAAAATCCAATCATATTTGAATTAATTTGTGAGTTTTCAGGTTCAAGATTTTAATGCAAACTAGGCTATAATTTGAAGTCTTACAGAAAAGCTACTACAGTACTAAACCAGAATTAAGTATCATAATAGATTAAAACAGTGACATTGAGAGGAATTATTATCTGAATTGCCGGCTCCAGCATAGGCAGGAAAATGATTTAAATACAATCTCGCTAAAATGCTAGACTCTGATTTCCCCTGTGAACTTACAATCGAAAGCCGCTAGAGAATTTTCACTGTCGTCCACAGCGATTAAAATCCGTCGTGTAACACCATCCCAAGTTCCAGTTTGTTGTTCTTTTTGAGCCATTATGCATTAGATGAAAACCTAAAACAATCGACAATGACAGCTTACAAGTTACAACAGGTTTAAACGAGGTCTTTCGACTTGCTTGTTTATATGGCTGCTGAGACCTGACGTCATACACGTATGCTTGGAAGGTGGACAGAGTCGCAGGAAAACAATATTTTTAAAAGGGTTGATAAATTTGTATTTAGAACGTATTTAATTTTAGAAAACTAGAACCAAATTTTTTTTTTGATTTATTTAGTTTTAAAATCTAATCTATGCAAATATACGGTAAATAAATAATATTAAGTAATATAAACTTAAGATAGTTCTAAGCGACGCCTATCACATCCATTAATAAAACGCGTACGTGATAAATCGCACGCGTGTATTTGTTTACCGCCGGCATTCTCTCGAAATGTCCAGTGCTTTGTAGAACTGAGTTGCAGCTTCAGAAGATAAGCGTTTATGAATGAATGCCATCATGGTCATTGACTTTGCATTAGAACAACATATACTCCTTAATCCGTTAATTATTTGACACGATGTGTGCCAGTGCCAAAAATGTTGTTGTTATTGTTATTTGGCAAACCAGATGCTCAGCTGGACAGCTAAGACGGACCCATGGACGACCACCGTGTTTATTGGACACGTAGTGGACATACCGATCGTTTCAATATTATGTTGGTCTTGTTGTTGTTGTTGTTCTTTGACACTTTTTGGACATCTAGTGGAAAATCTAAAAAAACGCTTTTCTCTTTCATTACTGGACCGATTGCTTCGAACTTTTTACTGGTTAAAGATGAAATTTTTCTCCAGAAGGCTATTACTTTTATCTATTTAAAATATTTCTGTTAGCTCTGTGAGATTCGTTTTTGTTTGCTATGACGTCACTGAACGTTCTGCGGACGCATAGCCGACACTCCTCTTCTTTTTGATCACGTGCCATCGAACGCCGATGCTTCGTAACGAAGTCCTTACGATACCTTGCTACGATTTTTTCCTTACGCTGATCGACGGTACGGTAAACCGTACTGTACTGCGACCACACGTGTCCATATATTTGGGCGTAGCTCTCTGTTTAAATAATGCGCTCTTGTTCTATAACCGTGTTTAATTGCTAATTTAACATCATATCATCGTAATTAAGACAGTACATACTTGGTTACATACCAGGTTACTTGGTTACATACCAGTTATCAGTCTGGTTGAGGACGTACGAAGCCATCTTATATCGACAAATTCAACATGGAATTCGAAAGGAACTGATGGAGCTATACAATCGTCACGACATGCTAATAATTGACGTCATATACAACTTACTTGTCCACAAGGGCCTGAAGAGCTTCGTTAGATGGAGAACCTGATATGGTCGGATAAAATCATGAAATCTTCTGGTGTAACGAAGTACGTTGACGAATATCTCAGTGAATACAACTCTTGCCTAGAAACCATTTCACTAGTCCCAACGTTTTTCCAATCACAGTTTCTGAAGGCATACATGTAGGCTATATATCATTCAATTAATACTGATTTCTCAACACAATATATAATATCCCTAAGTCCCGTAATTTGATTAAAATTTGCACGCTTTGCTGAGCATATTACACCTTCAAATAACAGTAAATATCTAAATATCGCAGTGCTTATGAATGTCATTAATGTACGTAGTAGTGTATGGAGTAACTCTCAAATTAGGCCGCATAGGGGCGCGCCCAAGTCGTCGTTTTTTTTGCGACAAAAACCCAACTTGAGAATATTAACCGACTATTATTGGACAAACACAAATATATATACAACCTTTTAAAATAATTCAGTTAATATAAATTTATAGGAAGTTTAAGAAGCCTCCGTGGAGCCTCAGCAACAGGCTCACACCGACCTTGAGTCCAACACGAATATCCGTTTGGGCTAATATTTATTCAGATTTACGTCATGTATGAAATTGGTTGAGAGAAGAAGTTGAAAATTTTTACAATGATACAGCAAACATGACGAATACGTGTATTAGTGACTACCAATAAATTGATTCTCATATATTCGTTTCATTGTTAAATATAGAGATACAAAGGCCGGTAATTTTGCATTCTTCAACTCAGCGTTTCCCAAACTTTGTTCCGTGAGCGTCTTCAAAGTATCACGTGGAAAAGGAATCAAAAGCACGTATAAAATGGTCGCCATGGCGATATATGAAAGTGAAGTTGTCGCCCAACTGACAGTTCAATATCGCGTCACCGTCGGTTTAAGCGGACTAACTAGGGTGGGGTAGTGGCATGTTCGCTAACAGTCGGCCAAGCTTTTTGACTGTTAAGTTCATTATCAGTTATACAGAAATCCTGTTGGTTATGTCATAGCCAAATAAGTAGGTCTAAACTAAAGAATAACTCTCTTCCCTGTCTGGTGTTACTTTGAAATGCTGAAAAATTACTCATTTTTGCTAAACTCTATAAATAAACTGCAGCATGCAGCTCGCAAAATTGCGACAAGTACCTCTATCTCCAATAGACGTAACATTGGAGGCAAAAAATGCATTATGTAAAATATTCAATCATATTTTAGGTATGTTAACACAATTCTGTTAGTTTTTCCGGCGCAGTTGGCAACTCGCTACCGCGAACCCATTGGGAACCGCTGCATTACACCGTTTTTCAATTTTTTTGTGTTCCGCTAGGAAAGATAAAAAGTGTAGGTGTTCCGCGATCGAAAAAGTTTGGGAAACTCTGCTTTAACTCATATAGGTCGTTCATTGGTACTCCCGTAGTGTGTGCATACCAGGTCAGGGTCACGCCATAATTTGGGGCCGATTTTCCTTAATTTATTTTTATTACGAGTTCGGGGACTGTCTGTGTGAGCCAAGTCCATAGGTCTCAGTCTCTTTACACAATTGATGGAAAGTAGCCGAATAAAATTAGTTAACACCATATTGGTACACAGACTTCAGTTCTGAAGCGCCCGTTCACCAGCATTTTTGCGGTTGATATGGAATGAAAAAATATTACGATGTAAATTACCTAAGACTCTCGCGTATCATTTTATCATCATAATCATTTTTATCACACTTTGGTGAGAAACAAAATATATATTCCTAGGCAGACTTTGACAAAAGGAAAATTCGAGATTATCCCTAGTGATCAATCAAACAGATGTTGTAATAGAATTGTTACCAAAAATAACTTGGACTTCAGTGAGCCGAATACAAAAATATATTCAGCACTAGCCCAGCTGGGTGTAGTGAACACACAGAATGAAAAAATAACTTTGCTATTATGTTTCCGCGCATCATATATATAATAATAATTTTGACAAGCAGACACCCTATGTAATCATTCAAGATATCTCAGTGTGAAATTTTATGATTAATCGAAGATGAAGTTGGGGATATACACGTGAGGCCAATGTAAAAAAGTGTGTTTTATAAACACCAATTGCGATATGATCTACGACCGAGTTCGTTGCGTTCGTCGATGTCTTTGACAAAGGCTCACCTACAGTCAACTTTAAACGTTTAATATAAATCAATATAAACGTTTTTTAATTCGGTTGGAACAGTAAAACGTAACAGTCCAGAGGGAAGAAATAGAAAAGAAGGATAAAGAGGAAGAATAAGAAAAATTCCCAATAAATATTGGAGAGAACAGATTGAGCAGCGGTCGTAAACGACTTAACACGCCGAGCCCGAAACACGAAATTGAAACACGATTACAACTTCAAAAATTATTAGCTAGCTACAAGCAAGTAAGCTCTATGCAAACTTCTCATAAGCAGTTATGTCGACTCTCAAGGTTTTGTATCCGCCGAATTTTCGTTTCAAGCCGAACTGACATGAAAATAAAGCTCGATTTGCAATGGTAATTTTAAGTGGAATATTCCATTCGGTACACGCAGGTTTCATCAACAGTGCTGTTGTTTTTGCCACTCGCATAGAAAACAGCCTATTCGTTCTCGTAGTCAATTGTCGTCGATTAGGCGACTTCGATGATTTTCTCATCGCCGAAAAACAATAGATGGTATACGTATCTTCGAGACTTATGGATTTCGGCCGTATCGTTCAGCGGTGGTATAGTTCTCACGCCTTTTTGGAGTCTTCGCATATCCAGGGCCACCTGGTTCGTGTGGGAAAGATTTTAAATGGCGTCAAGATGACCAGGTCTATATATATATATAATGTATGGAAGATAGAAATCCGCGGATATATCGGAAAGGCTAAGTGCTTCGATTGCAGATACCAATCAATGATATTCCTGGGCTTGTTGTGAACCCTCAAATATCTGGCAAGTGTCATATGTTTTTAGGAGGCTAACATTACAATTTTACAGATTGAGATCGGGTATGTGAATTTTGTTGTCGATGTCTTGCGACAATATAACAGATTGAAGACGTAGTCGAATTAGAGATCAACAAGTGATTCAAGGCGAATTTTGTGTGTTCCATATAATTTCGTATTTCCAACTAGAACGTTTAGAATAAATTTGAAATTCACCTTTTGTCATGATCGTGCTACTCACGCCTTCACATAGATTGTCTGAAACTGTCCGAATATTTATCTTGTGACATTCGTATCTTTATAAATCGTATTGTTAGCCCCGGCGGAAGCAATCCATACCATCGTGTTTATACAGCGTTTATAATTGTTTGGGATGGTATTGTGTCAGCTTGTATAACCATCGTGTATATACGTTTTATAGGTCTTAAACACATATACAGAGTAGATAGCTTGATATTTATTCGATAAGCTTCAAACAGTAGAAATATTCTTGCGAGATGGGAAAGAAAACGAGGATTTTGGTCATCAAGAAAAGCAAGTAAGTCGATTATAAAGTATTTTAATGCTTTCAATAATTGGGAAAATGCTGTAAATTAGTGTAAAATTAATCGTTTTTTATTGTCATTATCATGTAGTAAGTAGCCTAGAGCCCTATAGACAATGTGACAATCATACAAATTACGGCTATTGATCAATCTGATTGCCAACCAAAATGTGTATTTTCGAACCAATAGCTAGTATCGTATATATAGGATACAGGTATGCCGTGATGATAGGAAATATAGCATTTTCTAATTTAGTTAGATTTCTAATCGACTCCAACTCGTTTAATAATATATATATATATTATTTGAACATTTAGTCTCTTGATTTTAGTTGTCTCATATTTTATTAAGATAATTTGGCATTTAAAATATGGCTGGAATCTATTGTTATCCGATGTTTTTGTCTCAACATAAATTTGAATGTTCGATTTCTGTAAAGAAAATTGATCGTAGATCCTTAGCTAAATAAGATATAATTCAAGTACAGCAAAGCCAAAAATCCAAGCCTTTTACCATATCTTGAACGAAGACGAGCAAAATCGAATAAAATCTCAAAAATCCGTTTTTAAATTCATATTCCGTAAAAAATATTGGTAGATTTGTGAGGACGAAACCATCAACGTTTTATAAAGTGGAATGCTGAGTGCGCTCTTCTGTCTTGAGTGCTTTTCAATGTAGGGTCATTGACTAAAGCTTTTGTTTTTCCGAGTTGAATGAAACGGTGGAGAAATTTTAGTATTCTTAGTTTAAATGAAGTAGGATGTGGTATAGGCACTCCCAACAATCAAGTCCAGTGGCTCCATACGATTAATTCAGCGATTATATGGAGTTTTAATGATATTAAAACTGGCTGACTAACGCCATACCCGACACCGGACGAGAGGACGTTGTTCGTCATATGATTATACCGTCTTATCGACTTTCCTCTTCCCTGAGATAAATATGTAAATGTTATTCTTATATGTATAAAACACATTCTAAAAAGTCCACGATATTAGTACAACATATCATCGTATTCGGAATTCAAAATAAAGTATTAAAGGTGCCTCAAACTTTGTCTTTATCTTGATGGTTCATCAAACTATCGGACCAGACATATATATGATACAAATTAGCATCAGCATAGCATTAGCATTAGCATACAATTAGCTAGCAAATTTGATAGCTTGTTTCACACGTATTTTGTTTGAAGAATGCTAAATGACTTATGTTTCGGATGTTTAATCATTACGTACCGCATTCTATTTATCCAGAACCGACCCAAGCTCACAAATGATCGGAATTGGCTTACAGAAAAATCACACTCAATCATCTTCGGCCTATTTTTGCGCAACACAATTTTGGAGCAATTTTCATTAAACCTATTTACACGTATTCAAACACGAATCATCTTTGTTGTTTTCTTTTCAAAATACTCTATATAACAACAAACCAAGTGTGGAAGGCCAATAAATGATTTTTTAACACCTCTCATACTTAAATTATGTAAAACCAAAGTACAAAATAATCCGTTCAATGAGTTTGACTCAACTGATAAACAAAGGGAATTAATGATGATAATATGTTGATTGTTGACACCTCGAAACAAAGGAAATCCTTTGAAATCGAGACGATGAGAAATACATGACGTCACATTGTCTGTCCATCTGAGAAAATATTTCTTGTAATCAAAACCACTGCAATTGTAATTATCATTATAAATCTCGATCAATTAATATCCAGTAGAAAAAGAAAAAAAATTTATATACTCTATATTAATTCAATTGCGTACGGATATATGGAACTATACGTACATTTCTTCCCTTTCATAAAATAGTAAGTGTATTTGTCAGTGATAGTTTTATAATCATTATCCGCTGTGGTTTTGTCTGAAGAAATTTGTTTACAATCTAATGAAAGCTTACAAATATACTTACCATTTTTTGGAAAGAGATTATGCTATTTTTGTACTTAACAGGCAAACTTTTCTGATTACGTTGCTCACTATAATGCTAATAGGAAAAGAAAAAAAACAATATATATAAATTCGGTAAAACTTATTTTTAGATTCGAAATTTTTGTAGCGCTATGTTATGCGTCTTCCCCATATCAAGTATCAAAGAATCTTGTTTACAAGCTCTAACATCATTTATGTCGCGAATTATTTGCGAATCACGCGTATTCAAGTATGGATCATAGCTGCAGCGAGCGTCCCAACTATCCACAAATCATTAAATGCTCATTAGTATATGATTCTCATTCCCTAATAAGCAGGTAGAAGATAATGCATGAAAACGAAACTCATATGGAAATGGCCTATAACGCTTGTTTTGTATCAACCCCAATCTCCTTATTCTTACAAAATAATTAACATCAAAAGATACAATACCCAGCGTTTTTACTTAAATCTAAAATCCACATTTTCAAATTTTTTATATCGCATATACACATTATGCTCGATTTCTGTTTTAACTTAGGAACAAAACTGGTATTGCCATTTTATTAGAACTCTTTTTTGAAAATAGTCATCACAAGTGTCACAACAAAATTAATTTATCATAATATATAATAATTAAACTTATATTATTTGTCGGATGTCAGTAAATATATAGAATCAATTCATTCATGATAGGGTATAAATTTTAGCCATTTACTTATTAAATAATGTTTTTCTTTTCTACCATGAATCTAGATTCTATACCAGAATCAGCGTAAAACGCCGAGTAATATTAATATTAACAATGTATGAACAATCTTGAATCTTTTTTTCATTTCAACTTTAACAAACTAAACTTCTCGAGAATACAAACTATTGGAATAAGATTAAATCTTGAATTCTTGAAAATCCTAGATTTGATTATTTCCAATTTATAAGTATTTTATACCTATTCAATTTTGCTTTTTATATAAGACATATTCATTGCATTAATCTTCAATTTGCACAGTATGCTTGCTTGGTTTGAGTATTTTTATAATTTAATTAAATTACAATATTTCATCATCCACAAGGCTTCAAACATCAGCAAACTAAAATTGAAAAAGTAAGCATGTTCACAACGTCAAACATTACGCGGAAGTGAATCAAATAATATTTTTCATCAGATTACCCCTCTCGAACCACCCAATCATATATCACAGCTAAATCCGATATTTGCGAATCTGCTTTTACACGAGAATGAAGTGCCCGAAAGTGGTCAAAATTAGGAGATACACCATGCGGACAGCATCTGAGTACACACTTCTTGGCTACGAACAACGATTCCCAATCGAGTTAAAAATATATCTCACTGTCGGTCAATAATGCCCGGCGCAAATATAATGGCAATTTTTGAAACCATATTATGCTTGGTCCATCTAATTAAGAGTCGAAAATAAAATCGTGTGTTTTAAATTACTTTCTATAAGAGGTTACCAGTAACCATATCGAAAATGTTACAGACACCACAGTGATTAGATGTAACCCGTCAGTACCAACTTAGATTAATATTAGTTACTTGTCTGCTTTAAGTGTGTAATGCCAGGTTGTCATTTGAGATTCAAAGATTTGCAGCGAATTAACATGAAATAGAACAAACCAGAGAAGTTTTAGAAAAGAATACATGATAGAAATAATTAGTAAAGCACAATTGAACTCTGTTTGTAATAAAAAAATATAAATAATCCGGCTTTTCTCATTTCTCCAATCGTTTGAGAGAATGAATTATTCACTGAATCAGCTAAATAACTTTATTAAAAATTTTCTAAAATATCCAGTAGATGACATAATTGGAGATGAATCGTCAGGATAATGTTGATGAATACATTGGCAAAAGAAAAATGTTTTCAAGAAATATGGAAAGCGTTAACGAAATTTCAGCAATTCCGTTAACTCGAGGAGAAAGGAATTATTTTCCTGACGGAGTTCTTCGATCACTCAACTTACACACACCGTCTGTTGTTCGTCGTCCCCAGTTCAATTACAAATTTACTTCAAATTGTCGAAGATTTGACAAAAGTGATAACAAATCACAAGAATTTGTAAACCACTCCGAAAACGAATTAAAATTTTGTAGCGACAATACAAATGGCGTTAATTCTTATTCGAACCGTCGCGAAAAGAAAGAACGTTTTAGCCTACGAATGACAGCTACAGCGGGAGCCTCTGGTGTAAGCAGCACGAATTTGGGTCCTGTTGTACCAAGACGTCCAAGTAACAATGGGAACATTACTTTTTACCGCGAGTCCGAAAAGTGGTTGTTTGAGGAAGATAGCTGCCATGAAATAATAAAATCGATGTTGAATACATCGGACATCTACGAGAACATAATGCAGAAAAGGTCCCAAAACATTTTATTCGTATTGTTCTAGATGTAAACAATGTTACAACTACTGCAGAAATAATGAAAAAAATGACGAAAAAAGTTATAAATGATTGAGGAGTACTAGGGTCGTTATTTTTCAATTTTGATCTTTCCCATAAAACATTGTGTTGTTTCAGCGCCGTTAAAAACTGCTTTTTCCAAAGCCAATTTAGCGGTTTACGGCTCCTTTGCGTTTAAAACTTCGGCTGTTATAGGCTAAATGCCAATAAAATCTATAAAAATATACATGAGAGTGAGTGGTGTATAAATGAATATTGCTATTAGTGAATTTACAAATGTATTACCAATATTATTGTTCAAGCCTGACTCAATATACATAGAAATAGAAATATTTGAATAAATATGAATTCTGACGGGTGTGCAAGATTTATTTCAGATGATTATCTGTTTGGATTTATAGTTTAATGTTATCCTATAGTCGCCAATGTAATTGTCCAGCCAATGTTCACGTTTCTGAATGTTAAATGAATATGTGAATAATGTTTCTCGATTTAATTTGCTTAGGAAAACACATAAAGACGCGACGAAAGAGAAAGTATCAAAAAACAAAGAAATCGATTCCAAAGCAACAACTTCGGTTTCTGAATCGCTCAACTTTAGTGATTCAATTGACGTCACAAATCATGAATGTGAAGGGTAAGTTCAATTTGCGATACGTGGTAATTATCACTATTAATACCAGAGTTCTTTTGATTATTGAGAAATAAAATATTTGTTACTTGAGGGGAAATTGGGTACTCCCGTAGTATGTGTACCAGGTTATAGGGTTAGGCGATAATTTTATTCCGATTTTATCCCGATCCTATTACGAGTTTGGGGACTGTCTGTGTTAGCCAAATGAATGTATCCTCTGTCCATAGGCTTCCGTCCCTTTACACTACTTGATGTAAAGTAGGCGAACAAACTTAGTTACCTCAGTATGGATACACACACTCTCGGAGCGCCAGAAATTGAGTGACGGCTCAGTGGTTTTAGAGTTGAACTTACCTGTTTTGGAATTACAAGTTAAATATTTCCAGTAAAAATACCACTCTCACCTTCATACTCTAGTTGTAATAAATTGGGTACGTAATTACAAACTAGGAAGATTCCGATCTTCTCATAGTATATCAGATTTTTACCTATTGCAATGACTGGTTTCAGCTAGTCCGGATTGAAAAGCATATGAAATATCCTACAAAAATCTCATTTCACAGCATCCGAAACCAAGTTTCCTTTTATATATGTTTTTCATAAAAGCTATCGGTGGAATTGTTTGCATATATGTAAATTATACCACCGTAATGCTTTCATTAGTTATTACCCGAACATCACCTAATTGTCAATGTCAATAAAAATTAATTTAAAAATTTAATTCTGTAACAGATTGCAATCAGCAATACAGGAGAGAAATCAAGATAGCAGGCTTTCACAAGACACCGTGTTATCAAACAAAACATCCAGTTCGAATTCAACATCAGTAGCGTTGGATACAATTCCGAACACAGAGGCAGTCAACGAGGCTGGAAATATAAAGAATATAGAAGGAAAAGAACAGAAGAAGCAATCGTCGTTTCAGGTGTTCGTCAGAATCCGTCCATTGGATGATACAGCCCCAGGTGTGTGGATTTTTGAACGTGAAAATTTATTTGTTTCTGGTTTAGTGTTATTATTTTCTTTGCTGAAAGACGGTGTCTTCACCTCAGACAAATATTTATGTTACATAATTAACATTTTATTACTTTCATAACCCATAATATTTAACGAGTTTCAGTTTGTATCTATTATTGATTATATATACAATATATTTGGCAACATTTTCCCTAATTCAAATAACATTAATATTCAATGAAAAACTATAAAATACAGCCCTAGTTATTTGATAAATATAAATACAATTCTCCCCATTTTTCTCAATTTTTTTATTTGATCCAATTGAAGTAGTTGTAGTGTTTGTCATTTTAAAAATATGGCTTCGTGGGTCTCGGAAATATATCCAATATATAGACTAAGTTGTTTATCGTAGTTACTGAATATCTGAAACATTTAATCTGTTACATTTGTTCTATTGTTAGTGTATAGTCATTTTCTAATTAAATGTCGCGACATAATCATAGTACTTTACTCAAAACTTATTATTAACTACGGTGCAGTCCGACATTATTCTGACTTTTTTGTCAATGAATACAAATAGAAATGACAAAATAAAGTTGTTAATTGCCAGGATAAGCTTAATTCGAAAGTGGAACGGTAGTTTTACAATTGGTTATTGTGTTTGATGGATAATGATAGACTTGGTTATATTGCATAAAGCCTACTTTTAGGTAGACGCCCATAATACCCACATGAAAGTAAACTGACTACCGAAGGCCGAATAATTTTTAGTTATTTGTATTTCGTGACACTTGAGATATAGTTCTTGAGTGAATCAGACGATTCCCATATTATTCAATTTGATTCTACTTTTTATTCTATTCAACAATATTTGTGTATCAAAGTGTGAAAGTTAATCCAATATGGCGGTTAGTATATGGCAGTTACAATAGATTTTTTAACAAACAATTATATTTAAATGATAAGTAAAATGAACATTAACTAATACCCACGATGTTTGTAAGAAAGATTCATAAGAATAGGAGCATTAAACATTATTTTATTCCATTCCATTTTTAGATACGATTACAACACGGCTCAGAAGTTTAACAGTTGAAAATGATAACCAACTACAATTATGTACAAGACCAAGTAAAGCAAAAGAAAGTGTAAGTACCATTTTCAGTGCGAAAATACAACATATGGTTGAATAAAAACGTGTATGGATTAACATGCCACAGGATCGACACAACCTATAACATAGAAAAAACGAAAGGTCGTAAATTGGTGTTTTTTTATTATTTTGAAGCCTATGAAATTATTCTGTGCAGTTTTTTGACTTTTTTCTAAACTGCCCCTTTTCATACAGAGCAATATTTAATAACAATTGTATTTTATCATACCTTAGCATACCCAGAACGAAAGACGTATTTAGCTAACAATTTTCCACTAAATCACCTGAATACTTGAGTTCCGTTTGAATAGAAAAAATCTGAAAAAGAAGTATTGTTTTTACTTGTTCAGTTCTGACATTCTTGGCGACAAGACAAGAGTGAAACGGGCTTTGTTGTTTTCCTTGTTCTTTTACAAACCTATCAAAATTTTAAGACATTTCTTACAAAACCATAGCACATTAGATCAATATTGTTCTAATAGGCGATCCCCTTTTAAGCCCCGAACAATAGATATATGAATATCAATCAAAATATGCGATTGTTTATATTTGCCCACCGACCCAGATGAAAGATCGATATTGTATCTAAATGTAGCCATCCGCTGAGCAAGTATGATTTCAAGCAATTTACGATCCCATGTAGCTATTCATCTTAACCCCATACTTGGGGAATTTTTTAATATGAAAACAGAACCAGGTGAAAGGAATGAGCTAGAACTCGAGTTTCCCTTCGAAGGTTTCGTTACAATTCTTGTTCGAATTGTATCATTCCTCTGGAAGTCAAACGATGAAGATCTCTATTTAGTACTAGTTTACGCTAAAACAGAGCAGTCACGAAACATGCCGTGCCACAAGATCACTGTTTAAAATCGTGTATTTTATTGTTTGTCTTGCCCTATTTAAAACCCATTTTCTTCGGATGAAATTGATAATATTGACACAATGTAGATGAATTGAGGGATGACATGTTGTTTGATCTGTATAACTATGTAACGAATGATCATGTTATTCAAGTAATGAGGTTTTAAATTGATATAAATTGGATTTGGATAGCTTGAACATATATAGTCAATGCACATGTGCGCTGTCGATAGAATTTTGGTATTCTTTACGACCAAAGACTTCGAATAGACAAGATGACTATAGTCGGTTGCTTTATTTCTGTAAATACTTGTGAATGAACCCGTGGTTTCGATACTGAATCCACCCCGAGAATGAGATTTCGAATCAAAATTTTGTTCGTTGTATCTGAACTTAAACTTGGAAACCCGATTCCATTACAGCCTTGGTGCCGTAAATAAATAAATGATTCCATATTAAATGAAATAAACGTATGTTGAATATGAAAATTTAAGTAAAATTTGCTGGTTGTATCCATATATATCCATTCAATTTAAACCTTCTCAAATTTAGGTCTTTGTCTGAAAAACTTTAGAGAAGTATAAAATTACCGCAGGGTTTGTGTTATTTCCTAGCCCGCATATAGACGATTTTGACATATTTGGAATCGGCACGGCTGTTTGTTATTTCTTTATCCATTTCAGAATGGTACGAAGCACCTCTTCACCTTTGCTCATGTGTTTCCAGAGAGCACTCCACAAAGAGAAGTTTTCGAAGTATCGGCTCAATCGCTTGTCAATGCTGTTTTAACGGTAAGCTTGGTGGCATTTGTGATTGTATGAAGTTGGAAACTGACTGAGCCATGAATATACTACGCATTTGAATGTTATTTTATTTTTGATTCATGCTTGTTTGGTGGTTTTTTTCATAACCGGTAAAACTTAAAATGACCCGCTACCATATGCTGTACAACGAGATAATTCCTGTATTTTAAAACAATATATAATTATATATATATACTTAACCAAACTGTTTGGCGTTAGGAATACGCTCGCCACCGCACGTCTGATTACCTTGCGTGGGTTCGCAGGTTCGAATCCCGTGGAAGATAATAATGTGCGAGAGCATTGCTGGACTCCTCGCCGCTGTAGGGGGGTTTACATAACCGCCGATTGGTTACGACTTCCTCCACCATCAAGTCCATGCTTCCAAAAACAAATAACTAACTAATCCCATACACGACATGGACTGATAACCGAACGAGGGGCCGTAGTTGCCATATGATTAGGTCGTCTTATCGGCTTTACTTTCCCCCGGGATAAATATGTAAATCCTATCCTAAATCGAATAAAAGAGTTTTTTTAAATTGCTTTTGATTAAATTCACCTCTGGTTTAACAATTATTTTACAAATCGATTTTCGCATCCATGCACGGTCTGAACTAGGAACCAATAAAAACTATTAATATATATAATTAATATTTCATCAATACATCAATTTTTTTGAAACGGAATTTATTTTTTGTCGAAGATGATTGATATACTTCATTAAATTAGAGGTATTAGGATATTGTGTCTGGAATGTAATTTTCATTTATACAATTGATTAGATTATTTCAGCTCAAATACAATAAAATAAACAAAAGAATTCGGACTTATATATTTTCTCCGTCAGGTCGGTTTTAGTCTCAAAAATTGAGCGTCTATCTAGTCGAAGCAAAATTTATAGATAATAGACGAAAATAGTTCAAAGATAAAAACTTGCATATCAATATAAAAATATCAAAATAATCTTTGTTTAACACCATAAGAGAGGAATAAACTGAATATAATGATTAGCGTCAAGCAAAATATATTACCAAAAGTAGTTTGTTCAAATTTCAACGAAATTTATCGTTTGCATCGAAATTTATTTGGACTAGGGTCACCGAGCATGTGTTGTTTCGTATGGAATACCAAACACAGGAAAAAGTTACACATTGTATGGCAAAGCAACAAGTGGAAAACATAGAGGAATTATCATGCGAACGATGGAATCCATGTTGAACAGTATCCTTGAAAAATTAGGCAGTATAATAATATCAGTATAATAACTGGAACGACGTTTTCGTATAAACAATACACTGGAATAATTTCGATGACCTTAATTTTGTAACAAAAAAATCATGTTTATTATTGCAATCTTTTCTCATTTCAACGTTCTAATTATTAATACATATTGTTTATATATGAAGGAGTTGTCTGATATAATTCTGAATCACAATATAAAATATGAAGCGTTTCATTTTGGGTGAATATTTGTATTTCAACTCGAGAAATCATTTCTAAAGACGTCGATTTCATGTATTTACTGCGTATCATTGAAAAATAGTCTCACCACCATTGCACTTACAATGCCTCTCTTTAAACGCCCAAACAATGTTCTGGTTTTTGACCTGGCACAACAAATAGAATGGATCAAATATTCCACAGCAGGGATAATCACCCCCAACGGTCACTGTACGAGATGTAAAATTGTTAAAAATGCTGCAATTTTTACAAAGTGCTCAAATATGAAAGTTAGTCAATTGATTTCCTTATCTGATTGTCTTCATCCAGTTGTGAACAATGACACAGCTGAAAACACCTCTTATGACATCACAACATCATTTCTCCAATTGTACAACGAGAAATTCTATGATCTCCTGGTAAGAAATTTTGTGTTATAATAATATGGGTATTTATGTCGAAGATTTTGAATAGTTATTCCGTGATTTCCCGTCAATGGTATATTCTTCTCGACTGAGAATTACCGCGTATTCCAGCTAAAACAATTTTTGTGGAGAAATAAATAAATATGAATTTAAGAGATAGATGAATAATCAAATTCTGTTGTATATCCTTGCTTCAGACTTTAGAGCAATTGGTATAACACCAGTGTAAAATGTAGAAATTAAGTAATATTTATAGAGAGTGACTGCACCAGCCTTATGCACAGAAAATTAATCTAATTCTAACAAGATGTGCATGGATTTACTATCAAATAAAATATTTTGGTTACGGAAGAAAGCAATATTATACATGAAAATGGGTAACAAAGCTGATAGTTCAGTTAATTCCTATTTATCTTACATATACAGTACTGTTGTCCATAATCTTGTATTTTTAATTGAATGGCTTAACATTTTCACGCACAACGAATGACCAAGAACTCCAACATACTGATGCATAATGTTCATTTCATAATAATATTTTTGAATGAGGAGAATATTTGTTAATAATATCCAATCTATTCATTATTTATATATATATATATATGATAATAATATACAGGACCCATCGAAATCAGATGGACTCAAGATTCAAGAGAATGGAGATATGACATCGATTGAAGGATCTACTCAAATAACAATCAAAACAGCTGATGACGTCAGCAAGCAGTTAAGAAGAAGTCCAAACAGAAGTAAGTCACTTTAATTCTGATGATGGTAAATTTCTGGGATAGTGTCGTACCTATTTCTCCTCATGGCTCGTATTCTAACTAGAAATTCCCCATTCTATTGAATTTTGCTTGAAATTATATCGATATTGAACTAAAACAGTTCCTGAAACGTATTTCCAGGCGTGAATTTAAAATGGTGGATATTGTGGCTATCCCACATTGCTCAGAACCTCGAATCTATTTCATTAGACATAATTGTACGTATGGATCGTTTAGTTAATTTTTTTCTTGTTGTTCGTGTTTTTGCCTTGTTTTTGATGGTCGATTGTCGTCTTCTCCCTAAAAAAGTATTGCGCCCTTGTTTAAACTACTGACAAAATAATATGTAATTTGGAGGTATTCCATTTTGCGCAACATAACATTAGACATAATATATAAAGAATTTGCTCTAAATAAAGTCAATTTAAATATTTTTACATAGTGAGAGATGCTGGGAGTCGAAGTCATACCATATTCACTGTAAGAATAAGAAAAGAAGAAATGATGACAGCGGGAGATAACGATGATGCAGCGGAAGAAAGTGTCAAAGTAACTGAAGGAGAAATGAGATTCGTTGACTTGGTCGGAGTTGAAAGGGTGAGTGTCTTATATATAGCGGCAAAATGAAATGCACAATAACTTTTTCCACATCACCCATGATGTAATAAATTGTGTGGGCAAGTGGATGCTTGTCCGAGGTCTGTTCGGAGCAAAAAGAATGAACTGCATACAGAGTAGTGTAATTCAGATATAGGTAGGCATTACGTCCTCTCTCCTCCTTGTGGAATTGTGACTTTGAAGATGATTATGACATCATATTTATTTTTGTTCTAATTCCCCTTTTCACATAATGTGTCTGCGTTTTTTGTTACTTCTTGTGTAAACCCACACTTATCATTTACCTACAATCTGTTTTTGTTTCACAGTCTGTGAAGCATGCTACGTACGAGTCACCGGCAGTTGGAAGTGCGGAAGCAAAAACAGTTAAATCGCTACAGCTATTCGCGAATTTAGTCGTATCACTTGCAAACGATAAAAATGCAGTAGTTGGATACAGGTAGGACAAGAATCGAAAATTGTGAACATTTATAAAATTCATACATTGGAGGCAGATATTTCCTTATATTACGTACCGTGTATTGCCAATAAATATACTGATTCATACACGTTGAATGGTACTTGAAACACTTGAAAATATGAATTATCACTCCTCCATCTTGACCACAAAGTTGACATTGATGATAATTACAAGTTGAAAAAGACCAAACAGAGAAACACCGTGATAAGTATTCAAAACTAATAACCTAAATCGTGCTTAGTACGTGTAATACACAATACCGTATTATAAAGGGGTGGTTTAATAACGGCCGTCCGCATTTAAAACTTTACATCGACATCACAAGTCTGATTTATGAATCTACGTCTTTATACATTGTTTTACGTTTTATCTTTCTATGTATACTTTCTTATTTTCCTTTTCGTAAATCGCGATATGATATTACAAATCGCGACCTATGATCTATTAACAGTCTATGTCGATAATTTTTTCAAATGCAAGGGGAATTTATCGATACTATATATTGTTTTGGCTCTCACAGATGTAATAAATGAGGTAAAAATACTAGAATAATTCCTGATTAAAAACATCCAGCCTGGTTGGGATATATGAACTGACTTCATAACAAAATTGAAATTGTAAAGGGACTTTATGGACCTCCTGTAAAATAGTTTATTCATAATTATGTGTAATTTTGTCCATACTCATACTACAATGACCAAATTCGAATTTTTTCAGAGACTCGAAGTTAACAAGATTATTGCGCAACGCCCTTGGTGGAGACTGCACAACGAGAATGATTGTGACAACTTCGCCGTGTCCTAATCTAGCTCACGAAACGCTCAGTTGTCTGCAATTTGCTCAGAAAGCGTGTCAAGTCATCAATCACCCGTTACCAAGAGTCGATATTGTAAACAGGAGAAAGGTAACTGTTGCTGTAATGGCGTAGTTTTCAACAATTTTTATTATATTTCTCCTTTCGTCTATTTTAAAATCTAAATTCCTACCTCACTATACAGAAAAACAATATTTATTCAATCTTCAATGAATCCTTAGAGAGTGTTGTTCGCAAGTTGCACTCCCGCTTTTGTACTGTTTAAGTAATTTATAATGTGTAAATGAAAAATCAAATTAGTAATATTACAGTAAATATAAAAGCAAAATTGCTTCCCGGTTGGGAAACGCGGCTGTCACTCGGGTTTTTGATAAATAAGCAAAGCATATTTGTTGGAATACCAGCGAAATAGGCTTAACTTTCAGTTACATGTTATGAATCATTAAACAGAATTTATAAATTATCTATTTGTGCTCAGAAAACTGATACACCGGAATCACCAGATCCCAAAAATGAAGAAAAACTTGAACAAAATAAAAAACTATCCCATCTATCATCAACACCAAGTTCGTCACCTTGCAATAAACTTCCTCCGATTCACACAAGTCCCGACGAACGTCGACTGAGCGTGAGTGCGGAAGGTTTAATTCAAACTACACAGGAGGAAACGTTCAAGACAAATTCATCGAGGCCGGGTAGCGCGACATCTTCTGACATTTACAAACATCGGGAACATGGTTCGCCCCTGAGCAGATCCACTACTCCTTCTTCTGGATTATTTTCATCTCCTTCGCCATCTAACGACAGAAAAAATTTGACACCGGATGGCCTACTTTATATGCAAGTAAAGTCACCTGAAGCAGGGAACAAAGTACTGTCTCTACCTGTTTTGAGTTCGTCTGGAACTGGACAAATAATCACACATCAGACTGGACAGAATACTAAATCTAACGAGGTGAGTGTATATGGTGTAAATCCAAAATCGGCGTTCAATAACAAAGGTTTAAAAGTCTAATAAATCACTGGATCAATGAAATCCAATCCATGCGTTGCAGGGCTGTGTATTCGGAGTTTATAATGTTTATATGAATAGTAGAGCTAAAGCCGCCGTCGTGTTCTCAAACTTTCCATACTTAAGATTGGTGTAAAATTAAGACTTTTAATGGTCAAAGTCTAAATTTCCGACAGAAATTCAATAACATTATATACAGCATATTCTGAGCATACAATTGAAAAAAGGCTTGCAATAAAGAGGGCGTGCCAAATTTTTCTCTTCCCATTGGCAAGTTTCTGATATTGATTCCGATTATACCTATCTTCGAAAATATTTCGCGGGATAAACAGATAATAGATGTTGTTATACATTAGAATGAATAAATGGGGTCAAGTAAGAGTGGTGTTTGTATTATTTTTCTCATTTTTAGCGTCTTGCATCAAAGACGTCCCCGGGTGAAGTGAATAGCAGACGTGCGAGTCGACGACAGAAACCACACGAGAAACTAGCTAAGAAACTTTCGGGTGGAACCCCGCAAACCGACTTTGCATCTACAATACAACCAGCTGCAGAACATATAATCAACGGAGAAATTGGATGTGTGAATGTGCAGTCAAAAACGGCAAACCGTAAGGTTTCATTGACAACTTCCAAAGAACCAGAAGTTGCCATGGTACAAGTGCTGGGTCAAATGGCTCCTGAAAGAGAAAAATCTTGTTGCATGGTTTGCAAAAGTCGAGAAGAAAAGATCAAAGCAGATTACGACAGAATGATTCTGTTCTCTAAAAAAGACAGAGTAAGAAAAAATATTTTTTCAATGTCGACATGTCTTGGCTGGCTTCCACCTTGTATTGATTTCAATCGAATCAAACAATATTCTTACTCCCTACAATGTCTACTTGTACACAATACCCCGCAGCAGCTTAAGAACAACCAGTTGGTCATTCGTTGAATACAATGACAATTCAATTATTTGGTTCTTCTCCTTCAATTATTATCTTTTCAAGTAATTATGTCGTCAAAATTCTCACAATCATTACGCACAGACAGAAAAACGTATTTCACAAGGTAGAATTCAACCAATGATTTACCATTAGCAAAACATACTTAACATTATATATAACTTCTTCATTTGCCATCGGTTTTTGAGCAACTTGGTTATCTTCCATTTTTAACTTCAAATAGCGATAATATCGCGATATGAAGGGCCTAGGCTTGCACGTAATTGACAAAAATCAATTCCGTAATTACGGCAAAATCAATTACGTAATGACCCCGTAATTGCGATATTTTTCCACGCATTTAAACCTATCATAACAACCAATTGAATCCACTTCTTTTCCGAATGGGACATTGAAGTTGGGTTTTCATATTCTTGGCAGTACTACACGCCGGCGGCAGATGTTGAATACAAATATCAAGGAGTGAATTCAAATTAATTTTTTTCTGATTTTTATCTTTTGTGTTGCTTTGGTTTTCCTTTATCACCTTCGCAAATTAACCGTCCCATTTTTATGCGATTAATTTTATTTTATCATTACCGACACTAGTATACGGATATTTATGAAAACGATAGTTTTTTAAAACCACCTTAGTACTGAATAAAAATTACGGGTTTCTAATTTATTAACCAACGACGAGCGTATTCTCTCGTTTGATTATACTTGCGATTTCCTCGCGACGAAGACTTGTTTTTGCAGCGTCTTCTGCATTATCCGACATTACTGCCTTGTTAGCATTTCATAATAATAATTATTGATGTCGACTTATTGACGATATTCCGATTACCATGCTTCATTTTACATTTAATCATTTCGCGGACTGAATGTTTATAACATTATTTGCGATAAATTTGGATCAAATATTATTTATTTGCGTATAATTGAAATACCGAACTTATATGATATGCCTTCTCCGAAAATACAAAGTTATATCGCAAAACAGTGCATTTTGTGACATTTATTTTACACTCACGACATTTATTTGCTAACTCAAGTCGGCGATCCGGTCGCCCAAGATTGACACAAATTTGGTCGAGTGCCGGTGGTATTCAAGTCGACGATAAATCAAAATAAGTTGCCGCATTTGGTAAGACAGTTAATCATATATGGCCGAAATATTGAGAGGAATTGTGAAAAACATCATGAGCAAGGCCAAGTCCGGACTGATATATAACGATAAAACCGTTAACAGAACATCAAGATTTTGTAATAGAAAATGGATCTCGCACAGAATAAACACACTGGCTCATATTTGATAGCAGTTAAATTTTTTAGCGGTCCGCGAGGAATCCATCGTTTTGTTGTTTCTCTGCCGTCTCAACAACCGCTTTACCGATGCCGAGAAGACGAAGTTGCGTTGGTTCATTACGCAATCTCTTTTTTGTCGTCATATTGCTATTTGATAAGCGCGACATTAATTATCACGGCGAGGTATTGGCGCGAGTGATCAATCGCTCTTTTCGCTTAATTGGTTCCAATTCGTCGCGACAGCTCTTCGTTAAATTTCACAAGATCGTCGTGTTAAAAGGTTATGGATATTTTCCTGCTTATACCCCAAGTCTGAAATAAAACAGACAAAAAAAGTATGATATTCCATGTTCATATATCAAGTGTTGATATTAACAATAAAGAATGGTTAAGCATTGCTAATCCACACTTGGTGGGGAATTCCCACTATTTAAACGCGTGACTATAAAATAGAAACGGAACATATATACCATAAGTAACGGAAAACTGGAACAAGTAAATAATAAATAAAAGTAAAATGGATATAAATGTTTGATAGACCATGTTTGATAGATTGATCACCTGCGTTCATTAGTCATTTCACCCGAAGAAGTTGAAACCGGGCGTGTTAGCGTCCATCGGTCGTAACACAATTCTTCCCCCCATCTACGGTTATTATGTACATTGGCCATGGCCATTCTAGATAAGATGCGAGAGAAGTTGAAACCAGGTGTGTTGGCGCCAATCGGTCTCAACGCAATTCTATCCCTTATCTAAGGTTAAGTTGCGGGAGAAGTTAAAACCAGGTGTGTTGGCGTCAAACGGCCCTACTCAGTTCTTCCCCCTTAACTACGTTAATAATTTACATTGGCCATGCCAGATAAGTTGATAATAGGTTAGTAAATAGCAACGCGTCATGCCTTCCTTCACCTACGTAACAAGAGAGAGAAGAGGGAGAAAAACGGATGCGAATACCGGAACTCTAACTTCTTCTATTTGTTGAGCTTTCATTTTTCGCAATCGACGAAATTGACTGCTTTGAAGAAAGCTCGTTTCAATGCAATAATTACGACTTTACGTAATTCGTAACTTCCCTTCCGTAACTCCAAATAATTACGTAATTCCGTAAATCCGTAAATTACGTGTAAGCCTATATGAAGCTATTTTGTGGATTGCTAAGTTTTGCTAGGTCAAAGCAGTTCACGAATTTGGTGCTTTAAATTTGCAACATGCATACCAATCTGCATTTATTTTTCAGGATGACAAGCACGCAAAAATAGAAGAATTGCATCAAGAAATTAAAAAGTTAAAAAATGAAACAGCTTCTATGAATACAATAAGAGCGCTGGAGGAAGAGAGGTCACAAGATAAAATTGCAAAAGTTGGTTCATTTTTTCAGTTTGCTAGAGCATTTGCCATAATTCTAATTAGCATATGTTACAATTTCGTCAAGTTTAAATTATGATCGGTGTTCGGACGAAATAATAACTCGATCGCGGGCGTAAATGCTTAAACATAAGTGAGGGAAACGTCAAGAATCGCTAATGGGTTCCTACAAGTACAAAAACAAAATGTATTGTCGCGGAGGTGATTTCATATGGTTCTGCTCTATATTCGAATGACTGTTTCTCCACTACAGACGTTCGTCTTTTTCCCGCCAAAATGTTATCAAAATAAAATGCGATTAAAAATCTACTTCGCCTACAATTCAAAGATTATAAATGTAATTTTCCTTCTAGGAAATTCAAGGCAAGGAGATTGTTCGTCTTGAAAGTCTCGTCGAAACATTGAAATTGAAACTGTTGGGAATGGTAAACAGCAGCGAAGTTACAACATTGCAAGATTTGAGAAGAAAAGATCATCAAACTATTGTAAGTAGCTACGATTGTATTATATATCTACTTCAAAGTTTATGTAAGAAGTATTTGAAAGAATATCAATCTTAAAATCGGAGCATTGAATGCAAACCTAGTTAATTTGCAAAGTTAGCAATTAGTACTAGCCAAGTAGTTTATGCAATTCGAATTTGTTGATACAAAGTATTGTAAAATAATTGGATTTGAATTTGAATGTGCAGAACATAATGTGCAAAAATAACCAAACATTCTAAAATTATAATTTCTGATTGGCACTTCGCTACAGATTATAAAACAACTTCATTTTAACTCTGCCACAAAATTTCTTTTGATAAAGAACCTGATCGTTTTCCTGTCATATTATTATCACTAGAACGGTCGAATCTTTATTTTTTATTTTAATATAGGATAAATTGAAAAGCGAAATTGATACAATCAAGCTCCAAATGAAAGAAGAATCAGAGAAACACAAGAGAGAAATTATAAATAAAAACGAAACAATTAAAAGGGTGGAACGAGAAATGAATCAACTTCGAAAAGAAGTAACAGATAAAGTATGGAAGATAATATTTCTCCGTTTGATTTGTGATTTCATTAGCTGTGGGACATCAAATTTTTAGTACCTGTATTATTCAATGGTATAGTTGTTATGAGCCAAGATATTTTAATTCAATTTAAAATATTTGGACATTTTATCAAAATGCGTTAGTTCATCAAAACATATTTCACTTATGAACAAATAATGTTGAGATTGCTGTATTTATTTATTCGACCCTTATTCCCGTCTTTTGCTTGAACAGGGCTCTATGGCGTTATATGTTTTGTAAGGTATCACGATATTTGGGGAGTTTATTTGGAAGAACTGGAATTTTTCCGATTGTAGCGTTGCGTAAAGGGAACTAATTCTTCATCACTCAGGAAAAAGCGTTGCTGGAGGTCAAAAAACAACACGAAGAAAGGGTAGTTGTTGCATCAGTAGAATTGCAGAAAATACAGGCTCGACATGAATCAATTATTAATGAATTTACTTTAAAACTTGCCAACTCTGCAAAGGAAATAACTAAATTGAAAGAGTCGGAAACTAAGACGTTTAAACAAAGACAAGATGAACGAGTAAGAAATACGATTTCAATTAGATATGAGTATCTATACTATAGAATAAGAGGACAAATAATTTTAAATCTTCAGGTTACTTCCCCGCCATACTCAGAATAAATACTAGTTTCAGTACAAACTATGATAATTTGAAATAAATGTTTAAGATAATTGGAGTCATTATTAATTTAAACATAATTTCTTCTCATTTATACTCGCACTAGCGCGGTCCTCATTAGCAAACTCATTGGATATATTTTGCGTGAACTTTTGAATAAGAGTGCTACCTTTACGAAACTATAGATCAGAGAAGTTTGGAAGGTACTGTGCTATGGTGCACATTCATTGACTGTTTTGGGAGTTAACATACAATTTCCTGATTTAAACTGTATAATCTAATTTAACTTAGGATAACTTGGAGCGTGAACTTGCACTCGCGAAACAAAACGCATCACACGCACAAGCAGAATTGAAAATTGCACAAGGAAAAATAATTTCACTCGAAAGAGAACAAAGAATGACAAAATCTTCAGGATTCAACCCAATGACAAGTTCAAGGCATTCCCTGAGAAGAAATATGGATTTCAGAGACACAGGAACAGCCATGTCAAATTCCCCGGATTTAGAAAGAGGTATACAAAATGTTGATTTTGAAACGTCATGGTTAAACACAAAAATATTCATTTTGGCACGTAAGAAACTTGCGTTTTACTTCAGGCCAGTGGGGCCAATTGAGGCCTGGCGTAGAAGTGGCTGACTATATTCTTCGACTAGTCTTTCAAAATATCTCGAGGGCTTGTCTGCGTAACCTACTTAATTTAAAACTTGCGAAATCTTCGGTAAAATCAAAGTAATTATGGTGACGTTTAATGTCAGACAAAAGTAGGATATCCAATTTACATAGATAAAAATATTAATTATCTATCGGCAAGTTCCAATAATCGTTTAACTGTGTAAAACAATATAAGAATTCCTCAAATTACGAAATTCCTCATGAATCGCAAACTAATGGTGTGAAAAGTTTTGACTCGTGTTGCTACAATTTTTGCAGATGGAGCATGTGTAAGTTGCGGACGACAGTTGAATCGTCAAGACTTTTCGACCGATATCAACAGAGATGAAGAATTACGTATATTGCTGCTGCAAGATGCAAGGAATAGAGAAGTTCTGATTCAATTGTAAGTGTGTAAAATTTTATTTCAGGAGTAAAACAGTAAAGTATTTTACAGTTCTGGTATTTACCCAATATAAATATTTCCTTCTTGTTTTAGAAAACGAGAGAGAAATCTTTTATGCGACGTTATGAAGATAATGTATTGTCGTCAGTGGTTTTTAGACGAAGCAGAGCCACATGTGAAACGAACTTTAAGAAGAGTTGGCATCGATACCAGATCTCTCGGCACTTTGAGGAAAAAATCTGACGTGAGAGAGATTCAGTAGACGAACACGGGGGCTATTTAATTTTTCCAGCATTGGGAAAAATTCGAGACGAGATCTGTTGCCAGCGATAATAACTAGCCTAGCGATGTCATTTGACAAATAATAAATACGTTGTTCTCCGGCCAGAAATTGAGCAAATTACTCAAATCTTAGAGAACGTGCTGACGGCATATTTTCTTATATGTTGAAAACTTTATTATATTTCTTTCAAATCTTTATATCAGACATGCGATAGTTACATTCGTGCACTTTTTATATTAATTTCTTGAATATACTTTTTATAACCAATTGTGAGCGAGAATGTTGCCAGAAATTTAATCGTTAATGAGAAAACAGTTTTAGACAGCCATAGGCCCATAACCCACGTATGTGGATAAACTGAAAGCAAATAGTACCTTTACTATACGAAAATAAAGGCTCTTTATATAAGATAGTAAAAGTAGATAGAAAATTAGCTTTCTATAACGCGACAAAATTATAACGCGACTTTATGAACATCTGGTACACATTTTTCAAAATTTAATATTCATGTTAATTTCAAAGTTGTAACTAGGTAGTAAAGATACAATCTGTTCCCAGAAATTCGAAAATAATTATACGCTTAATCTGAATTATCATTGAAAATGCAAGCTAACTTGAAGCAGTATTTAAAGTAAATTTGTAAGTAACCTAAAACAATCAACTCATTGAACTTAGAAAGAGCTTTTGATCAAATCAGAATAGTAAACTTGGGAAGATTGCGCGTCTGACTACTACATACACATCCATTACTCTTGGGTTCCTTTGCGGAGATTCGCTTAAAGCCCATGTTTTTTTTTTCTTTCTGTTAATGAGTGCGCAGGCGTAATAAACATGTTAGTTACGAGATTTCTTCATCTCAGATCTTTATGCTATATTTGTACTCAAGTCTAGAAATCTAACTATCAAACAAAGAAAACCAAAAATATTTTACTAAAATATATTAGGTTACTACAAAGTCTTCACAAATAATGTATTGAAAAGTCTAGGAAAATTAAAAAATATTTAGGAGAAAACAGCCAACACCAATTTTTTTTCATAAAACTAAAAATTTGAAAAATTCAGATTTTAAATTCAATCTGATCATTATTGGCCAGTTAAACTGTGATGAATAAAAATAACAGAGCAGCAGTAAAACATTGAAAAACCACAAATAATCATCGAATAAATTAACAGTTGTTTTTACTTTATAAAATTGTTGTTGCTACATAAATATATACAAAACACTATACTAAGGTATTTAATGTTCAGAATATGAGTGAAACGAACGGAATTGAACTAGGAGTCCAATGACTATTTATACCAGAGGTGTACAACAGGCAGCCCGCGTGCCACAACCCAGCCCGTCAAACCAATTTGAGTGGCTCTTGTCCACACCCAGATATTTTCCCATCAAGCATTAAATCCTAATCCGGCAGTTTCTGTACAGAAAAGCGCACACAAGAATAAAAATCAATTTATCTAACTATTTTTGCCTTTGGCATTAAATCTTTCGCCGTTTTGCCCAATGTCGTTGTTACTGTAAGGCTGAGCGATAGTCTTTTCATTGTGAGAATTATTTAATTTGTTTTGTATATAAATGAACCGACCAGCTAGATGTCTGAAGTAGTTATATGGCCCGCGGATAAAAATGCTGCACACCCCCCATGATTTACTTAGTCTCTCAGAAACAAAAATATTCTTCTGCTGTGTGTTTTAGCCAAGAAATACAGGACACAACATTTTTGAGACAACTAAGCTTTTCAGTATTTACTGAAACAAGCTGAAACACAAATTAAAATTCTACAAATCTCAAAAGATACTGAAAATAAACTATAGTAATCACTAATATTAACTGATAATAGGAATGAGATATTTAGTTGCAAGGTAGATACGCAAGGATGAAAATATATGTGCAAATATGGAAGATGGCCCCTACATCTTCTAAAGAGAACTACAAAAAAATTGAAAAATGGTAGTTCAAATTTGACAAGCATGTATGAATAAAAACCTAGCACCGACTGTTCTATAATTTTACCCATGTAACACGAATCTTAGGTGGTCAAAAGAGTCAAATTCAGTCGTAAAAACCCAAAATCACCTGACTTTATAATAACCAATAATACACAAATACAATTGTAACATTTCTAAACAAATCATATATGACTTGTAGCTAAATGAATTGAAAAGTGTCATTATTGTAATTGTATATTATATATTATTAAAGTTGAGTTATATAAGACTACTTGGCACTGAAGAATAAAAAAACACGACACTGACACCACGAAAGCAGACAGCATATATTGTTGATACCTGATAAGGAATGTTGGATACTTTACAGTAATAAACACATGAAGAATAGCTAAATAGATAGAACCTAGACATAGCTATAGGAATGTAATATGAAGAGTGCTTCAAAATCAAAGTATTCAAGATATGTGTGCTGAATGGAATGAATTTTTGAATTTGTAAGAATGCAATATTACTTATTATAATAATAATAATAAAAAATCTAACAGTGGATCAATGCCAGCAAGTCTGCTATTTAATTATTACGAGAGTATTCTGCAAAATTTATCACAAATTCTTGCTATTTGACAACGATCAGCAAATTGAATTCAAGGCTTCAGAGTTCAGATCATAACTTTGAAATATATAAAAACTTAATATTTTTATGCTGGAAACTATAAACACTTATATTTATATAAACAATGGATCTGGATGCATATATTGCAAGGATGATGCAGCAGGACAAAATAAAGATGACTGAACTATGTCATTTAAGAGTCTTGTTGCAAACCAAAAGAAATGTATTCCTATAATGTTGCGTCTGCATATTCAGACAAGCATATTTCAACTTACCAAAGAAGTGTTTTCTTATTGTTCTTAATATATGTTCAGCTGCAAGAAAAGGCAATCATGAAAAAAATATTTCTCATCTGAATCACCAAATAGGAATTAATTTCAGACAAGACAATTAATTATTAATCTCATTAGAACCATAATGTTGAGCATACTGTGATTCTTGTAATATAAGCATTATCTTAAAATCTGAAAAACCACAAGAAATGATATTTAAATAATTACATTCATCATATATCAAAGTCTAGATGTTTTTTAACAAACGTTTCACTCCTTGAATGATCTTCAATAGATTCAATTGATTCCGCAATTTCCTATCCGCTGTCTTTATCATAGTTTTTACTATCATGCTGAGATGAAGTTGGAGGCCCACTAGGATATGAAGAAGATTTTGTATGGTGTTGTTATGCGTGTTTTACTACAAAAGCTATTTTTTCCACAACAATAATTTTGACGATTTATATGTACACTTAAATACCAATTGAGAAATGGATAGTGTAACTGAAACTGAAAATATAATACTGAAAATATAAAATACTTCAAAACAAGAAACAATCATGTAATCCTCATGATTTAATACCTTCGTACAATCGAAGTTTCAAAATCATCATCGCTATAATCATCTTCATCACCGATACTACGATCAGTGTTCCCATTCATTTTTCTCCGTCCAGTGTTCTCATCGAACATATCATCATTAAGCCCGGAATTTCTCAAAATTTCTTTATACCTTTTTTCTGCTTTCAAACGGGCCGAATTCTGGAGAAAAAATTTTATTAGTCTTTTAACTACAATTTCAATCCTGCTTAGTAGTTTAACCTGAGGAACCTGTCATTTTAAATTATAGTAGGAATTCACAAGAGAATAATTTGTGACATGACAGACACACAGTGGAAACGATTACTGACTTAAGTCATACTGGCAGTTATTGATGGATGACGAGTGAGAGGTGTTCCATGACTCGAGCCACTCAAAAACTGTTAATTTGCGCAGAAAGGAAAATCGGAATAAAATTATGCCCTTACCCCAACCTGGTACACATACTATGGGAATACTGTTATTTCCTTATTAAATTCACACAAACAGATAAATTATTTACAAGTTACACGATAAAAAGTAGCAAAAAAATATGATAGGCAGATGAAAATAGAAAATGTTAGATCACTATATTATTAACCTGTGCTTGTTGCTCAAATAACAGAGGTCTTTGCTTTACTCTTTCATTTATATCTTTCAGTTCCTTTTGATATTCAGCATTTCTCGCTTTTTGTTGAAGCCTGTTTAAGAAAAATCAGACTTTGTTCAAGCTTTGTTGAATAATTAACTGGTTAACGAGACTTACCGTATGGTAATTAAAAAGTCAGTGATTTTCATCATTTTTATTGTGGTAAATTCAATGTGAGAAGAACATATTGTTGGCAGTCACATTGTATGGTAATTAAGCCATCCTATCAGTTTTTCCCTTTGTGATAAATCATAATACATCTGAAAATCCTAAAAAGTATGAATCCAGAAAAGTATGAATTCTTTTTACTTTACCAACTCAAAGATCGTTTGCAATTCACCATTAAGAAGAATGACATATAAATTTGTTATAAGGTCCCCATATTTACAAACTTACTTATATTGTTTCAACTTTTCTTTTCTATATTCAGTTGATTCTGTTAAATCTTTGTCTGAAGTCATTGCTCTTGTGGCAACCTGGATCAAAAAAAACTCTATTCAAAAATTGTTTTCTCCAAAAACAAGTCAAATAATATTTCAACATGTATTCAGTTTGTGATAAACGTACATCAATTGGTTGGGATCCTGGTTTACCATTGTCTACCAGATAGTTGTTGCTGAAGGCAACAATTTTTCGCCATGTCAGTGCGCAGTGAGTTTTTTCGCGGGGACAAATTGGGAACTGCTGGTCCAACCATACCGCCCACCGCTTTTGAAGATAAAAATATAATTACAATCTTCCAGTACCTCTTGAGCCATTATTTTTCTTCTTTCTTTTCTTGCTCTTTCTTTTAATTTCAGTTCCAATAATTCTTCTTCAGCTTTCGCAATTGCTTTTTTAGTTTCTTCAATTCTAAGCCGAGCAGATTCAGTCATTCTAGCGGGAATGCTGTCTGAAAATTTAAAATTAGGATTTTTAATAGCAAAGCTTTCGCAATTGCTTGTTTAGTTTCTTCAATTCTAAGCCGAGCAGATTCAGTCATTCTAGCGGGAATGCTGTGTAAAAATTTAAAATTTTTTAAAAGGGTGCTCCAACAATTTCACTGTTAAGAATTTAGCCACCCTTCGGCATAGAGCAAAGACCTTCACCAGTGGCTACATTAACTTAAATTAAATTGATTTGTTTGATTCTTTGACTAAAATGCATTTATTCTTATTTTCAATTATCTTCACGCCCCCCATTGTGAGACACGCCACACAGTTTGAGAACCACTGTTCTAATACGTTACTTTAAATATTCCAAAAAGTACAAAACCCAATACCTGATGGATAAGAGTATTTCTTGGTTTTCAGAGATTTCATTGAATTTCTATAATTTTCTTCATCTTCAGTCAATTTCCTGTTGGCTTCCAGCATAGCAACTTTCTTTTTCCGAAGTGCTTCAGTACGAAGTTGAAATGGTTCAGTCATTGTTGTTTCTAATTCCATCTTTCGAGCTGTTTGTTCCATCTGATATCTCCTATGTAATGCCTGACGAATATTTAAAAAAAAAATAACATTTAGAAGTGTTAAAATGTTAACATTTCAAAAGAATTTCATCAGTAAATATTACACAGATATAGTTAGAATTTAGTAAAGTTACCAAATTCTGCAATCCAAAATATATGTTTTACATTTCCTCAAAGCGGCATCTTTTTGAAGATTCGACTTTTTGGGATAAAGTCCTTGAGTTAAATAGATTTGAAAGAGTTACAAATGAGTTATTTCTGGGTGAATGTGCAAGGTCATGCTTCGAGCAAATTTTAATAGTAAATATTGGTATAAAATTTATTTTAAAGGAAGAAACGTAATAATATATTATATAAGTAGAGTTCTTAAAATTGGCTAATTAATATTTGTCTGGGAATTTTCTTGAAATGCGATGGCCATATTGGCCATTTCACTTTATTTCCATTCATTTGAGATTTGCTCTATTGGGACACATTTCATACTCGCAAGTTTTGATTTTTCTTAATACCTCGAAATCTGGCATATCATGAGTTTCAGGTCTGAAAGAGAGTTTTGTAGCTTTTTTGATGTCTTTGTGCCTTTGTTTTCTACGTTGCGCGTACATTAATTCATGAGAATGCATTCTTGGTGGGAGGGACGATGATTGCATAAGATCTTCTGACCTGAGAAAGAAAAAAATTTGAAAGAAATTTTTTACAAATATGAATGAAGAATTTTTAAAATTTGGTACTCCTGAAGTATGCGCACCAAGATGTCGCATAACCTGAACCCTAACCTGGTACACAACCTGAGTTCAGGTTGTGCGCCATCTTGGTGCGCATACTTCAGGAGGTTCAAATTTTCACCACCCTATATTATTAATAAGTATACATTGGTATTTCCATATCAACTATTAAAGCAATTAAACCGTTCCATTCGTGTTCTATGCTCATGGAGCGATCAATTCCAAATAATAAAAAGCAAACAATGATAGATCAAATACAGATAATTCATCTGTTTGGATACGCATTGGTAACCATCACCTACAAATATTGGAATAACCATAAACCAAATACAAAAGTTCTCAAACTCACGACTCATTATCTTTTTTAACCTTATTGACATAAATTTTGAAAGAAAGGTTTTATAATATGTGCACAATTAAATATATGAATCAATGACTTGTTTTTCAGGACATAAATGATAACAATGTGACTGATTTACTGGCGAAGTATGTGTACCAATATGGAGGGAACTAATTTTGTTCGCCTATTTTACATCAGGTTGTGTGAAGGGACTGAAACCTATAGGCAGGAAGTATAATCACTCGGCTAACACTGACAGTCTCCAAACACAAAATATAACTAAAATATGGAAATCAGAATAAAATTATGGCCTAACCCTAACCTGGAGTACCAAATTACCAATACAGCCAGAAATGTTAATTTTTACAGGTTGGTCATTTTATGTCAAGTTCTTAATATCTGCAGATGTAATTTTTTTAAAAATGAATTGAAATTCCATGATGTATGATAAATTTGCTCAACACACAGTTTGAGAACAACGACCCAACCAACATTACTAGGTTGAAACATGAATTGTAATTTTGGACAAACTAGGTACCAATGTATAATTTCAAGTTTTAGGAGAGTACTTTCTAGCGTATAGAAAAAATATTACATAAAATTGATGACATAATTCTCACCATTGATGACATAATTCCAATAAACACAAACCCTAATCATTTAAAAATCAATTAAAACTAGTATTATTGTTGCAATCAATAAATTGGTAACAGTATATGGCATCACTAAGACGATAAGAAGATAAAAAAATCAATGAAACACGGAATATTGTCAAATGAAATAATCTTTTTGCATTTCAGTGGTCATATATAATTTGCTCTGGAATGAGTATTCTTTGCTCCTGAAGGAGTGTGCGACCTTGCTTGAAGCAAACTCGTAAAAAATCAAACAGGTTAACCACAAGAGATAATCGTTTCGAAAATATTATCAAACAACCTTTTCTTACGAACCTTGTGACTATGGTATATTCATAACACAATCATTTTTAGAAACTAAGATTACTAACTACTATTACGATAAATCTTGGGAAAAGGAGACAGGAGTGCAAAAACTGGGAACTAAATATTCCAAATGATCAATCATAAGTGAATTTTAGTTAATACAACATCTATCAAATAGTTATATATCATATTATAGCCAAGTTAACAAGTAAATATATCTTAATATAATCATTTGAAAACAAAATATATTTGGAATACAGTATCCATCTCACCTTAATTTTACTTTGATTTTTCTGTAAAGTTGTTCTTCCTTCATTTTCTCAGCAACACTAGGGTCGTGCACAGATGCTGGAACTGGTCTAGCAATAAATTGGACCATCGTTTTCAATTTATTTTTTTCTTTCTTTTGTTCCATTCTCTTGGTTTTTTGCTTAATATAAGATAAGATATTTATATCTAAAATATTACATCCTCGCATATAAGCCGAGGTTAAAGTTCAAAAAAAAAGTTGCCAAACTAAGGGGTCGGCATATGCGCATAACTCTGACCGCATTAAAATTTGGTTTGTACACACATAATTCTGATCGCACTCAAACGAAATGACATTATTCTAACTTACGGTAATTCCAACAGCTACAACTTGAACCATGCTCAGTTCTCAAAATAAGAGCGTACAATTTGTAGGGTCAGCTTATATGCGAATTTTATATGCAGAGTCAATAATAAACAAACAATAATTACATTATTAAAACAGTAATTTCAATCAGACATAAGACTTTATAATAATTGAAATTTTCTCTCGTTTAAAATAAATTCTTCAAATATCCATCATAATTAGGAAAACAAAAAGCAAAATAACAATATCACTCCTACCTTTTCCATTTCCTTCATCTTTTCTCGTTCCATGAAAGAAAACGGTTTGATCATAGCTTGAGTAGCTTTCACTGCATTTTCTCTGTTCATTCTCGAACGTTGTTCTTGCCTTTCCATAATCTCCTCATAGAGAGGGAGAAATGTATGAGCAGGAGGATCTTTTGCTCTCACTCGCAATCTCATTTCAAGTTCCTCTTGTTCTAATCTTTCTCGTTCTGCCCTTGCCACCTCTTCGGAAGACCTGAATCAAATGGAAACAAAATTTAGTGAATCAGTGTTAATCATATTTGAGCCATTTGCTTGGATTCAAAGATACAAATATTTCAAAAAATCAGTTTTCTGTCTTGTAAACTTTTCCTTGGTTAACAGAGATATTAAGGTTCCAGCAAATACTAAGACCTCAATTAAAATAACGCTTCGCACAATCGTTCTTGCACACAATCGTTCGCAGCAACGAAAGTTAGGGGATCCCCCAAAACAGAAACTGAGGTTTCGATTCCTTCGCTCTGACTAATTAATAACTCCGTAATTATACGACATAATGATGAATGCACATGCAAAATTTGGAGCAGATTCAACCTCGCTTTCGTGAGATATAGCATAACATACGAAACAGACAAATAAACAAACAGACAAATACCTATCAACATACTTATCAATCGAGATCGATAAGTAATGGAGAGATGTAACAAGGTCACCACAAATGCCTACAGATAATTCAATATTGCTTTATGAATAATTACCTTGTGTGAGTTTTTTCTTTTTTATTTTCTTCCCTTATTGTCATTTTGAATGGTTTAGGTATTGTTATTATTGGAGACCAATCTTTTTTTATAGGTGCAGATTTTGGACGAGATCGTTTTTCTTTCGCTCTTTCAATCTTTTCAATTGAAGTAGGCGGCAAGTAATCTTTCAATTTAAAATCATCCCACATTTCTTTGACTCTATCATGACGTAATTCATTACTATATCCATTAGGTATTCTCCCACTGTGCTGGTATTCAATAGCCGACCGATTTTCGTCCTCAATTTCTGATTCTGAATCGCACTGCTCTACCTCATCTTGATTCTGCCTATTTCCTTCATAGGAATCAACTGAATCTTCTTCCGTTAAGAATACTCCTTCTCGTTGATTTCTTTCAGCGACAAATCCATTTTGCGTAACCTTGTATTTTGCGTCTTTTTTCTGATTCGAGAGATAGTTTTTGGCTTGATGGCAACGAGAATCCGCTTCTGAGTAGAGCAAATCAAGCATTTTTAATGTTTTCTGATGCTCGTTTTTCAAATCTTGTAGTTTGTCATAAAATGTTTTTGTTAGTTTATCTCTGTCAACATGAAACGGTTCTTCAATTCCAGGATTTCTCTCGACATCTGTCATTGGTCGAAAACCTTCAGGTTCAGGTTGGTAAACGGCAAGTGAATCTTCATTGAAACATTCCTTTGACATGAATAAAGAAGAGATAACATATTGGAAATAAAAGAGACCTCTTTCAATTTCTAAAAATAGCATTGAGTGGTAGTGAATGAGCTTAAATGACAGAATTATATGGTTCACATATCGAGAGCATATAAGACATTGAGCATGATATATCACATACAATATATGTTTTCTAGTCATTGAATCTATAACCAGAAAATTGGATTTCATTTTCCATTTTTCCAACTAATGTTGCATACCATACATTAGTACTGTAGTACATACCTGCATTGTGGACATATGCTGTTCTCTGTCTTCATCATGAAGAGTTGCTATTGTATTTGTCCCAGGTTTTAGAGGAGGCCGTATCATCCCTGATGTTAACTTGAAAGTTTGATGATCTGCCATGACAGTACTGCAGTATGGTACGGAAATAAATCGACGATTACCTTATAGTACTAGTAAAAACTTGATTCTTTTAATATTTTGTTATAAAAATTTGCACTTAATTTGTGCTGTAATATCTTAATGTTCAAATACTTTCTTTAGCTGCAATTGTGGGAAATACACACAGTAATTACTTGAATACCGATCCGCCGGTACGGTACTGGTACCGGTAGTGGCTATTTACATCTGGCGGTTCGGATATTCTGCATCTGTTATCTCGACTTCTCGAGGGATAAGATGGGATTTTCTGATTCATCCGTACTGCTGTAAGATCATTAGATACCGTATAATCTAAAATCTAAATTAGGCCTATGGTGCACTGATATTCAATTTAAAATATCCATAAAGGCTACCAGTATCGCAAAAATATATACCTTGTATTCTGTCAGTTAGATAGACAAACAGATAGCGCAAGGTAGAGTCCCGCATACACATCGGCAACGCGTCCTAACAAGTTGGCGTGGAAACTGGAAACATATTGAAAACTTTCAACTGGTATCAACATTTTATGACATCTAGCGGATAGAATAATTGCATACTCTCACCAAAGACGGGCGCTAGACGACAATGAGCAGACTGTGAAAAATACGGTTAGATATCGTTACAGAATAATTCAAAGGCAAGCTACACGGTGAAATTTAAAAGAAATACTAACTGTACACAAGTCAATCAAATATATGCTAGTTAAAATTAAATTCATTAACAAGAAATATGAACTAATAAACACTAAATACGGTAAAAAAAGTGTGCAAAAAAATAAGAAGATCAACAAAATTTGAATGAAATTAAATTTAATAGATACAGCAATGGTTAATCAGATAGATACTTATGAAAAAAGACACGTAGGCTATGTCTCACGAGCTGTCTCTTTAAAGCACAGAGCTTAAAGTGTCTGACTAAGAGTTGGATATTACTGCGGGATTAAGTAACGAGTCTAACGACAGATGGAAGCTTGTCCTCCACCAGTCAAAAACGAAACAAAAGTAAAATATTTTAGTTATAAATTTGATCATGTTAGATGCGAATAGAATGCAAGTCAATTTGATTCGTTTTTATAAAATGTTTCAGGAATTTTGTGACTTGAAGGAGAATATTATTCGAATCTCATCCTTTCATTATCTATAATTGATGCTTGGATACAGCCTCTGTTTTAATCAAAGATTAAAGCCGGACCGTCATTATCCGCGACATATCTTTGTTCCATGGCAATAAGTGTTGAACGGTTTTGTGAAATATTCCTTACATCAGTATATGAAACAATGCGAAAAATCACATTCACCAGGTGCAGTCCCCATATAGGCCTAAATATTATTTACCTTCATAGCCGGCAGCCAAAAGATATACTCGTACAAATATATTTTTTCAATGGGTTACGTAAAACTAACGCATGTCTTGCTGTAGTTGAAATACGGTTGTCTAACTCTAGAAAAGTTTGACCTTGACCAGAGGAATCTCATTAAAAACATTTGCGCCAGTGGGCAGCAGAACTTTATGAATTATATTTTATATTTCACTGTAGAATTCAAAGAATTGGAGGGAGTCCACCGTCATTAAGTATGACACATAAGCAGGCCGCTTTTTAAGCTAAGTTTCGGGGGGCGGTGGGGCGCATAATGGGGAGTGATAAATATCTGAATTCATAATATCGAATTGCATTGAATCAAAGGAACCCCTCGGTGGTTCAATCTGTCCGTCTAGCTGTGGCGTCTAAAAAGAGAGGACAATCTTAGTGAAATTTCACGTGGATTAATGTATTACCATAATAATGTGCGTTTCACAAGAGGTTCTGATTGATTTTCGGTCGTTTTAAATTTTCTCGTAATGATTAAAAATCAATTGTCAAAAATTCAAATTCTGGGATCGCTCACCCACGCGGAAGTAGGGGTTATAGCAAATTTGCACCTACGTTCATTTGCTGTTACTGTTAAAAAAGCGTCAGTCGTTACAACTGTACGAGTCCTCCAACGTAACTTCAATGCTGTTAAAAAGCGTCAGTAGTTGAATATTAACTAGCGTTTCGTGGTTAGTTTAATAATGTTAAAAAGCGTCGGTCGTTACTTGTTTACGTGTATTTTGCCGCCACTTCAATAATGTTAAAAAGCGTCAGTCGTTGAACATTAACTAGCATTTCATCTTGCAAATGTCCGTGGGTTCAAGTGTACGCATGTGCAAATGTCCGTGTGTGCAAATGTCCACGATCACAAATGTACGTGTGTGCAAATGTCCGTGGGTGCAAGTGTCTTTGGGTGCAAATGTCCGAAGGTGCAAATATACGCGTGTACAAAATGTACTGGGTGCAAATGTCTCAAGGTGCAAACGTCCGTCGGTGCAAATGTCCTAGAGCAGGGGTGGGCAACCCCTGGCACGCGAGCCAAACTTGGCACGCGAGCCCATTTATTCGGCACGCGAGCGAATCCTGGAGACAAGATCATTCTCCTTTAGATAAAAAGTTTCAAGACCTTGAATTATCTGATCAAACTAGGTGTTCATTTCTTCATTATCGTTCATTAACAATCCGTTATTCATTTAATCTCTTTTTTCTTTTCATACATATAGCCACACAGATATATATTGTGACGTAACAAATGAGTAAGCTCTCGACAAATTTTGTCGATTGAAGCGCAGCATTAATACATACATTCATACGTAATTTAGTTCTGTGCCACCCTTTTTCTTCATTTCTGCTTGATTTATGAAGTTGTACAGCTCGTATTGGTTAGAGTTTCCTACTAACTTAATGTTATAAATTCATTTTGAAAAAAATATAAGCAATTACGAAAGGGATTGAGCAGAAAACGAACCATAGCGTGATTGGAATGCCATTTCCAAAAAAAATTCGTGTCTTAAAACTTTGCAACTGCATCTCCGTTTCCTTCTACATACGCTTGTGAATCTCTGTTCTCACTTATTAATTTTATTAAGTCCTGTAACAGGAGTATCCTGAAACATGAAACCAGTAGTTCGTGTATTTCTTTGAAAGTTACAAAATATTAACCTAATGTAAAATCTCTATCAGGGAATACATGCAACAGCAGAAGACTCACTGATATTTTCCCAAATAGTGAACCTGTCTGTACCTGTTCAAAAGGTTTATTATTGTGTTTTTTTGCTTTGAAGGTGGCAAAGCATATTTTTAATTTTGGTCGGCACGCGAAAAAATTTTGTTGTTAAATTTAGCCGATTTTGGCAAGCGAGCCGAAAAGAGTTGCCCACCCTGTCCTAGGGTGCAATCTATATGTGGGTGAAATGTGTGGTTGCAATTGTATGGATGTAATTGTCCATGGGTTAAAATGTCCCTTGGTGCTAAAGTATAATAAGTATTGGTAAGTATTGAAAGTATTGATGCAAAGGTAAAAATGTTCAGGATGCACTTTAGGGGTGAAAATGTATGTGAGTGCAAAGATAATGGAACCGGGAGAAAATGGTATTCTAACAAGCCGGCTTTCATATCGATATTCCCTAAATTGGGAAAACCTAGAGAATTTTGGTGAACATGTTTTAATTATCAGCCACTGTATACCACTCAAAAGGAAGATGCCGACGAAACGCACAACGCTCCAAATGAACTGACAATTAAATTTCTGTAATTGAAGTTTTCTTCAAAATAGTTATTAATGTTTGAAAAAGAAAGAAACCGCGATAACTCCCTGTTAAAACTGACAATAAATTGATCAATTAAAAACTTTAAAAAAAAAAATTAAAAATTATAATTATATTAACAATACCTTGTGAAATGTACACATATATGGAAGGTTCTCATGGATAGCATTCAAATGACAGCGTTTTAAATATATATATTGATGAAAACAATTTCAACTAAATTTTCGACAAAACTCAGATGAAATAGGGTTATATTATAATATCAAACACTATTTAGATTTTTCGGGTTCTTGTTGATGACGTCACTATATAATCCCCTTCCCTGTCTCAGTCTATGATGAATTGAGGAAACGGACTATGCTGAGATTAAGTTCTGTTAAATAGTAAAGTGTTTTCACGGGGAATCGGACATCATGTCCCCGCACGGCATTTTTACATAATCTCCGCCAGTATGTAGTCCAGTCAGAAAATATCGTTTTTATGAGAATAATAATCAGTCTTGGTTTTGTTGATAGTGAGTCAATCTAATCAAGACATTATGTTACAGATCATTTCATTATTCTTTTTTGTACACATCGCTATCAAAACCTGAATTATTAAATCCCCCCACGTCCATTTCTGTTAAATCCAATGAAGGTTCTTTACAAAAGTACTGTTCATTAGCATACGTAGAAACGTTTTTCTTTGTATGCATTTCCAAGCTGTATTTGTTTTTTCCTTCACATTTCCAAATTCCAAATATTCCTGATAATAATTGTACAACAAGATATGACACAAAACTAAGATAGGCAATGCCAACTACCGCTACCAAGGCGTACCAGCCGGGGTGGGGAAGTTTGCCAACGTATACAATCACAAAATATATGTTGATACCTATTACCATTACAGATATCATCGTGCCAATAGCAAACCATATTCGAGAATTCTTGTAGTTACCCATAACGTCTGTTGACGATGTAAAATGCAGAATTGGTATCAAAGCAAATGGTAGTTGAAGACTTTGTAGTACATTCAACAAATCATTAACCCCAGTAATGCTGTAAATATCTGTAAATATAGCAAGAAGCAGAGTGGGACCAATTGCAATTGACCTAGTCAAGAGAATTCTTTTGAATCTTGACCATCTAAGGTCCAAAAATCCTTCCATAACAAACTGTCCGGAATAAGTTCCGGTCATTGTTGAACTCTGACCTGCCGCCAGAAGGCCAACTGCCCAAATGTAATATGCTGCCGGTCCATAAAAGCACCCTAGAAATATACCACCTTTAAATAAGTCCGTATGGGCTGTTTGATTTGCTGTAGTCTCATCATACGGAAACGCGCCTTCGCTATTGGGAATCGATGTATTTGCACAAGTCGCATTCAATTCCGAATTAGTAACTCCGTAGAAGGCTTCGGCGAAAACAGAAACAACAAAAAGGTTTATCGTGAAAGATATTGTTAATGCAATTCCCGACTCGACCAAATAATAAAAATTTGCTTCATTAACCATACGAGGTTTGTTTCTATCGATATCGCGGGATTTCACGAGTGCAGAATGGAGATAAATATTATGCGGCATGATGACGCAACCGATAATACCAACGGCTTGAAGCAACACTTCTGGACCGCAATCTTTACATACGGGTGAGAATAGACCGATTATCACCTCTTTTTGATCAGGCGCCACTACAATATATTCATATCCAAACGTAATAGCCATAACTGAGATAAGAAAAGCAAACAAGGCTTCTAGTTTTCGTAAGCCGTATTTGTCCAACATCAGAAAAACAAATGCGTCGAATGTTGTAATGAGTACCCCGCCCCAAAGTGGAATCAGACCTCCTGACAAAAGAACAAACGCTATCGCCGATCCTATAACTTCTTGCATATCAGCTCCTATTATGGCAATTTCTACCATGATCCATAATATCAGCCTCGGAATTTTTCTATATTGCTTGTTGCAAACTTCTGCTAAATGCATTCCAGTGACCACTCCCAATCGAGCTGCAAGCCTTTGCATCAACCAACCCATAATTGTCGCAGTGAACAACATTGTGAGAAGCTGAAATCCTGCTACGGAAGCTGATCGCAAGTCCGACTCAATGTTCCCAGGGTCCAAATAGGCGATGCTCATAAGAAATCCGGGTCCAGTAAAAGCCCACATTCTCTTCCAACTAAAAGGTGGCATATCGATTTCACAACAACTCGGCCCGCAGTTTTCAATTTCTTCGTCATCATCATGAGGAACAGAAATCTTATCGACAAAGTAGGTAGTGTACAAATTTTCCTTTTCTACATCATCATTTTCAGATGAATCTTCCTTTTCTTCTGCTTTTTCTCCAGAGCGAGAATCGGTTTCTTCATACTGTAACATGATGTGTGAGTTCGCTCACTCCTTCTAAAAAAGTTGATCTTAAATATATATATAAATATATATAAAAAGAAGTTTACTTCAAGTTGATCCTGCTTTATGTTGTTAAAACATTGCAGAGAGAGTTATCGATGCTACTAGTAAATAGTCCTAAAATTGATGAAAGAAGTCATAACACGCGACCTTTCAGTATTTTTTATATTAAACAATTCAGTTTGTCTGGTATCCTGAATCACAACCACTAAAACAGTTTCAATTTACACAACCTATTTCGCTACGCCGTGGCCCGGTGATACCAAATATACACCAGTTGTTGCAGTACAGGTTGTCATGTAGAAAAATCTAGGTCTGGCTAGACTTGAATTGGATTTTAGAATCAACTTAATAAACCTATGTTCTGATTTGGGTACTCCCGAAGTATGTGAACCAAGATGGCGGACACCGGAACGTAGTATATGTACTAGATTAGAGTTAGGCCATAATTTTAGTCCAAATATCCTTATTTTTGTTCTATTACGAGTTCGGGGACTAGCCAAGTGTCTCCCGTAGTATGTGTACCTAAAATTATGGCCTAACCTAACATACTACGTTCCGGTGTGCGCCATCTTGGTTCACATAATTCGGGAGTACCCTGATTTGAAATTATCTTTCAGTACAAGGCTCATAGTACGAATATTTGTTAGCGATGGTATTATTTATCTGTGGTTTAAGAATTGATTTGTTTATTCTACGCAAGGAATAATTACCATAATTGTTCGATTTGATTTTATGCAACAACTAGCCGCCTACCAACTTTCTGCAACATCTGAATTAGAATAACTATATAATAAATAAGCGTGCAGTGACACAGCCGTGTTCCTTCTTCTGATAAAACATATCCGTAAATTAAGTTATGCGTTACACCATTGAGGTATGTACCACAGCTCATCGAGATACCATATATTTGAAGAAGATAACAAACACATGTCAAACAACTGATGACGCAAATATATATTTAGTCATTGTGTTTATTTGTCATCCTTGACATTCCGCATAGCATGGCCTTGAACACTTTGCACGCAAGTATCATTCAAAACAAACTGTTTCACTTCTACGTGTCGAAGCAATGTCATCATGTCCCTAGGAATAGGAAAGTCGATGAGATGGTCTGATGACTCAAATGCAAAAAGCAAAGCCTATCCCGGCTGAGCATAAGACACTCAACCATCTAACAAAATCATTCAGACAGCATATACTTAGGAGTATATACTTAAACGGTTAAGCTTTATGGTTTCAACATTCGATTTTGAGTTATTATCCATTTTTTATCGTTTTCAAACTGTAAATGCTTGTTCCTAACATAAACCCGGTTTAATTAAAATTGTGTGGAAAACTGATATTTGTTTAATTTTTCAGTTAGGGTAAATAATTTCGGTCCCAAATATTTACTGTTTAATTCAAAGGTTAAAAAATTAAATATAGTCGAATGAATGAATTTGTCAAAATTTGAAGAAACTTTTAAAGTTTAAAACAAAATTCGAATTAATTGAACAGTTTTACCCTATAATGTTTTTTTGCCGTTATCCGTTTATCTAAGCAACAACGAATCTAAAAATGGTTAAAGTTTTTTACTTTTTTCGAATCTTTTTTCACGGCGGAGACGTTTATTTTAAAAAATCGAATAATAATGGTATTTACCACCAATGTTTTATTGATCAGTAATCGGCCCGACGTTTTATTAAAGCCTTGAGTTTTTTTAAATTTTCAACTTACTTGGCTGATTAGCGTACGTAATAATGAATTCTTTTGAGCATTATAGCGTCATTGTTTTGTTAAAGAAGGAGCCTCCAAATGGCAAAGCCTAGGGCCTCTCATTGTCTAAATCCGACCCTAGATGTATAGGTTGTTTCTTTGGCCATAATATTACCATATCCGATACATATTATATAATATTAATATGCTTTTAAATTTTTCAATCGTTTCAATATAATTCATTCCAAAAAACAAATTGATTCATTTTATACCAAGATGTGGAGAAATGAATAATTAACTAACAAGATATCTCTCTATTAAAAATTCATGTTCGCACCAAGTCGGGCAGTGCCTATAGAAAAATTAGAAAATTTAATAATCCGTTTCCCAGTGATTCGAATTACTATGGCTCGATTAAATGAAGCACGAACACTTGGCGGATACGGAAATCAAATTACACGGAAGCGTTTCTTGGTAATAAAGGCCAGTAATACTGAAATTGTCGAAAGTATTACCGCCTTAGAAAGAATTTGCGCGGTTCGGGTTGGACCGCGACGTCCGATCTCATCTGTGTGAAAAAATCGTTGAAAGAGAAAACTGTTTTTTTTTCGTGGAAGAAAGTCAAGCAGTTTGTTAGGTCCAGCAGACAATCAAGGTATACCGCATATATTTTGGTGAAGAGAAGAGGAAGGGAAATAAAAAATCAGAACATACTGAAGGAAATTTGAATCAATATTTACAAAACAGTATTTTTTGTAATATACACAAATATGGGTACTCCCGTAGTGTTTGTAATGGGTTAGGGTTAGGCCATAATTTTATTCCGATGTTCCACTTTTTTAGTTCTATTACGAGTCCGAGGACTTTTTGTGTTACTCAAGTGAATATATCCCCTTCCCATAGGCTTCCGTTTCTCTACACAAATTTATGTTAAGCGGGAGAACAAAAATAGTTACCTCCGTTTCAAATTTTTATATGTTTTATAATTCTTAGTTTCGAACAAGAATGAATGATTTTGAAGAATGAATGGATTTGCTCCCAATCGCAACTTATATGGCCTACAAGAATGTCATGTAGGCCTTGGATCGTTAAGAAGTTTTAGGGCAGCCACACAAGACGTGTATTGCTAATCATGTACAGTGTTTTGTGTAACGACCTTTCAATGTTATAGGGGTGATTTGCTAAAAAAAAATTCTTAAAATCTACTATGTGCTGCAAAAAACGTGTAAAACGTAGAGTTCCTCTTGTAGAGGTTTGGAAAAGGCGACTTGTTTTATCAAGTATTTGTTTTGTCATTTTGACGCTTGGAGGACTCGTCATGATGGCTGTGGAACTAACTAAACTGCAAAGAAATATATACGGCATGGTGACAATTGTTGGTAAGTGTAAAATCAAAAAAGAAAATCTTTGTATAATGCCAGCAATTCTTCTTCATTTATTCTTTATGTTATATAAAATTTTTCATCAAAATATTTTCATGATCTATCTCACAACTCCAGTTTTATTCAAGTACGATAATGATTACAGTCGATTATTTTTATTCTTGATAATACTATGACGTCAGGGAAAGTGACGTGAAGATATTGTCCATTTTTTTTAATGAGACACAATATTTCATACTAGTATCTATGGGAGAAGTGATATATACTTTGGTCCCTATGGCTTTCCGTATAATAAAAGTTTCGCTGGTTGGGAAGTGAATGGAACTGTTAACTTTGGTTCCAACTATATATATTTCGAGTTAATGTGAATACGTGTTTTCATTGACAATGACCTTGCACTCTTCAGTTTTTGTTTCTGTTAAAATGTACGACCGAAACGAGTACTCATAACGATTTACAAAACCTATCTAATATGTATTATGTAACTATCTATTCTTTCTATCTAACTGTCTATTCTTTAAGCGCAATGCAAAAGAATCAGCATTGGAAAACTGTATAACTCATCGATATATATAATTAAAATTACAGGATTCTCAATAACTGTTGGTGGTTTATTACCGCTGTATTTGATTCTTACATACACTGTATGTGGCCACGATCAATATCCAACAGGACCAGTGCTGATATGGGCAAATGCACTATACATGTTGATTGGTGAGCCATTTTTGTATAGACTTCACCAAAGCGTTATTACACACGAAACATAATCTTGATAATTTCTTCAAAAGATACTCAAATGACAACGCCTACTAAATTTCCAATTGAATTAATTTGTTTATGTTATACATATATTCATATTATATCCATATAGGGATTTGGAAGTGAATTAAAAAATAAAAACGTGCATGCGAAGCATTTATCTAGTGGCGTACCCAGAATTTTGTTGAGTGGGACATTTAAGAATTAAAAATTTGTGATGTCATGGACTCATGATGTATAATTTGGTATTTTACGCAATCAAAATACTGGGTTTTGGAAAACATGGTATAATACATGTAACGTATTTCAGTATAATGTATCATGATAATATATACATAATAATACATGATAATAACTTGAATCTAAAAACAAATCAAAAAGCTCAAAGCAGTAATAAAATGTAATGGATACGTGGCGTCATGATACTAGTTTCCAGTCGCGGGGGTATAGCCTAGTCGCACCCGCTTTGTCGTTTGTATTGGATCTCAGTTCTATGTCGATCTATACATTTATTCTAATGTTTTTAGGAATAGCTCTAGTTTGTGTGGCGCAAATTGTACCAGCCGATTCGATGTTCAACATGATCCCGTTCAATAGTGCGATGGAACGAAATAATTTCAGCGGTCTATATCCTTTGGAAGAAGACGAGATATTTTCCGATTTACTTGCAAAATATGGTAAGAATTCGTAACTTAAAATCCAATGGCAAATTCAAAAACGAGTGTGTCAGGGTGTGTGAACGAGTGTATTATTTCAAATAACTATTTTGGAAAATGCCGTGGTCTGTGAAGAATATAAATGGAATTTTTCTACTCGATAAAGTTTATTTGAAAGGTTCAACCCTATAGCTTTGAGCCAAGTGTAGAGTATCAGTGTAAAACTGTTAAAAGTTGTGTGTACCATATTCACGCCTCGAATCATACACAGGCGAAGATATAACTATACAGAAGAATCAAGTAGTCTGGGATCGTGGATTGATTGACGTCATTCAATTTCGTGTATCCATTCTTGGTGGTGGGATTTTCGGCACCGGATTATTTGGAAGTGCTTTAACAATAACCATAATTTACAAGTACGTTATGTAATCCAATCTATAAGTTTAAAAATTATTATTTACATAGATCGCAGTAATGAGAACTTAAAATCAAGTATTCATATATGCTTACTATATTAGGAAAACAATTCTGTTTATGTATAACCACTGGAGTTAAAAAATAATTAAATAAAATATATTGAAATAAAAATTGTTAATTCAATCATATTGTTTATATTTGTATAGCATTTTAAAATTGTTGAAAGACTTCCAAATATCCATTTTACAACAGTACACTCACGATTTTAGCTCCTGTAATTTAGCATTATCGAAGATCAAAAGTGTGCAAAGTCCATAAATAATAGAATATCTGTTATATAACATATTTTGGCAATTTCATTGTCCCGCACAGAGAGAATCGTTGATTCACCTTCACTACATTATTCACCGACCCTTTTTAAAAGTCAAGAGTGAATGTAAAGTGCATGTTGTAGGATCGTGGTTTAGACAAAGGTTATTTATATATATTGTTGCAATATACGTAATTAACTACAGTAAAAATATAGTAATTTTCTTTTCTTTCACTGCAGTAATGTTATGACCTCGTCGCAAATGCATTATAGGCAATCATCTTTCCTTTATACTTTTGTGTGATGTCAATAAGTAACAATTCGGCCACATAATATTATTCATATAGTCGCGTACAGCTTATCTTTGGCCAAAAATATTTTTTAACAGAAATTGAAAATTGACGAAATAGCCAATGCGGTTAACACGTTCTAAATAATTTACCAGTCATTCTCTGATGAATTATTTAGTTTTTTGTGCCTGGTACCTGTCAATAGAAAAATTAAAATTAAAAAGAATTCACGATTACATTAGACGCCCAAATATAATTTTGAATTACCTTCTAATTGAAATAATATTGCCTAATGTGTTAGGAATATCTCACCCTATTTGCTATTTATCTTCACAAGTTCCACCCATGGCACAAGCAAAAGCAGTTTAAACTTGTCTATATATTCACCTTATGTAGTATGGTTTTACCGATGACAGCCACAGAAATGTTTCGACATCATGGTGTTATTGATATTTCCTTTTAACTAATTCTCTTAGTAGTGACTACGCTGTGTCGTTTCTTTTAAACTTCATTTAAACTGTAAGTGTGCTTTTCAGGGTTCATAGTTTAATTGAAAAAATGAAGAGAGCGGAACACACCCGAAGGAAAAATATAAGAACATTAGCAAAAGCTTTTAAACCAAGAAACCAGGGCCAACCGTTGCGGAGACTGTAAGTCTGGTGTATTCGATAAAATCATAAATATCGAAACAACTTTATTCGTTTAACAAATTAAAATTCTATGCACAGATTTATTACTGCCTTTTGATCATCTTTTTTGTTACCGAACCTATTCATAATAGTCGAGTACTAGTTTGATTGGATGTTAGATAATCGCAAACGTGGTACATAAATGCAATGTACGAACTATGTTGATCGAATTGTGTTCCTATTGACCGATACCAATAAATGGGTGTCAGTTTCTTTAAGACCCTGAGGATTTGAAAAAATTAAGTCCTAAACCTAGCACTCAATTTCATATTTTACTTAGCATCCATAAGAAAGATTTCAAACCCCGATCCGATGATAAAGCATTATTCGTAAGACACAGTTCATAATATCGATGCGGGTAGGCTATATGAATGCAATGTATATAATATTACCTGTTACAAAAGAGAGATTTTGCAAGTTTGACTTCGACTTTTGAATGGATTGCCAATTTCCTATGTCAAAAAAAACAGGTAGAATTTAGTGTTTCATAAATGCATGATTCCCTTCGGTCTTTGTAGTTTCGTTTACTAACTAACAAATTAGCTAGCTAAAATATAAGAATCATGTAATCGTGAAGTACTGAGACAATTTATGTTCAGCAGGAGAGATTCGGTTTATGACTACGCAGGTTGGGGAAACAGAACAAGCGATATATTTCATGACCATGACGCTGAAGGTGGGTCTAAAATCAAATATGAATAATTTGTGATTTAAAAAACTGTTTTTTGAAAATTTGAATCACGGGACTCTAGTACAGTGGTCTTTAAACTTTCTTCATCACAACTCACTTAGTAAGACCAAATTTTTTTGTGACCCCGGAACTAAAATAAAAATGAAATAAAATTTGATAATACAGCAAAAGTTTGAAAAGTTTTTTCGGTGCTCCCGAAGTATGCGAACAAAGATGGCGGACATCGGAACGTAACATGGGTAACAGGTTAGGGTTAGGCGATAATTTTTTTCCAATTTTCCTTATTTTAGTCCTATTATCAGTACGAAGACTAGCCAAGAGCCTCCCGTAGTATTTATACCCAAAATATTACAAATATATTTCAAAAATATACCCACATATTACATTCCGATGTCCGTCATCTTGATTCGCATATTTCGGGAGCCCCGTTTTTTCAATATTGACAATACTTTCAATGAGACCGATGTGCATGCAAATTCTCGCACAAAATATTGAATCTTGGCCGTAAAAATTTGATGATTGGGGGTCTCAGTGCTAGTTCTAAATTTTTCAAATTTGATCAATATTTTCTTTTAACATGACCTTTTACCTTAAGCCCTTTCGCGACCTACCAGGGGTCGGGACGCCCAGTTTGAAAAGCCCTGTAATCTGGTCTATAGTAAAACATGCTGTTCGCAAAGGGAACTGAACCGTTGGAAACTGAACAAAAAATTAAATAAAAAAATTTCGTAATTGAATTTTATAAAGCTCTTGCTGTGCGATTAAAAAAATTTAATGGCAAAGTCCATTATCTAAAAACTCAGGTATACTTTAATCGAGGTATATATGATTATGTATTAATTAATGTATCTAATAATAACCTTACAGTTGTAAAAATCTAATTTTACTGCTTTCGCTAAGATTTGATCAATGTTTTATCAAATTATAGGCCGTGTTTCATCAACGTCGTCTACGAAATTAACTTCAACAAGTATGATAAGTATAGCAGAAGAAGGAGCAAATCAAAGAAATTCAAGACGAGTTAGTGGTATTTATAGAAACTATGAATATGTTCCCGAATATCCAGAAGAAGAAGCGTTAAACGGAGATGCAGTGGACAGACGATTCAGTGGGAAAAGTTATGAAGGGATGGGGTAAGAGATACCCCTAATAAAATTCCATAACATGAAAGTGATACCCAGATATATTGGCACAAAAACACTGGTATGGTCACGCGTCATTCGGTTAAACCTGACCTGGACAAATTAATGCCCGTGGGCCAAATCCGGTCCGTTGGGTGATTCAATCGGGGCCGCCTGATGATGCCATAAACTTGTACTTTTAACCAATTTTGCATGCACTGTATAGTTGTTGTTTTTGAAATTTGTATGGTGCGATGCGCTTGCTATATTATGATCGTAGTCTCTGTAAGATTATTTTAGGTTGCTACAAACTTTCATGTTATGAGAACGTTAACAAAACCTAACGTATTCTCGCTTACTTGATTCGACGGCGTGCTTCTCACATCTCTTTCTTCCGCCTCATGCGCTTGTTGTGTGCAGTCACGCGCAGACTCGACTTTAAATTCACTGCCGACAAAGTTTTGTTACGGCCTTATAACGTTATTTTGTGTTCATTTACGCATTCTTGCTATGTGATTTAGTCTATCGTTTCCCGATAGTTTCTAATATTCTGTTGCTTCATCCCTTTCCTGCACCTTAATTCGTTAAGATTAATTGTTAAATTATTGAAGACTAATTATTATTCACATTTGTGCACCAAGTAAGAAAAAAATCGATGGCGAGAGCAGAGCCTTTAAAAACGAATGGAACGTCAAATACCGCCGTGTATCTCGTATGCCAAAAAAGCGTTGCTGTCTCGAAATAATACAATAATCGTCGCCACTATAACACAAACCATCTACATTCTACGTCATACTTATTTATAAGGCCCGCCAGTCTAGATATTTTGCCCCTGGTCCAGTAACCTTGCCCATCCCTGGGTTACACTCTATCACTTAAATCAGGGGTCGGCAACCCCTGGCACTCGTGCCAATTGTGGCACGCGAGAGGATTCCCCATGGCACGCCAAGCGATTTGAGCCATATTCAGATATTTATTTTCGTAGTGCGACAAATCTTCTACAATTTAACAAAAAATAACAAATCGACAAATTCATTGAAAAAACATGCAATATTTAACTGCAATCGACGAGAGGCCGAAATCTGTACCCAAAATCGGTGTAGATAAGCGTGTGCAGTCGATCATCCCCCTTCTTTCAAATTTTTGGAAAACTGAAAAAGTCGCAAATACCGCGTGCGATTGCTTTTTGATTGTTTTTGTCGGGTGACGTATTATTTAGGCCGTAAACACTTTTAGTTGGTGTTTATTCTCCCTGAATCACAACAATTATTTCGCGACAACGATAATAATTACTTTACTTTGCCCAGAATTGGAATTCGCATAGAGTTATTATACAATCAATTGAAACTAAATACAATTGCCCATTAGGTATGTTTCTCTCATATTTTTACAACAAAAGATTGAGTGGTATTTCAGACTGATAATGTTTATATTTTGACGCAAGAAGAAGTAACCACAAAATTATATCAGTATGGAAGAAAGTTTTAGATTCTCGTATAGCTGAAAAACTCGGCCTTTTTAACGAACGCGCATACAAAACCCATATGATCGAATTGAAGTCCGCCTGGTGGCGTAATGTTTAAAAAAAATACCGAGATTAAAATGGATTCATTTAGAGCAGTGGTTCCCAAACTGATGGTAAATACTTCCAAAGGGGTAATTTGGTAATTTTTGTGGGGTAATCCCGACGTACACTGTTCTAATTAGCCCAGTCACACGGTTCATGGGAACATGCTTACAACACTTCGCCGTACAGTTTGGCTAAAATTCTGAGTTAACGCAATTTAGCATTGCAAAGTCAGAAGATGCAATAGGTGTGAGTATTATCACCATTTACTATCAAAGAAAAAGTGATAAAGATATGACTACTGTATATTTATAAAGGGGTATGTGAGCTTTCGGTACTTCGATTCAGGGAAAACGATATTAAAAATCTTGGGAACGCTGGTTTAGAGTATAGATTTCCACAACAAACAAACAATGGTATACCAGTAAATTAAAATCTTCGAGGAAACACTCCCATCTTACCCCGCTAAAAATTTGAAAGCGATTGCTCCAGCAGTTTTGGAAAATGCAATCCTCTCATAAAACCTCAAGAACCTTGCTTTGTATGTCTTTTTTCGAAATTATTCTTGACTTGTTTCACATTATGAATCTGAACATGGCCTTAACGGCGTCTTTCATAAACGTTTTTATCTTTTGTCTATTGCTCTCTGCGGACATCGCAATGAAAAACCGTTTAACGTTATACGTAACGCAAAACAACAACCCTGTTTGAAAAAATGAAAGCTTGGTGTGCTTGTAACATTATTTAGTTGAAAATTATTATTCACGCAACAAATATTATGTGCTTCTACTGAATCTTTTGTAGTTCTAAAGTATGAGCACCAAGTCGCATAACGTGAACCCTAACCTGGTACACAACCTGAGTTCAGGTTGTGCGCCAACTTGGTGCGCATACTTTTAGGAGGTCCGAATCTTTATCTCTATTCTCTTTGACGTCCACATTTAATTCGGATAGAACCCAATTTAATAAAGTATATAAGTAATCGGCTTTAAAATATTACGTCTTCAAGCTATGCATAATTGATTTAATTGCTTTTTTTTAGAATATCATCGATTGAAATGAAGCAGCTCAACACGCAAATAAAAAATAACGTCAAGACTGTGTAAACTCGGTATAACTCGTTGAAGAATACAGATTCCGCAACACCGCTGTAACGTTTGTAATACATCTGATTTAGTTCTTTTGTTGAGTTATTTTGAAAATTAGTTTCTGCTTACCGACTCCCAACAAAGACAAATTTACTGCTTTGGCGTGGTCACGGGATTTCCAATTTGTAGTCAATGGGGCGTTGAATATTATAGATTTGCAGCTTTCGATACTGCTTCCCCGAAACGACAGATATACGTGTATTCGTAATAGTTGTTGAAAATTTCCAATAGCCGTTCAAACTGTGATTGAAATCAAGGTTGAATTATCGGAATTTCTTAAAGATAGCTGACTTTGAACTTTTCATTGTGGATTTTTTCAATTATATATAGTTTTTGAATACTTATTTGTTTGAATTAGTGATATAATTTTAAATAAAAATTGAAAAAGAATAGTGGTTGGTAACGAGGGGAATTTACGCGAGATGGCAGTATAGGGTAAAATTAATCGCAACCCTTACAAACTACGAACAACCATTTCCATATCTACTCGCTAACTGATGCAAAACATATAGATTTCATTTGAGAATGTCTTGGTGTAGGATGAAGCATTCTACGAATTCACGACACTGGTACAAGCGCACAACTCACACACAGACTACATTCAGTAAGTTGATATGACACCCGGGGGCGTGCCAAACTAGTCTGCTGCCCGGGGCGAGTTTCTGATAATGCTGCCCCCTATACCTAACTTCTAAAATAATTTGGGTGGTAAACAGAATATAGATGTCATTATACATGAGAATAAATCAAGTAAAGGTCAAGTAAGAAAGCAACGTTTGTTTTATTAAAATGAGCATCAAAAATGTTGCAATTGTAAAATATAGGAAAATTGTTTCTGGGGTCAAAGGTCGGGGAAACTATCCTTGTTGAATAACCATTACCACAGAACACATACTGTTAACTTTTAATTAAATAAGAACACATCTAGAAGAGCATGTGTAATAACGCAAAAACGCTAACTGCCTCTCTACAATGTGCTGCCCGGGGCGGTGGCCCCCTTCGCCTCTCTCTAGGCACGCCACTGTAGACATCCCAATCGCCATTTGAAAGATCTCCTCTGTAGGAAGCATATTGGGCTGTCATGTTTGACGGCAGCTGCACAAGACATAGCACGCCAAAATATAGGGGTTATTTTTTAGTATATTATCAATATGAACCCAATTTGTTATTTTCTCTTACTTGTGAGTTATAATGTTAGAGTCATTTCGCTAAAATGCGTTTTAGTTTCAATGCCATTCTTTGAAAAGTATACGACAAAATAACTGTTGCTGTTAAACATTGTGCATCATTAAAAATAGCCCCTCACGAAAGTTGCATTCTTGTATTAATCAATGTCTGACGTAGCAAGATAAAGATGAGCCTTTTTCTGCGTAGTTTTCATAAATATTTATACTCAAAACTACTTAAAGTGTGCCGAGTAAAAAATCAATTCGCAATCGGGAATCTTAAGCTAATAGCTTTATTCTTTGTTTGGAATTTTTTTATTTTCTCATTCATTGATTGAGTTGGCTTAATGAAGTTAAAGGTTTTGTAACTGAAAGACATTGCTCTAATTACGAAATGGTTTAAGCACCGTAGAATTTTTGATTGGAAGAGTCCAAAAAAGAGACAGAAACAGGTTTTGAGGACAGTTTTCGGGGTAGCAAAAAATGGCCGCCAAAGTCGAACAGGTAAGCAGTTTCTCATTCGGCAATAAAACAAATGAAGTTTCAAATAGTTTAAATGCTTTCGATATGCCTGTTTTCGTAAAGATTACCAAGCAGCTAAAATACATTTTCTGATTTGCCTGGGTGTTTCAGATTAAGGATTACTCGTGTAATTAGTTAATTTTGGTATTTCTGCATTTGTTTCAGTGACAAATAAGATTTTTTCCGTTTTCCGTCGCTTCGAGGATTCCATCTAAGCGCTTGTCATGAACTTTTGTACATGAGATCCTATTCAAACCTAAACTGCTTTGGACTTGCTGGAGATTATTTGAACAGTTTTATTTGAGACATTCGAATTTTTTGACGCTTCATATTTCATTTATTAATTACGATTAACAACAGATAGTTTTGTCAAATACGTCGATACCCTTGTCTGCTTGTTGGAAAGCCGATCACAACCAAAATTGCGTGAGCAATGCCGATTGCGGTTATGTTCAAATTGTTGGTATACACTTGGGACACACCTATCATGAAAGATCTCACCACAATAAACAAGGGATTTAGAAAATTCGTTATAATAAATTAAAATTTAATAATTTGTAACGTTTACTTTAGTTAATGGCTTTTCAGTTGCTTGAGAAAACTTGACTTGTATTCAAATTGTTATTTATCAAAACAGATCGCTGGGAATAAATCAGTGAGAGTAGTAAGAAGCGAAACCGCGAAATTGCTGACAACGGAAATTGCATTCATGAAACAATATTTGTTTTTAAAGAAATGTTATTCTCGCAAGAAAAGATTTACTGCAAATTTTTTTTTTGTTAAAATAATAAGATTTTCAAATATATATCATTTACGAAATTTTTTATATATATAACTATTAAATTCCATCAACTATCAACTTTATTGTTATATATTTCAATTTTCACGCAACAAGATTTTTAAAGTGTGGCGATATCTAGATTTTACGGGTCATTTAAAATTTATGTTTTTGCATACTAGCCATTTCGGGAGAGGATAATACATTGAAGATGTACCCCGCATATTGGTACAAAGTTTGACGAACTAATTCAGACATTGAATCATGCAAATTAAATTTTTTTATTCCGGATGTCATTGGTATAGAAAATTATTCGATTTTGAACAAATCCTTTTCTGCAAACAGAATTTTTTTTTTTTAAAACGGGAGATTAGTGCTCGCGCTATAATTTTACCAGTTTCTTCTTTCAACGAATTGTTTGTGGCGGGAAACGCTAAAGTATAATAAGGCGCCTTGGGACACATCGAGACAAGCTTCCAGCACCTGCTAAAATATTCCCATGACTAGGTAGCGATCATAACCTTTCTGATAAGTTTGTATTGTTTTGCATTCTGTGGCTTTTCGTAAAACTGCTCCCTTGGGGTTATTGATATTACTACGGTATAGAGTGGTTATTTCAACTGCGCTCAATCAATTATGGATTATAGTTGAAGCGTGTAACAGAGATAAGATTCTTCTATGGCCAGTGCCGAATGAAATGAGTATTAAATTTCAATATAAATTGTTGTTTTTCAAATGTAAACAGTACTTTATACATGTCATAGATATGTCTGATACAGCAGGTACATAGGGATACAGGGTCGCAGAAAGTTTCTTTCTTGCTATGAGTTATCTGGTGGGTTCGATTAGAGATGTTGCCATGTACCATTTATGGTCTTCTCGTATAACTTTCATGTCTATTGGATGCTATATGTGGTTCAGCTGCCAATGCCATACTTATTTATATCAAAAGTGTTCTATAAACTTAATTTTCGACTTTAAAAATTAATTAGATATTGAACCTTGAGTGCCGCTGCTCGATAACCAATCCTGGTTCCCCGCGACTTCCCTTCCCGCAGTAAAAAAGTGTGCTTAATTTTGTATTTTGTCAATTTCGTATGGTATTTTTTACTGGATAGAAAACATAAACTTGACTATGCATTGGGTCACACTAGCCTACGTCTAACCATTTGTCCAAGTTTAACCGGAGCATTCCCGATTTTGCCAAGCTGTCCCTGCGTACCGCCCGGTAGACTCAAATGTCCCCGTCAGGTATTATGGCAGTCATAAATTTTTTTTATTCAATTTCAATACAATTTTTTTATTCAATTTCAATACAATTTTTTTATTCAATTTTTTTGTTAATGCAGGCCATTATCACTGATCAGTCTATTTATCTAATTTATTTATGAATATCCAAATAAGTTGAATACTAAGCCACGGAATCGAACCATGTTACCGATGTTACTTTTGCTTTTTTGTCGATCCACAAGTATAAAAAGATTAGATACATTAAATTACACAACATATATATTTGAACTATTTTTGTCTCTGCCTGTAGGCTGATGTATGTCAATGACATTTGAATTAGATATATAAATTATAATAATAGTTTATAACTAACAAATAAGGAACTCGTCCGCGTCCAAAATAATTGACTTACATGTATGTATTAGAAACAGTCCTTTGGTTTATACCTATTGCTTCCAAGTCAATAAAAATATCATTATCAAATTGATATACACTACGGTAATCAATTTTTCATTGCTGGTGATAGAACACGGGAAAATAAGTAAAAATTCATTAGAATAATGTAAAATTGATACGCGGCCCAGATTTGGCGTGTAGTGATGAATGTGTCGCCTGTTATTCTTTCTTTTTTCTTGAATATTTTATATTACTCTCAACAATAAGTTTCATTATTAACTTGACCATACTTAATATAATGCAGTAATTGCATGAAGTACAACTCCCGCGGGTAAAGGGGTTATGGCTTTATTCAAAGTGAAATCAAATACCGATGCACTCAATGTATGTCCATTGAAGATAATCGCTTTGTCGAACCTCCAATGCACGCGAATCTTTTATAATATCATTGTTGGTAATGACGAAACTACGTAATGGCTTTAAAAAAATGATACCATCCCAGCTCAAAAACGTTGAAATATGTATCCGACAAAACACTTGTTGGATAATACAGTGAATTCCACATAGCGCATGATTATTGTAGCAAGTTTATACGCACATTTTTAACCATGGCTTGCCTGAGTACTATGATAATATGATGAAATTATGCAACGCGTTATGGATATTTTCTTCAAATTTGATAGAACTAGGCTAATTTTCAGATCCATGATATGTTCAATGTTCAGAAAATGCTGACATTAACGATATTCACGTCGCATTCAACAATATATGCCGTGGTAGGATGCGATCATGTATCGTCCCCATATATATAAGAGAATTCCTCTAGCAAGTTTCTGCCGAGTCAATAAATCGATACTAATGGAGCAGAATAAGAAACCGATGATCAAACGATTTAGAGTACTGGAGTGCGTTCAACAAAATCCGCCAACTTTACCTGCATTCCAAGGTATTTGTCATATTTACCAAACCAATCACAGGGAATAACAATTGACCATAACCCGAGCTCGATTCCTAAGCAAGGCGCACTTGGTCAGGAACAAGATCATTTGAGCATCATCTCTTCTAAATATACAAGTCAAATAGTGTTCTATGCTAGAATATCCAAGTGCCATATATGTTATAAAAATATTGTTGTTCCAGTCGATGATAGCCTCAGATCAAACTATAAATTTATAGTTATCTTTCTGCAAATGTTTAACAGCTTTTGCCCTGTGTGATAACCAAAGAAGAATAGGATTCGCTGATCAC